GCCGTCCAATCTGGACCCAAGCCCGTCCAATCTGGACCCAAGCCGTCCAATCTGGACCCAAGCCTTCCAATCTGGACCCAAGCCGTCCAATCTGGACCCAAGCCGTCCATCTGGACCCAAGCCGTCCAATCTGGACCCAAGCCGTCCAATCTGGACCCAAGCCGTCCAATCTGGACCCAAGCCGTCCAATCTGGACCCAAGCCGTCCAATCTGGACCCAAGCCGTCCAATCTGGACCCAAGCTGTCCAATCTGGACCCAAGCTGTCCAATCTGGACCGAAGCTGTCCAATCTGGACCCAAGCTGTCCAATCTGGACCCAAGCTGTCCAATCTGGACCCAAGCTGTCCAATCTGGACCCAAGCTGTCCAATCTGGACCCAAGCCGTCCAATCTGGACCCAAGCCGTCCAATCTGGACCCAAGCCGTCCAATCTGGACCCAAGCCGTCCAATCTGGACCCAAGCCGTCCAATCTGGGCCGAAGCCGTCCAATCTGGGCCCAAGCCGTCCAATCTGGGCCCAAGCCGTCCAATCTGGGCCCAAGCCGTCCAATCTGGGCCCAAGCCGTCCAATCTGGGCCCAAGCCGTCCAATCTGGGCCCAAGCCGTCCAATCTGGGCCCAAGCCGTCCAATCTGGGCCCAAGCCGTCCAATCTGGGCCCAAGCCGTCCAATCTGGGCCCAAGCCGTCCAATCTGGACCCAAGCCGTCCAATCTGGACCCAAGCTGTGCAAACTGATCTGAACTGAATGAAGCCGATCCAGACTGAACCACACCAAACCTATCTAAAGTGAGCTGAACTTGCCCAACTGAGCCTATCTAAACCAAAATGAGCCCATCCAGACTGAACTGGACGTATCTGAACCAAACTGAGCCTATCCAAAGTGAACTGAACAGAATGGATTGGAAGAAATGTTTTATATATGGTGGTCATGAAATGTGACCGTCATTACGGTTTAATGTGCAGGTTTTAGACTTTACGGGATCAGTACCCTAGTCCATTATGAGCTATCAAAGACAGTTGATATATATGTTAATCTATGTAAATAGCTTATCAAGGCTGGAATTACCTTAGCTAAATTAATTTTGGAGTTCAGTTCCTGAGCCTATTATGTGCCTCTATAACCTTTTCCACTACAGCTCACAGGAAGGATATGCATAATAAATTAACCCCCCCCCCCCAAATGTATAGAGCAGGCTGGATGTGGTGGTTGCTAAGACATAATCATTCTAAATTAATGGTTAGTTAATGCAAAGGGAGAAACTGATGAGGTGTGTACATGTGCTGACATGTGCTGCCTCTTGTTCACTATTTTATACTGGCTTTGTGTTTTCTCCTCAAATCCTTCTTACACACCTTGCTCACTATCTTACATGACAAGTTCACTGTTTCTTGTATGCCTTGCTATGTAGTCATACTGGCTCAGCACTTTTTCTTAATAAATCTTTCTTTGCAGGACTTGCTGTCTCTTGTGTGCCTCACCATACAGTACTGTATAGGCATACTGGTTTACTGCATTTTCTTTGCATGCCTCACACACTGTCTCATGTACTGCCTCTCACTCACTGCTGCTTGATATGCATCTCATTGACTGTCTCTCTCACACTCGATACTTCACTCTAGATGAGTACAGTTAAGTGAGTACACTGATTTCCTAACTCAATCTAACACTAGCTGCCTCACAATACCTGTTACACACTTGCAACCATACTCGCTGCTTTGCGCTCACTTGCGGGAGGATTATTTTCTAAAATTATGCAGCAAAATGGATTATTAAATATTAAGGCAACCCACAGAGATAGATAAATTTGTTATGAAGCAAATTCCTAGCAGCTTTCAGTTAATTCTGTACCTTCAGTTTGATGAACCAAAAAAATGGAGCTCAATATTTGGTCTGCAAAGAAAGTTATGGCTAACTCGGTCTCTTCATTTGAAACTGTCCTTGGTTTCACATGGATACCCTCTTCATGAATTTCACTTGTTTAGATTGACTTCATCTTGATTTCACTGCTCTCATATAAATTCGCCTTGTGTTTCATAAGGAAATGTTTCTAGCATGCAAGTAATCTTAGGTCGCTATTGTCTCACATTAGTGACACCAGACTTATTTTTTACCTATTACTAAGATTTGGATTGCCTTCTAAATTACAGGGATGCTTTTAAACTATGAATATAGTAGACTTCACATCAAATGTAAAGTGGAGCACTGAATGAGAGAGATTTGTGAACAGAAAGCCGTGTGGTGATACTGCTAATGAAGTATTATGAAGAAGTTGGCTATACACTGCCATTGTTGGGTTGTACAAGGTTAAGCAATTACTGTAAATATTTTACGTATTTGAAGGTGATGGGCATGAATTAAAAATACTGCACTGTACTCTGGTAAATGTTGGTCAGTTATGAATTTTAGATATACAGTACAGTACAGTGTGTTCAGTTGTCTATGTATGCATACAGTCATTCCCATATATTTTACTTTCATTGTCCTCGAATATTTATGGGGATTGAGGTCCAGTTGCTTTGTACCATTTATTTATCAGTCTGTTTGATGCCTTTTTTTCCCCCCTTTTCTTGTCATAAGCTGTTCTGTATTTACATATGCAGTCACGAATGGCATTAGCTTGTGTTTGTGTGTGTGTGTGTGCATGCACGTGTTCTCATGTGTATTATATTCTGCACGCTATTCAGCACAAAGATAAAAGACTTTGCACATGGGCCACAATATACAGTATGATGACATGTATTCAGCTAAGAATACTGTTCAGCAAGTGGGGAGCACTTTTAAAAGTAAGCCAACCAGGTGTTAGTAGACTGATCATAAAACTCCTTTGAATGCAAATCATCCCAGAACTAAGCAACCATGAATAACAGGATAGATTAAAAACTACAGGACAAACAGTTTCTTAACACCTTCCAACATGGGGTCATGACTCGGGTCATGTAAAAACTAATGTGAAACGTATCGATATGGAATACTTTACTCAAGATTTCCAATTCATCTTGCAGAACTGAGAACAGGGAGTATTAGTTCTCCCTTATATGTAGTATTAAATGTTTTGATCTATGTATGTGTCAAAGTTTTTGGAACAAGAATTGTATTCAGCTATAAGATATACAGTACAATAACTGGAAAATATATATTAATAGGGGGGAACTTTCATGCTACAGTGGCTTCATTGAAACCCCGTCCCTCAATCCCCCCCCCCCTTTCCTGTGAACACGAGTGGCCATGTGGTGAATAAATAATTTGTGCATTATTTATAAATTTTGTTTTCTGTGTACAATATTTGACTGTGACGGATTATATACATTTCCTTAACCTAAATTTCCAGTATTGAGAAAAAGCATGAGGTTACAATGCTCAATGGGCTCAACGAATTCTGTGTTAAGTTCTATGGTCCAAAAGGCAGTAAGTATTATTGTTTTAAGTTGTTATATGAATTTGTAATACAGAGGTAATTTGTGGCAATAATATTAGACAAGAAATGCCAAACCTGGAGAAAACTTTATTGGTAGATAAATATATTTTTATCTGAAGAGGGCTTTTTCAAGTGTAACAGGATACAACATGAACACCACAGCTTGAGTATACAGTATTCTGTTTTGTGCAGCCACTGTAATAAAGTTTACTTTGAGGAAATGTAGAGGACTAGAAATGATCCATGAACAAAAGTACAATATAGTATGTTTTTCATTTGCACAATACTAACAATGCCTGTGCCATACATATGATCAACCCATTCCCCTCCCAAGTGAATGGCTTCTTGATAAGGTGAGGAGGCTCTTGGGCACCACTGGCAGCTGAGGCCACTGGTGGCAACATGCTGCTTTGGTGGAGGGACTGGGGGAAAACATGAGCTTCGGTGTGGCCCACCTGACTCAATTGGCTTATCTGGTTAGCTCATCTAGTTAGACATTGGATCAGGTGGGCATTGTGGGGGTTCGTATCTCTATCAGTCCTTGGGATACCATTCAAATCCTTCAGTGGTGACCCTTGTATGCCATTCTGGTTACCCCTGAGGTTGATCCTCATGTGGCAGGATCAACCTCATGAGTCCTCATTGGTGACTGTCACATCACCTAGAGTGACTTCAAATTCGATGGTTACTACAGTGCCTTTTACCATCCTCCTCCTGAGACGTCTGAGGCAACGTCCTTGCCATCGAGTGCACACATCTCCAACAGCTCCTACATTCCAGGATCTATTTGACCCTGCTACATGGCCCAAATATTTTGAGGTTTCCCATGATGATCCATGATGCCTGCTTTCAGGCCTCCCCCCCCCCCCACACACACACACACCCACCCCCTTACCACCCCACACCACCCACACCACCCTTACCACCCCCCCCCCCCCTACCCCCCCCCCCCCCCCCCTACCAACCCCCCCCCCAACCACCCCCCCCCAACCCCCCCCCCCCCCCCCCCCCCCCCCCCCAACCCCCCCCCCACACCCCCCCCCCAACCCCCCCCCCCCCACCCCCCCACCCCCACCCCCCCCCCCCCCCCCCCCCCAACCCCCCCCCCCCCCCCAACCCCCCCCCCCAACCCCCCCCCCCCCCAACCCCCCCCCCCAACCCCCCCCCCCCCAACCCCCCTAACCCCCCCCCCAACCCCCACCCCCCCCCCCAACCCCCCCACACACACTTTACAAACTGTAGATGCTTGTGTTCATTTCACTTCGAAACGGACAAGCAACCTCATATTCAAGGCCCCCATTTAAGGAGCCGCCGCTTGCCTAGCTGTCCTACCTCACACAGGTGAGGCCCAGCTTGGTTCTCAAAGAATGTCATATTGAATACCAGTGTCAGCACAATCCTTCTTCCACTCCATGTTGAGACGGGGAAACAGAACTTAAGGACTGCCTTAAAAATATTGGTATATTTTCGAGGCTCGAGAGGATATCTCGTCTTCAAAGTTGACACATTCACTCGACCTCCCTCACAGTCGTCTTCATTCCCTTAAAGTGGTCAAGGTAGATGTTGATAGTCACACCTCACCATCTTTGGTTATTCTTGTTAGTGGCAGATACAACATTCAAGAACAGGTCCCTTCTCCAGGCCTCTGCAACAGGTGTTGTTCTTCCCATGTTCACTGCAACAACTGTGGTGTTCCCACCCTGTTTTTTCACATTCTTGTGTACATTATAAATTTGAGCAGGTCCTCTTCCACCTTAGATGCATTTCTTTCTCCAAAGCAAGACTTCAACTTCGGAGTCTGCATTCTTGATCTGCCTTCTTAAGTAGGTCTGTCTGCTTTCTCATTTTAACATGACTTAGGCTTATGTTATGTTACCAGGCCTGATTTCTCTGATCCTGATCCCCTTATTGTTTCCTTTGCTTCTTATCTTTACTTTCTTTTGTTTTGTCATAGCTGTTCTTTACAGCTCATTCATTCTTCATTGGAATATCTGTTCATTCTTCAATGGAATATCCGTGGCTTTTATACCATTTTCAGTGAGCTGCAACTTTTGATCTTTCAGTTTTCTCTGCTCTGTCTCCAGGAACTAATGCCTGGCACTTGCCCTGGTCAATTCTATAGTTATTCATTTCTTTCCTCCCCTTCAACTTCTTCTGGTAACCCTATCTCTACTGCTGTCTTAATCTGGGACAATGTTCCTTTTGTTCCATTTTTCGTCAAATGTTCATTCTACTGCCTGTATCAATGTGAATAAATGGTGTACCATTTGTTCCATTTATCTCCCCCCCCCCCCCCCACAATGTGTCCTGATATTTCTTCCTGATCATGAGCAACTTTTAGGCTCCATGCCAGAGCCTTTGATCCTTTTAGGTGATTTTTAAATGTTGCTATGCCATCTGGGATGATGTCCTGTCATACTCATCGAGCCGACACATGGTGACTTGTTCTCACTCTTTCCTGTGTACATCTTTCTCATTTCCTCTTCCATTTATATAGACCTGGCATGGAGAGTCCTTGATAATCCCCATTTCCCCATTCTCGTTTCCTTTTCTTCCTTCTGCCCCCCCCCTCCCCCTCTTTCTTTCCCTTCAGGAGCGGTTTGATAAGGCAGACTGGAATCTTTTTTTTTCACGCTCCATGCTGCTCTTCCTTGGCCATTTGACATCTCCCACACTTTCTCCTTTTTTTGTGATGCCTTAATAGATGCTGCGATCCACTGTTCCTCAATGTGCCTCTTGTGGTAGTGTGTTCCTTGGTGGAATTCAGATTGCTCCAGCAGTACACTGTAAGCGTGCAGCCTTGAAAAGGCACCATCATCAGAATACGTCTGGATCTTTCCCTTAGTTTTGAAAGGCGAGTACAATGGCCTATATCTGGTCTGTACACCTGAACGTGAGAGTTGGAGATCCAACGTTTCTACTGTTACTTTGGACACCCCCCCCCCCTCTCCCTCATATCTGAAAGAAAGTCCTTAAGATTGCAGGCAAATTTGTTACAGACTTGTTGCCTTACATATGTAAACACTACCCATGTTATGAATATTGACAACATGCATCCCATCAGTAAAAAAGACACAAAGAAATACATGGGAGCCATTGCCATCCAGAGAAGAGCAGGATGACAATATCAAACAAAGCCAGAACTTGTTCAACATGGAGTGCCCTCCACCTACTTCTTCCACTCCCTCCGTTAAAGCCCTTATAGCAAAGAATTATCTGCAAATAGTCTTCTGATTTGATGTTTTAACTTTACATTGTGATATGTTTTATATTTTAATGTTAATTAATGCATTTCCTTCAAAGGAATCGTTGTACGCTGATATCTCAGATGTGATTTGTGAAATATAATATTTGAATAAGTGAAATACTTTATTGCAATAAATATTTTTAAATATGTACTCTATGGATAATCTTGACTTTAATTTTTGGCATGTTAAATGAAAATGGTATATTGTAATCTATTTTTGTCATATTTCTATTATGTATCTGGTAAATCCCATCTACAATATGAAATGGGAATGATTTACTTCAGGAAATTTCCTCATTCTACTTTATTTGTATCATCAACTTGCTTATTGTGTTGAAATAGCTTTCTAATGAACTATAAATTTGTGTACAGTACAGTATACAATTAATCTCTTCATTTACTTTGGGTTTTCAAAGTACCTGTATGTTGGCGTACACCGCCAAATGCTCTCTCTCGTCCTTGCCCGTCTTGTGCTTCCACTGCACAAGGTGTGATAGTGTTAGAAGCATCTGTTTGTTTTATCATGCATTCCTGATCTCTTCTTGTGCCTTCTCTCGTACACTTTACCCTCGTCTCTAAGCATGTGGGCCACAGTTGCAAACAGTATGCTTGAGTTTTGCTCTATTTCCAATAACAATCTTTTGATGTACTGGTGACCAGTTGAAACTAAGGCAAGAATCAGTTTAAATGGCTCCTCCACAGCCACTCTGAGGTGATAATACAGTACAGTACTATACTCTCTCTTATCTGTTTATAGTCATAATAACAATACAGTACATTCATAATAATCAAATTATTTTATTTATAAGGTATACATGTGTCCTTATAAGGTATATGTATATACATACATGGATCAGATTATGGTGATTACTTTGTAGGTATAATATTTGTATACTGAATAAAGCTATTAATTATGTGCATAAAACAATTGGTTCCACATTTAAGTAGACAGTTGAGGTAGGACCAAATTATAATTCTTCTTGCATCCCGACTACTGTTGAGGAGTGTTGTTTGAGAAGATATTACTGTATAGTAGTATAGAATTTTTTTGTTAAATCATATTAGGTGCATATATCTGCAAAATATAATATATATAAGCATCATTGGACTTTATATTTTTAAGTTGTTGTCCATCAAGTCATAGTCTTTGAAATGTAATCCTATATTGTATTGTATAATTTTACAACAGTACAATAACTTCCTTAACTGTTTCGAGTAGAGCATCTTGAAATATTTCAGAAATTGTTTACCAATTTTCTCCTCACTGCCTTATCTTAGTTGTTTTGCATAAACTGTCAGTGGTATATATTGTCTTCCGCCCTCAGTATTCCTACCTCCTATATACCTATTGAACAAAGTTTGTGTTTTATTGGTGTTCACAAAACAAAATACTTTGCATGCTCACAAAATAAATGCTAATCCATGGAGATATTCTGTTTTAAACTCCATGGAGGAAATTTACAATTGTATTCATGCTGGGCCCTTCCTCCTTTTTTTTCAATATCTGACAATTAATTTCCCACTTAGGTATATACTTTGTTGGTAACCTCATTAACTCTTTCACTGTGATAAATGATGAGTCATTCACTGCTGTTGCATATTTTCTCCAGGTGCCTAGAAAACACTTTCCAAATTGTGTAATGCTCGACCAGAACTTCTGGGTTTCAAAATTGGCACCTGAACCAAGTACCGTATGTCGTGCTGTTTGTTGACAGCAGACTTGGATGTTGCCTCAGATGGCACGATCACAACCATTAAGAAGGTCTTTCATCGTCAGTTGCAACACACATTTCTATAATAATATTTACTTAATTAAAATACAAGTGCAGTAGTTGATGTATTTTTATGTCGTGAAGCATAAAAGTTTATACAGTACTGTACAATATAGATATCAGTAATTATACATGCAGTATTAGAGCTGATTTATCAAATTTGTCCAAAGTTTCCCCCTTGTTGTGGTGAGGGGGCTTACATATGACTTCCTGGGGTTGGTAGGGGTTGCCGTGGTCCCCTGCTGCCTCTTTCCAGGCACTTAACATGTGAAATGAGAAATGTAGAGCTCCCATTTGGGTCATTGAACCACCTGCCGGGAGGGGGAAAGACCACCTGTGAAGGGCACCCTCGATGGGTTGGTTGGATGTCTGGACTGGGGTAAATGGCAGAAAGAGCTCTTTGCACCTGTGTAAGGGAGAGTGCAATGCAGGAGGACTTCTGTTAAGAAGGTGGAGGCACCATGTCACACAGGCATGGTGCCACAAGCCTTTGTTGGAGGCACCAACACAGGCTCATGGGGCAGGTGACCAGGCCTCCGATTTGAACAGTGATTGGAAAACTGGGGCCGAGCCCTGGCTATGATGAGCCCGTGACCTGGCTTCATCTTTGGGTCACCCACTTGATCCCTTCCCACTTCCCTAGCAGGGTCAAGCTCCAAGTCCCAAGTGGTGTCTGCCTTGTCACCTGGAGTGAGTCCATCTTTAGGTGACAACTGTGCCTTTACCCCCATTTTAATGGGCAACCACGAAGCTGTAATCACATTCTAACATGCATGATTCCTTCAAACACTGATATGTACCATGATCTATTTTCCCCACTACATGGCCTAATAGATCCCCCACTACATGCCCTAAGTATATTGATGTTTGTTATGATGAACACACCTGACCCTGATTTATGCTTACATCAGCACCTTGTTAACTCTGTGAATACAGTACCTATGTTAGCTTTAGCCCCACCTGGACTGGCTCGTGCATCATTCTGGCCCCTTCTAAAGAGGTAGCCAATTGCCTGGCCGCTCTGTCCTTCATTGGTGAGACTCCGGTTCAGGCCTCCAAAAATGTTCAACTAAATGCCAGCGTCAGCACAGTCATTTTCCTGCACCATGTTTCCTGGGTGCAGGGAACTCTGACTGGCATGAGGATATTAATTATATCCTTGAGGCTCAAGGTTATTCAGTCCTCCAGGTTGAAATATTCACTTGACCCCCTTGTGACTGTCGTTGTCAACTCCTTATTGTAGTTAAGATCACTTTTGATAATTTATATGAACAAGATGAAGGTGAGCACCACTCTTTTTTCCCTGGTTCCCCAAATGATCTTCCTTCCTCCTTTTCCCTGCCATTTTTTCAATCCTTTATCTACCTGAATTTATCTGAGGGCCAGTATTTCTCTAGTGGCCTCGACAAGGGCAGGAAGCTGGCAGATTGGAACAGGTTCCCCCCCCCCCCATTTGTCCTGATGATATTTTTCTCACTCTGCTGTCACAGTGAAGCTTCCCCTTTCCTCCAACAACTGCTCCAACTTGCTATTGATAAAATTTTGTTCTGGGCTTCCAATCATGGCTTTTAAGCTTTTCTATAACTAAAATTTGTGCTGTGACTTACTTGGAAGCATGTCGCTCCTTGTCCCCCATTGTCGCTGTTGTAATTCCATTCTGGTACGTATAAAGATACTGCTAAACCCTTGGGGTTGAGCTTTGACACTAGTTTATCTTGGTTACCTCCATATCTTTCACCTCCGAGCTGAATGCTGGAAGGCACTTGTCTAGCTTGGCCCGAGTCAAGCATGCTTGACCCGTACTTCCTGGGGATTTTGAGTATCCAGCTACTATACACAGATGACTCTCGGCTATATAGTCGTCCCAGCTTGGTGCGTTCTTTTGATAACATTATAAAGCTCTAATATTTAATGGCAAATATTTAAAATAATTTTCTGAGAAATGTAGCCAAAAATTAGAAAAGGACATCAATCAATGTAGGAAAAAAGAGGGAGAATTAATTACTGGGTATTTTTATTTTGTGACAAAACTTTATAAAATTCTTTGAGTAGTACTCATTTTTGCTGTTTTTATGGTGGTATTCTATATATTGGGAACACTTGTCTTAGTATTGAATTGGACCACATTTTCTATTAGAAACTGGAGGTACTTTAATTTTCCCCCTCTGAATAATATTTTTTGTTTTCAATTCTTTTTAATTGTATGTATAGAAGAAAAGGTGTATTTATTTATTAAAAATGCACGGTGATAAATACACTACAAATTTAATTATTGTGTAGCTCCATATTGATACTTAGTTGAAGCGGCTGCAAGAAGAGTTCCCACACCAAAAGGGTTCATTTTAAATGCAGTTTTTTTTTATGCAATCATTTAATGCCTCTTACAGTTGTTTTCTCATTTCCTCGCCTTTTCTCGTCATTTACAGGGTGAGGAGAGATTAGATCTTGCTATCTTTTGATTTTCTAGTATATTCTACCTATAGGTCTCTGCCGTTTGGCTTTCATAATGCCATATCTTGGTGGCAAGTAAACAGACGGCTCTTTTCTTGCTGCTACAATATATTTATTGTCCAGATCTAACTATACATCCATGTTTATACTTTTCCAGGTTATTCAGTTCGTTCCTTTCTCATATTTGACTCTCCATATCTGACACGTCTTACTTAGGCAGTGCAAATTCTCTGATAAGTTTCTAAGGAGATACTAACCAAAGTGCAGGATGTTAAGGTCGGATGCTTAGTATTAATCAATTGAAAAGTGAAAGGATGCTTATAGGCATGATGGGAAGGTTTAAAGAGAGATGAGTATGGTTATATTGGGTTGCTTGCAGGAAGTCTGTTATGGTCATCCTGTTGAGGAATCCTTCTGTGAAGGATGAAGCATCTTAATCAGAAGTGGAGAGAAACTGATCACAAAACTTGTATTAATTTGTTATTTTAAAGCTTGTAACTTGGTTACAATATCTTTCAACACTTCACATTGCATTCATAAGTTTGTTCTATTTATTAATTGATAAATATATGTAAAAATTTTTATATAATAAACAAAATTAAGATATATTGAAGGGATTTGTGGTAGTTTGGTTTTAATGTAATGGTTCTTCATAAAACATTTATCCACACTTTTAAGTGCCTATATGGCATCACGGTATGACTCCTACAGATTTGCACATTGATGCATCACGAGAGTATGTGTGTTAGGATTATTCGAGTACTGTATTGATTTACACAGCATTTTTACAAATACCCTAAAGAATTTCATTTCTATGGAGATTGCTGAATTGGCTATAATAATGCTCTCTGTGCTCCTTAATTAAGGGCATTGGAATCTTTTTCCTAATTCGTCTGTTCCCCCATGCTCCGGAGACATTTTAACACACTGTACTGCTTTTCCCTTCCGTGATGCTCCAAACTTTTCCATCTTTATAAGCATGTTTACTCTGTACTCTCACTGCACTCATCCATCACCCTTTCCACATGTCTAAGGTGTTTTATCTTGATTCTTTCTATTCTCTCACTATACTTACTGTTTTGTGTGTAGTATATGCAAGTAATATTCACAAATACGTTTTCCCATTTTTCAGCCCCATACGAGGGTGGTGTTTGGAAAGTACGCGTCCACCTGCCAGAGCACTACCCTTTCAAATCTCCGAGCATTGGGTTCATGAACAAAGTTTATCACCCCAACATTGATGAGGTGTCGGGCACAGTGTGCCTAGATGTAATAAATCAAGCCTGGACAGCCTTATATGGTGAGTAGGCTAATTACTCTACACTCCTTACTCTGGAGTTTAGTACAGTGTTGTATTTGCTTCCACACTTACTCTACATTATTTTTGCTATTTTTATGGTTTTTAATTAATACTGTGTTTAAATACTCAAAGTTTGTATCCTAGAAAGATGATTTAATTTTATGACATAGGGTGAGCTATGATATGACCCTTGCGTAGATTTCTGCAACTCTTCAAAAAGTGGCACTTATGAACTGTGCACTTGTAGCAAAAGTAATTAACCCTCTTATCACAGGTCAACACTATTCCAATTGAGGGAAATAGGGATTCAGAAGAGTTGTTTAATCCTTGGGCTGCACTGTTAATAGCTGACAACCCCTTAAAGAAAACAAAAATTCCCTTAATTTTGTTTCCTTCTAATATTGTTAAATTGCATTCCCTGCCCATAGGAAAAATAATAATAAAAAATAAAAAAAATTGTGCGACTTACTTTGGCCATAGTGAAGCCTGGCAGTCTCATGGTGTCAAGATTCACAAGCATTCACGACAAATTGCACATTGGCTGGTTGCACCGAGCCAGCTTTGAGGCCGTGAAGCTGCTGCGAAGATGTTTTTTTACATAACTAATCAGACATTTCTGATTAGTTTTTTTCAGTAATATTATTTAAAAGTGTGTATTTTCAGAATTTTTTATAATCAAATGTGGAACATCAGAATGCTCAATTATATTTGTTTCACCAAGATGGGCACATTATTATTTGCTTAGAAGAATAAAACATTCTGGTTTTGTTGTTAGTATTTTTCTATATATATACACTTTATACATAACTCTGTATATTTTCATGCACAATTACGAGGTGTGAAGCCGTTCTGGTGGGTGTGGTAATCTAAGATGTGGTCAGGGTTCACCCTAGCTCTGCATGTTTTGCATAAAATTGTAACTGTTCACATTGATTATACAGTATAATATTTTCTTTATATTTTTAATGTTTTACTATGTTTTTTAAAGTGCAGTGATACAATGAGCTGTAAATAATGTTATTTGTATCACAAAACATGTAGATCACAGGTATGCATATATATTTGTTACTAAGATACCCACTATTATTTGCTTAGAATAATAAAATGTGTTGTATTTGGTGTTATTACACTGTACTGTACACGCTTATATATAACTATGTACATCTTAATGCACAGTTACAAACCACTAGGCTGTTCTGGTAGGTGTGGTAATGAAATCCAAGGTCAGCATAGTGCCCCCCACACTACTGGCAGATGGTGCCAACTGACTATGCAAAATGCGTCACAACATACTACATACATACATCACTAATTCTAGGCACATAGTGTGCACATTAGACACGATTGTTATATTCTTAGAACAAGAAAATGGTGCTTTAGCTCTTAATATACTGCATATACACTATTTATATAGTGTCGGTAGCTACATTTTTATGCATCATTACAAACCACTTAGCTGGTCTGATGGACCCGCACAGCATAGTGTCTGCATGCTAATCAGGTCACATGATGCCACCTGACTCAAGATAAGGCCTCCAATATAATCTGCCTATTGCTAACTGCAGGCAGTGTTGCTACTATTAGCAGTATCCTGGCCTCTAAATCCCGAATATGAAGAATTTTGCACAGGTTTATTTTCTAAAGTAGCATGAGGTCATTTCATGATGCGTAGATGCATCAAACACTGGCAGAATGCTGTGGTTATCTGTGTCATGCTGTGAACATCATAAATAGCATTGTTCACTGATATTACTTATGTACATAGTCTTTATCACACTCGGGATCTTCTGTGATACTATCATCGCAAAATAAGTTACTTATATAGTTTGTCATTTTTAAGTGATGCTGTGGTCACAAGCTGAACAGCAGTGCTATTAGCTCATGCTGCATATACTGTCCTTGGTTGCTCACTCAGTGTTGATGCCTTTACACCCAGGAATGGTGTCCATGAATGTGTTTCGAAATGGAGTCTGTTTACTGGAGACCTTGAGAAAGCCAATATGAGGCCCGTGTACCCGCGGGACTCTTAAATATTATGCAGCACTGTACTGTCATCCCTGTATGACCCGTACAGTGTGGTCAGATATGACAAAAGCACCTCTGTATGACCCATACAGTGTGGTCAGATATGCCAAAAGCACCTCTGTATGACCCATACAGTGTGGTCAGATATGCCAAAAGCACCTCTGTATGACCCATACAGTGTGGTCAGATATGCCAAAAGCACCTCTGTATGACCCATACAGTGTGGTCAGATATGCCAAAAGCACCTCTGTATGACCCATACAGTGTGGTCAGATATGCCAAAAGCACCTCTGTATGACCCATACAGTGTGGTCAGATATGCCAAAAGCATTTCTGTATGACTCATGCAGTTGAAGGGTTAAGTTATTAAGGAACTAACCAGACTGAAAAATTGACTAGAATTCTTATCTTGTAAATCCTTTCTGATTGCACATCTTGTATCTGAGGTCAAATGGTGATTGTTTTTTACCATTGTTGAGACCAGGAAGTCTATAAAGTTAATTGAGATCCCCCTAAGCCAGCGACTGACCTTTCCCCGGATGCAACACACAACAGTTGCCTAACTCCTGGTGAAGAGAGGTATCGGGTGAAAGAAAACGGTCCCAAATGCTTCTGCCCAGCTGTAGGAATTGAACCCGGGACTTGTGGTTGTGATCAGACTACGCCAACCACTGTTCAGTATAACTAAATTTTCTTTGTTTTGACTTTCAGATCTATCAAATATCTTTGAAAGCTTCCTTCCACAACTTTTAACATATCCAAATCCAATTGATCCCTTAAATGGGGATGCCGCTGCCATGTACCTCCACAAGCCTGAAGAATACAAGAAAAAGGTGTCAGGTATGTTTTCCCATTTATTACTGTTAATGTTACTGTACTGTTGTAACAGTCTCTCACTGAATCATCACCCAGCTTTTTAAACCAACATATCATAGTGCATTGATCAGTGTGTAATTAAAATAAATAAAATTAATAAAAAATATAATTAAAATTATATTTATAAAATTTTTAATTGTAATTAAAAAAAAATATATATATATACATACACACTGTATATAATATAATAAAATTTTGTACCTAGTAGCCAGAACACACTTCTCATCCTACTATGCAAGGCCCAATTTGCCTAATAGGCCGAGTGATTTTTTTTATTTTCCATAAATTGTTTCCAATTAGTTTATTTGAATTATTATTATTATATTTTACTAGGAATGCAAATTATTGACTTAGTTATATTGGTTTAGGTTGGGTTAGGTAAGGTAGGTTAGGTTCGGTCACATATCTACGTTAGTTTTAACTCAAACAAAACGAACTCGTACATATTTAAATGGATAGTAGTATCATTTGATAAGAAAAAAATTAGAAAAATAAATAAATTCAGGAAAACTTGGCTTATTAGGCAAATCTGACCTTGCATAGTAGGCCGAGTATTGCATTCTGGCTACTTGGTACAATCAAATATATATCCTTTGTACTTACTAGGTACAATAAAATATAAACGAACAAATGTTCATTTGTTCAAATCACTAATCTCCAAAAGTTCTTCGATTGCTTTGAAATTTTCACACAACATTCCATTTGCATCCGAGTGGGTTTTTATATACGTACTATATAGATGTCACGTCTGTGACGGGAAAAAACATGCTTTTTTGAAAACTGTGTTTTTCATGTGAGGGGAGTAGTGTGTTTTTATATATACTTACTATATACTGTATATGCCTCATCTGTGACAGGAAAAACATGGCTTAAAAAAAAAACAGCACCATCTGTTGGATGTAAGAGCAACACACACAGTAATCTCCAAACGTTCTTCACCGATTGCTTTGAAATTTTGACACGACGTTCCATTAGAATACGTGGGTGTTTTTATATACTTACTATATAGATGTCACACCTGTGACAGCTTAAAACATGCTTTTTTTTTTAAAAACAGTGCCATTGTTGCACTTAACACTATCGCCCGCACCACGTTTGCACCGCAGACTTTGACGTCATGGGGCTAATGATGCGGGCGAGCGTGCGGCAAAGCCTAAATGTGTATACTCGTTTCAGTTTTCTCACCTTAATTCTCATGCTACGTTGTTCGTTTTGGTATCATTGTATTCGCAATTAAATTCCCTGCAGATGTATATGCATATGTTATCCAAAAGCCTGGCGAGACTCCCCACAGCAAAGCCTAAAATTACCCGTGAACGAGCACCAATTTGCACACCACAACTTAATGTGTATACTCGTTCAGTTTGATAACATCAATTTTCATGTTACATTGCTTGTTTTTGTATCAAATTGTTCGCAATATAAAGGCGCGCATTTCAAAACTAGTCTCATAATAATAGAGCAATAACTTGAATTTTAACCAATATTTTAATTTTGGACACATCATCATCAAAATTACTTATATCTTTCCAGTGTTCTGACATCAATTTTCATGTTACATCGCTCGTTTTGGTATCAAATTGTTCACAATATAAAGGCGCGCATTTTAAAACTCGTCCCATAATAATAGCACAATAAATAGAATTTTAAGAAATATTTTAAAATGTAAAATTTTTGACCCAAAAACGTATTTATAATCTTTAAAGTGTTCTGCCATAAAGTTTCGTGTTATATCTTTCATTTTGGTATCAAATTGTGCGCATTCTACAGGCGCTTATTTTGAAACTATCCCAAGGTCGATAGGATAAAAAATTAATTTTATACAAATATTCTCGCGAGTCCTGTCCACAGCCAGGACTCCAGAGAAAAAAAAAATAATGGACGTGATCGGTGTCCAAAGCGAGCGATGCTGTTAATAACAACACACGCTATACTAAATGTTACAATACCATTTCAATATTTTCGATTTCATTGATAAATAGTTTTCATAGATTTCAATTTATTTTCATTTTAATTTAATTATTTTGTGTGACATTGCGTTTGAATTGAGCTGTGTTGTTTACCATGCCGTTCGTTTCATGAGTATAAGTATAGATGCCACACCTGTGCCAGGTAAAAACATTCTTTTTTAAGACACAGCGCCATTTGCTGCACATATGAGCAACACACGCTTTAGTAAATATGTTACAATTTAATTTCAATGTTTCCGATTGCATTGACATTGAATTTTCATAGATTTCAATTTATTTTCATTTTGGTTTAATTATTTTGTGTGACATTGCGTTTGAATTGAGCTGTGTTGTTTACCATGCCGTTCGTTTCATGAGTATAAGTATAGATGCCACACCTGTGACAGGAAAAAACCATGTTTTCTTTTTAAACAGTGTTGTTGTTGCACATAAGAGCAACACACGAAATACTAAATATGTTACTTTTCCATTTCAATGTGTCCTATTTCATTAATAAATTGAATTTTCATGGGTTTCAAATTTTCATTTTGATTTAACTATTTTGTGACATTGCGTTAGAATTGAGCTGTGTTGTTTTCCAAATTATTCATTTCGTGAGTATAGTTTATTTTTTTATTATTTCATTGTTTTTCATTTTGTTTTTCTGTTTTACTTGTATTTAAGTGATAGGAACATCAGATCATTTGGAAATGCATCAGACAAGGGAGGGGGGGAATAATGGGAAGGACGAGGGGACAGGGGAGGGTGGGTAGTGGTTGGGAGAACGATGGGACAGGGAGTTGGGGACAGGAGTGGAGAATGGTGGGGAGGACAAAGGGAAAGGGAAGTGAAGGATGATGGGGATCTTGTTCTTGAGGTTATCTTGAGATGATTTCGGGGCTTTTCTAGTGTCCCCGCGGCCCGGTCCTCGACCAGGCCTCCACCCCTAGGAAGCAGCCCGTGACAGCTGACTAACACCCAGGTACCTAATTTACTGCTAGGTAACAGGGGCATAGGGTGAAAGAAATTCTGCCCATTGTTTCTCGCCGGCGCCTGGGATCGAACCCAGGACCACAGGATCACAAGTCCAGCGTGCTGTCCGCTCAGCCGACCGGGAAGATGAGGGGTCCGGGGAGTGGGGAATTGGTTAGGAGGACAAGTGGATGGAGTGGGGGATTGTTGGGGACGACAAAGGTATGGGGGGAGGGGGGGGAATGGTGGGGAGGACAAGGGGATAGGGTAGCGGGGAATGGTTGAGGGGAATGTTGGGGAGGACTGGGAAAACGGGGAAGGTTGCGTGGCAGGGTACAGCTAGTGTGTGTGTGTAATTACCTAAGTGTAGTTACAGGATGAGAGCTACGCTCATGGTGTCCCGTCTTCCCAGCACTCTTTGTCATATAACGCTTTGAAACTACTGACGGTCTTGGCCTCCACCACCTTCTCACTTAACTTGTTCCAACCGTCTACCGCTCTATTTGTGAAGGTGAATTTTCTTATATTTCTTCGGCATCTGTGTTTAGCTAGTTTAAATCTATGACCTCTTGTTCTTGAAGTGCCAGGTCTCGGGAAATCTTCCCTGTCGATTTTATCAATTCCTGTTACTATTTTGTATGTAGTGATCATATCACCTCTTTTTCTTCTGTCTTCTAGTTTTGGCAATTTTAATGCTTCCAACCTCTCCTCGTAGCTCTTGCCCTTCAGTTCTGGGAGCCACTTCGTAGCATGTCTTTGCACCTTTTCCAGTTTGTTGATGTGCTTCTTAAGATATGGGCACCACACAACAACTGCATATTCTAGCTTTGGCCTAACAAAAGTCATGAACAATTTCTTTAGTATATCGCCATCCATGTATTTAAATGCAATTCTGAAGTTAGAAAGCATCGCATAGGCTCCTTGCACAATATTCTTTATGTGGTCCTCAGGTGATAGTTTTCTATCTAGAACCACCCCTAGATCTCTTTATCAGAATTCTTTAAAGATTTCTCACATAATATATAGGTTGTATGGGGTCTATGTTCTCCTATTCCACATTCCATAACATGACATTTATTAACATTAAATTCCATTTGCCAGGTGGTGCTCCATATACTTATTTTGTCCAGGTCTTCTTGAAGGGCATGACAATCATCTAAATTTCTTATCCTTCCTATTATCTTAGCATCATCAGCAAACATGTTCATATAATTCTGTATACCAACTGGTAGATCATTTATGTACACAATAAACATCACTGGTGCAAGAACTGAACCCTGTGGTACTCCACTTGTGACATTTCTCCATTCCGATACATTGCCTCTGATTACTGCCCTCATTTTTCTATCAGTCAGAAAATTTTTCATCCATGATAGAAGCTTACCTGTCACCCCTCCAATATTTTCCAGTTTCCAGAAACTGGAAAAAAACTCTTATGTGGAACTCTGTCGAAAGCCTTTTTTAGGTCCAGATAGATGCAGTCAACCCAACCATCTCTTTCCTGTAATATCTCTGTGGCTCGATCATAGAAACTGAGTAAATTCGATACACAGGATCTTCCAGATCGAAAACCATACTATCTGTCTGATATTATATCATTTCTCTCCAGGTGTTCTACCCATTTAGTTTTGATTAGCTTTTCCAATACTTTCACTATTACACTTGTCAATGATACAGGTCTATAATTGAGGGGGTCTTCCCTGCTGCCACTTTTGTAGATTGGAACTATGTTAGCCTGTTTCCACACGTCTGCTACGATTCCTGTACACAGGGATGCCTGAAAGATCAGGTGAAGTGGAATGCTGAGCTCAGATGCACATTCAGAACCCATGGTGAAACGTCATCTGGGCCAGCTGCTTTGTTCTTCCCGAGCTCCTTTAGCATATTTTCCACTTCATCTCTAGACACCTCTATCCGCTCTATGTTGTTCTCTGGAATTCTTATTGTGTCTGGTTCTCTGAAGATTTCATTTTGTACAAACACACTTTGGAACTTTTCATTTAATGTTTCACACATTTCCTTTTCATTTTCCGTGAATCTGTTTCCCATTTTCAACCTCTGGATATTATCCTTTACCTGCAATTTGTTGTTTATGAATTTGAAGAATAGGCCCGGTTCTGTTTTACATTTATCTGCTATCCCTTTTTCAAAATTGTGTGTGTGTGTGTGCGTGTGTATAATATTTATATATTTTTATATATTTATATTTTTGTTTTGTAATGTCTACAATTTATTTTTGAACTTTGAAACAAATTTGTCTTATGAAATGATAAGGTTTTTATTATAATATATGACGTCGGGATACTTTGTCAAAATAAACTTTAGAGCCTGACTGAGCCTAAATATGCAGCTTGGTCAGTTCTATACAGCCTATGTACGACTAGGCCTAAGTAAGAAATTCTTAATACAATGTTAATAGTATTAGAGGGTTAACTGATTTCAAAATAAATATGCAAATACTGTCTTGCATAGGTATTATCCAGCATGATGATACAGATAAGATAGCTAGAGCTGCATATAATAAACCTGAAATTGTACTTGACCTGGGTACAGTATGCCAGTCTGCTGAGGCTCTGTGGTAAGTTAGTATCTTGAGAGTTGCTGAAGACCCCATACTTTGTTCCTTCTTTCCTAAAAAATTTGAAGGGGTATCCTTGTTTGGGAAGCTCAGGAATGAGGAGGCTGGCTGGCTGGTATACCTGATGGCCTGGGCTGTGATCTGGTGGCAGGTCGGTGCATCGTGGCTGGTACACCTGATGGCCTGGGTTGTGATCTGGTGGCAGGTTGGTGCATCGTGGCTGGTACACCTGATGGCCTGGGTTGTGATCTGGTGGCAGGTCGGTGCATCGTGGCTGGTACACCTGATGGCCTGGGTTGTGATCTGGTGGCAGGTCGGTGCATCGTGGCTGGTTGGCTGGCTGGTACACCTGATGGCCTGGGCTGTGATCTGGTGGCAGGTCGGTGCATCGTGGCTGGTACACCTGATGGCCTGGGTTGTGATCTGGTGGCAGGTCGGTGCATCGTGGCTGGCTGGCTGGTATGCCTGATGGCCTAGGCTGTGATCTGGTGGCAGGTCAGTGCATTGTGGCTGGTTGGCTGGCTGGTACACCTGATGGCCTGGGTTGTGATCTGGTGGCAGGTTGGGGCTTCGTGGGCAGGATTTACATCTATTGGCACAAATTGTTTGCTTAGTTTTCTTCAGTTACAAATTTCCTTAAGCAGTTGCATCGTTTTGATGTGTGTATAATTCCTGCAGACTATTTCTAGGTTTTAGGTTGATCTGATTCTCAGGTTATCCTCTCCTTGTAGAGATTCTGGTCCTGGCTCCCGTTAAGCTCAAATGGGTCCACCAAGTGGTCCACAAGTGGTCCACAAGAAAAAGGAGTCTCATTTTATTATTTGATGATAATATTTGTATTTGAGTTTGCTTTAATATTTCTACATATTTGATTAATATTTGTACTTTGCACTAAAATCCTTTGGGCCTAGATGAGTTAAGATTACATTTGCTGGTACAATTCCAGACAAGACCTGTTTGCTCACCAGCCTTTGTTCATGTTAATATGCTTAGATGAAACAAAACAAACTAATTTGTGACAGTTTTTAGTACATTTTAAATATTATTATTTGATATAGTTTTTAAAGAGTCTCTTCGGTAGGTCCCCAACACAAAACACTGGTATGCCATATCCTAGGAAGAAGCACCAAGCCTCCGACACCCGCCTTTTTCTTCCTGAAGCCCATATATTGACCCAGAAGAAAAAAACAGCAATACAATAAACAAGAATAATTCATGGAATTGGAATGGATAATAAAGGCCATACATATGCCAAGGCTACAATAACGGTTTCGGTTTGATGTCCAAAGAGCTTGGAAAGGATGTGGGAGGAAGAAGGATGGGGCGATGAAATTCTTGGAAGAGGATTTGGATGTGGAGAGAGGAGGCTTGAAAGTTCGGTGGCCCGTCCACCTTGGATTGGAGATGTTTTTCAGTCAAAGCCTGTAGCTTAAGTTCTTCTTGGGCGGCAGGAGGCTAGTGGTGGGGCAGGGTGATGTCGTCCTGGTTCACTTGAGGTGGTCTGTCTGGCTTGGAGGAGGCGTCTTCCTTATTGAGGTGGTGAGAGGTAAGTTCATTGTTGCTTGGTGGTGTCTTGGCCACGAGGTATTCGCATGTACTTCCCAAATGACAGCGGTGGTATTGGTATTCCTGTTGGGTCTTCATCTTCTTCCAGGAAGGTCACTTGTCCCCTCTTGAAGTCGAATTTAGGGTCGATGTGTTCACTCTCCAGAGCGCAGAGGTCTACATAATGTTCCACGGTCTCGTGGTGGACAAACACAGGGTAAGGAATGCAGGTCTTAAGCTGGTTGATGATCCTGTTGCATTCTAAGGCAATGACCATTCTTGTGCTTCGATTGCCGTTGAAAGTGCCACCGTGATTGAGGTAAAGTCCATAGTAGGGCTTTTTCTTGCTTGATTTGCTTGGGTTTAGGTCGAAGTCTGGGGCCTCATATGTGACGGTCTCAGCCGAGGCAGATGGAAGCAGTGGTGCTTCTAGGAACTCTGGTGCTGGTTCTGGTTCTGAATCTGATTCTGATTCCACTTGCCGACGTTTTGCTCTCCTTTTCATCCGTCCTCGGCTGGTGGGGGCAGGTGATGAGGTTGACTGGTCTGCTGTGGTGGTGGTCAGGGTGGATGCTGTTGCCTGGGTGACTTGTGCTGGGTTCGACTCTATATAATAACCCCTCCCCACAACACTTACAACTGTGGCATCTAACACCATACCAACTACCAGTACTAGACAGAAAACATCATAGTCCCTCATTCTCTTAACAAGCTAAGGCAACATTAGAATTAACCCCCCACCAAAAAAAATAAGCTGCCATTGAAAACAATTTAAACATTAACTTTTTCACTTTCATTATGTGACAATGCATGGAAGATGGAACACCACGAGCGTAGCTCTCATCCTGTAACTACACTTAGGTAATTTCTCCTTGGTGGCATGCTCAGCCTTGGTTTCCTTGTCTGAATCTGGTATCTTCCTTCAGCTCCTCCACTTTCAGCAGATTGATCTAGAGACCTTCCTCGCAAATTTGAGGTTCTTTTCAGATTATCACATTTGGGAGCTTGTGATTGGTCTATAACCATCTGTATGATAATTAACTAGTGTAGTAATAGGATAAGAGCTATGCGCGTGGTGTCCTGTCTTCCCAGTACTCTCACACAATGCTTTGAAACTACATATTGACGATTTTGGCCTCATTCACCATCGCATTTAACTTGTTCCCAAGCTCTGTCTTCCAAATGTGTGTTTCATCATGGTGACAACATGAAGTTTTCTAGCATTTTGTCTTTTACCAGAAGCTGGGGTTTAGTTCTTTTGACTCTGGTTAGCAGTGTTTTCACAGCCTTCTCATTCTTTTCTGGCAAAGCAAGAGATGTGTGGCTTTCAGAAGGGTTCTTCAGTTATTGATTCTTGGTTTGTTTAGCAGATGTATCTCAGGTTATGTCCAGTTGTGCTGTCCTCCGCTACCTGCGCATGACCCAGGCTACTTCGGATGATGTGGTGGTGGTTGATTTAGTTCTCCTTAGTCTCCTGTTCCAAGGTGCAGATGTCTTATGGAAGTGGAGCTATCTGAGCATGGCTAGCTCCAGGAAGCCACCGATGCTCCCGTCCCCCCTCCCTCCCTCCCTCCCTCCCACAGAGGCCTTTCATTACATTCAACAATGCTTTCTTTTACTTTAGCTTCCTACTAAACATGACTCCCAAATGTTTTTTGCAAATCTTATTTACAATTTCAACATTATGCAGCTGATATCTGGAAACTATTATTATTATTTAAGCTCGGAACCCTATATTTTTAAGCATTAGACTACTGTACATCCATTTGAGAGCATATTTAGAGCATCTTGAAGTGATTCGGTTCTTTTGAATTTTTCTGTCTCCATTTACAACAATTTTGCTAATTGAACTTAACTACATTTATGCTAAAACAGCTTTCTTTGAAATAACCACACCCTACTCCTGTAATAATAATTTGAGTTGTGTACATGTGGTTGCTTATACAAACATTTTCAGGAAGTTGATAATCAGCACGAGTGTGACACCCTTCAAGAACACAAAGTTAATTTAACAAGCAAAGCCAGATATTTATGATGGATTGTGATAATGAATCAAATGAAAGTTGTTCCTGTGAATACTAAACTAGTGAGGAAATGTAAACAAATCAGATAGTCTATTTACTCGGATTTTATTGATTACATGCTTCCCATTTTTCAGTTTCACACTTGTCATCTACTGTATTTCTTTGAAAATCCTTTAACTATCAAGTGTAATTAACAGGCTTTGGTATGAATTGAATTGGTGTGTATAAAATTACTGTTAGAATTTTACACACAAGCAGGTGTCATCAGGAGGTTATCACTGTTGACACTGATGGTGAGTAGCGGTAACATTGGAAAGCAGCTAGTACGGTATTACTGTGTTTTTCTAAATGATGACTAAACCACACACCAGAAGATGAAGAAATGCCACTGTTTTGGTCTGTTCTGGACCATTATCAAGTCATTTTGGTCCAGGACGGACCAAAACATCGTTGTTTTTTCATCTTTTGGTGTGTGGTTTGGTGTGTGTGGATATTTTCAGCCACGGTATTGTGACTCGTCTGCATATTTCTCTAGTTACCTGTATTATTTATGCTCAGCAAGTGAACCTAGGAAACGTACTTTGCAGATTATGTTAAGCGATATGCAACTGAAGAGGCTCTGAAGGAGCAAGAAGCTGCTCAAGCAGACTCTTCAGACTCTGAATCCTCCATGTCTGACTTTTCCGAAGATGAAGCACAAGACATGGAGCTCTAACCATCCCAGCTGACCCGTATCATCGCAGTCTCCTTCATCCTCCCCTCCCCATCACCTCGTGCTCCAAACTCCCAGTCAGCTGTTTATCTGCCATAGCATCATTTTTTCATAATACATTTCAGGTAGTGTACAATCATTCATTAAATTTTTGAGGTCCAATTTCAAAATATATTCGTATTTATGATACTTTTGCCCCCCAAAATTGTATAATGACAGATGGTTATTGATACCTTGCAGCTTTATTTCCTTTACTTTTGTACATAGCAATGTCTCCTCTTCAGATAAAGTTTATCAACAATAACCACATGTCGTTAGTGGTATTCACTCCAGTTCGATATCATATGGGGAAAATGTGAACCTGGTGGGATAATTGGTTTTATTTTTTTGTGTAACAGATAATAAGAGTTGTTGGTGTTTTGACATTCAACCATGGCAAGTATTTGCAAGACCACTCAGTGAAAATTACATGATTATAGGATAGGGATTAATTTTGGGTCGGTAATTACATTCAAAGCAGCCATATAGTCAGTCATCCTTTAATCAAACTTACTTTTTTTTCTATTTTATTTTTGCTAAGCTTATTACGTTTTGCCAAATATGCTCAAGTACAGTACTTTGAGGTACCATCAACTGCCATATTTTGCCTTGAACTGCAATAATTGGAATCATTTTTGTTAAAAATTACTACAGATGGCTAGCTCAAGAACTATACAAAAAGAAATCAATAAACTGTATGCAATTCTATTCTGAGAAAACTTAGGATTGTTATCTATCATTACTATAGAAAGATTATAGATTTTTGTTCTAAAGCTGCCTGAACATTTGGGATACTGTATTTAGTATTTTTTTAAGCAGCAAAATTGTATCATGTTCATGTACAAAGTTGAAATTTACCAGGTAATATAGTTTCTCCACTGATCAAATATTTTGTGAATAAACACAACATTTTTACAGAAGAATTGTTGCCTTGAGAAAACGGCTGGCATAATTGAGAGTCATGGAGCTTCATAATCGTTCACAGAGATTATATTAAGAGTAAACAGTGACTCCTTCACAGACAAATGAGGGAATAGTTTTTATACAGGAGACATTTTTTTCCTAGTGCCACACATTTGTTCCCCCCGTGTGCATTCTTGACTCAGCTCCTGCGTGTTTTCTCGTTTGCTAGTTTCTCCCCCAAGTGTTGTGTTGGTGGTAAGAGTAACTCACCGAGCTGATTGCCAGTACTGAACAACAACACATCACACATGGTAATTATTATTATCTGCTATACCTCATGTGTTATATTATTGTAAGTGATCTTATATGCATTTTGTAGCTGCATACAGTATACAAATGGCTAGTAACGTCTTAGTTTTCACTTAATACTGTAGTCCATCAGTGTTATAATACATGATATTGCCATCTACAGTTTAGATGTTCTGGTTAATGTCTTTATATAATTATAATGTTATCACACATTGAAAATACTCAACCACTAACATGCAAGCTCAAAATAAATAAATTTGCAAATTACTACATGTTCCATTAATAAATATAACTTCATTAAGTCTGGATAAGATTAACCATATCTCTTTAATTTGAGTAAACAAATTCTTCATTTAGGATTGAAAGGAGCTGACTTGAAATGCACTTGGTGTTATCAGGTGGAGGGACAGTGGTGGCCAAGTTATGTACTTCCACGTACCACAAGGCCTCGGCTCTGTTAGAAGTTTGCGTTATTAAAGACATCTACAGTTCAAAGTTTTCATACTTTGTGTCTGCAAATATTTTAAATCATTTTAGTAGGAAAACTTTAGAAGTTTCAAAAAGAAATTTCCCTCAAAGCAGTTTTTATTGTAAGTAGAACTTTTGAGAGAGTTTGAGCTTGGGGTTTCTGGGAGTACAGTGTTATACATGATGTTGAGTGTGACTGTGACTTTATTTTATCTTATATGATGACAGATAGTTTAATATGTCTGTGTTTTGTTTTAGTGCTAAGATGTTTGAACTTGAGGACTCGGTATATGCACTTCATTCACTACACTGCGTTTTTCATTATTTTTTGAAGGAGTCTGGATGTCATAGCTGGAAACCAGAAATCCATATTGGTTGGTTACATTAACATGTTGGCTGGAGACTCTTGCCTTTAATTAGCAATGGGAAGCTGTGTATTAATGAGCCTTGGGATCATTGATATTTGTGAACTTTGGGACCATCATTGGCAAATCATGTTTGAAAAAGATTGATGTAAGCTTTTGGGGCTACACTATAACATTAAATTGTAGAACTGGTTGGCCAAACAATCAATTAAATATCTTGTTAAATGTGATGCCTAATTGGCATGTAAAATATTTTCTTAGTCGAAAAATATTTATGAACGGGAATTTGAACCCATGCTGCAGGACATTGAACATAGATTACTGAACATCAAAAGAGCATGCATATATGCCACGTCTAGTCAGTGATCATTGTGCCACATTACAGAGAAGCACGGCATGTATGGATAGTTTGTTTTTGTTCAAACTTAATTTGCAGGTTTTGGATGAAGGGATTAATGGAAACTAATATGTTGGGTAATCAAAAAATATTTTAAGCTGCAGGATGTTGATTTCAAAGAGGTCTGTGCTTGATAGCCCTTGTTCCTCGGTGCTTGGAAGCTCTTTAATGTTGATATCAAGAGTTGCCTACTGAGACCCCATTCTCTCGACTCACATGTACACGAGCATACACTTGCATACTCATCCTTACAATACAACTTTACGTAGTTCAATGATATGTTTGTTTATGCCTCACATGTAGTACTGTATGTCATAGTCCATCATACTTTTGTATATTTTATGGCAGAGATTTTAGGTTTTCAATTTGGATTTGATTGTTTTTAATTGATTTGTAAAAATAGTGTACTGTACAAATGTGGATGATTATACAATAATTAAAATAACTTGATCATCTATAACAAAGAATAGATTAAGATGTTTTAATAAATAATTTTTCAGGCAATAGCATGACATTTTCATGAAAGATCATTCAATTAGCTCATTGGCTGTGGACTGTATCATAGGTGATTTGCTCTGATATTTATATTTACACTGCTCTTTCAGTTTAAAATTTAAGTAATCAGAGCTCAAGAATATTTCAAGCAATTTATGCAGTTTTTATTAAAGTAAGGGTCAAAATAAAGAGGAGAATATTCATTCGAATCATATTTATTTTTTAGATTTAGTTAAATAATTTATAAAACTAATAAAAGCAAGGTGATTTTTTTTTATAAGTTAGAAATATAACAAGCAGAATATTAAAGATATTTATCCTGTTCTGAAGAATGGGATTTCTTCTATTTCTAATGTCATCTAGGCATTAATGTAACCATTTCGCGTGTCTCCTTGTGCTATTTCGTTTTCTATTGATTCTGTCTTCTGGTTCTCCACTTGGTGGGTGTGCTTGCCGAGGCCATTTTCAGACTTTTAACAAATTCTTGTTTTTCAAGGCAAGCAATTAGCAGCTGCTTCACTTATGTTACAGCCAAATCAGCAAGTAACTTTTTTTTTAAAGTGAGTATTTGAAATATTGTATCAAATAAAGTTTAAATGTTAATGAAATGATTTGTGTGTGTGTGAGAGAGAGAGAGAGCCTCGAGGGATGTATATTACAAGAGAGAACAAGGCATAATTGAGAGCTAAGTGTAACTTTTGTTTGCAATTGTATCTAATCTGTGATCTGTTATAAATGAAATAAGATATTTATGGAATCGGAAGAATGCAAAAGCTGATTATTATTTGCTTGGACATTTCATTTGTTGGGTTGATTAGGAATTTTTTTGTTAAAACAATGTATATTCCACAAAATCCTGTACAAAATTCAACTGCAAGTGATCTTTGAAAAAGTTTTGTTCAAGTATAATTGAAAGCTGTTTAGTGAAAGTGGAGTTGATGTAGGCAATTCAGAGTGCAACCAAGAAACTGAGTTCCATGGACAAGTAATGTGAGAATTGAGGCCAGTGGCTAATGGAGTTGAGCTGCTCCGCCCACCATCTATGGTTCTCCTGTGTTGCCATCGTTGTGTCAACTTGAGCCAAGCTCTGTAGAGAGAGAGTTGTAAGCTTCCTGCTATGTTGCCTTACTTTACTTTTGAGTGTAATGAGTAAGCTTACTTGAAAATGTTTATAGTTGTGTAGACAGTATATTCCTGTTAAATTGGTATATATTTAATGACTTCTTTATAATATATTCAAGTGGAATAAATTTTATTTAAGAGTTGTAGAATTTGCTTACATGTTACTATGGGTTAAGACGTGTTTGGCCTAGATAGAGAAAAATTATCTATATTGAAATTTAGCATAGTGCTCCCTAATAGTGTGTCACTTAAGGTACGAGCAACTCTTCAAAAAATATTTAACATAGAGAGTAAGTGAGCAGTTTGTCACACTAACATGTTATATTTTATTGAGGTTATTAACATTATGGTCAATAAATATGTTCCTGGACTAAAAAAACCTTAAGCATATATGGTACATACCTATACTTGATTTCTGATTTGAATGAATGTAAAACATGATGTTTGAGCCAGTGCATTAGGCAGTTGATAAACTGGTTTCTAAGGCAAACTAATTCCCAAGTTGATATGTGACATGATGTTTGTCACTTGGGCATAATAATAATAGTGATGATGATGATGTAGTTACTGTATTTTTAACATTCTATAATTACAGCAAAATTGTGTGGTGCTCATAGTATCAATAACAATGTGCAGGTTTTGTTCAGGAACACATTTTATCTAAACTATTTTCAACACATCTTAACAGTGTTCAAAGGCTGCTTGTTCCGCATACTTTAACAACAGGTGCAAAACAGGTATGGGAATGAGTGCTTTTCAATCTGTTTTATTCTCAATTTTTTACCCATCACTGCTTAGTTTGTTTTATAACAGGAGTTGCGTGGTATATCTGTAAAGGCTTATGTTGGTAGTATTATTAGCATGGTTTGCCTTGGCATGAAGAGCGGAGCTGTGCTGTTGCTGTGTGTAGAGTTTTAACAGTAGGATCATCCAAGCATTGGTCTCCATGCTCATTATTCTCAAGATGCCATCTTTGTCACACATCTTGAAATCACTTATTTTTGGGTGCACATTATAGAACCTACATATTTCCTTATTGTGCATTATTGCTGGTTCAACAAGATTGAATTAATTTTGAAATTGAAAGGTAAACTGGATCTAGTATAAACAGTAAATTATGGTCTTGAACTTTTGCTTGTGCCAGTTAAGGATTTCAAAATCAGTGGAAGTGGTACAATTTGAGGTTGATGATCTCCAGACTCTGTGTTGGCGTGACCATTAGTATATAAGGACCATTATTGCTTGCCAGCCCCCCAAAGCTTTAAGGACAAGTGCTCACGCAGAGCTTGTAACACAAGCGCTATGAAAGAGGTTTACCTGCTAGGCAGCATTGGATATGGGTTGCATATCAAAATATCTTAGACAGTTGATGGGGCTGGTGGTATAAAAACCATTTGCTTACCTAGCTGATTGTTGCTTGAAGTACAGTACTGTACTTGGAAATAAAAAGAAAGTTGAAACCACAATAATTTTTATATTGAGTGCTCATGCTTTTTCTTCATTAATACAAAGCAAGAGATGTTCACACTCGGAAATAAAATATGGAGAAGCGTCGGTTTTTTAAGACAGGACAAATTTGTCAGATCTAATTTTTTTAAGATTTTGCGATCATCTTAATAATGTTTTAGAGTAAAATTTATAGCACAAAATGATATTTGATAGTTTAACAAAGTTTTCCTCTTTTCATATATTTTGAGCAGGTATGTTGCAAATCTGTTCTTTGCAGATTATTTTATGCAAAGTATATCATTTGGGTGAACTGAGGTTTATGGTCTAGTAGAAATCTGGAGCATGGGAAATATTCATCGATTGTTGATTGTCATTTTAGTCATTGCTTAAAGAATTTGGTAATTGCTCTTAAATATAACATTGCCATATTGATGAAAGCTGAGTCGGGTTAAAAAGATAAAATATAATTGTCACACTACAATAGCTTGACACCATTGATGCTTTAAAAAGAGTATATATTACTAGTTTGTATTAATATTTTATGCAAGTGTTTAGGTTTTAATAATGAGTTGCGAGATGCGGGCAGACTTTTAAGCGGTAAGATAGAATACCACTGGCACCAGTACCTGCTCAAGTGATGAGTTGCCTACACCAGGGATAACTACATTGTTATTCAAGTGTCTTAGTGAGTGCTTTGTAGTAAAAAATTTTACTTGATTCTAAAATACATTATGCCAAATTTAACTAATCAAATATATTCTGTGAGTAAATTATAATATATATATATATATATATATATATATATATATATATATATATATATATATATATATATATATATATATATATATATATATATATATATAATTAAAATCTCGTGTAATTATGAACAGTAAAGTTCACAATCAAAATGGGGTGGTAGAAGCAAATACTCAAGAAATCAGGGATAAATTAAAACTTTTCCCCTGAAAGCTTTCTATTTGCTTCTCTGAGGCTATGGGTCCCCACAACTGCACCATAGGTGATACCCCTCATATATATATATATATATATATATATATATATATATATATATATATATATATATATATATATATATATATATATATATATATATATATATATATATATATATATATATATATATATATATATATATATATATATATATATAAAATATTTAAAATAAATAAAATGTTTGTATAATATAATCATAATGTGTGAGCAGCACAAAATGTCTATGCATGTAATTACATAACTTAAAATGACATGCAGACCATACCGAGCTTTGCTACATTGTTAAATGGTGCGCTAAACCAGGAAGATCTCATGAGCCAAAGGTGTCTAGTGCAATTATTTGTTTTATTACCTGGATGAGCGCAGAGAGCACTTTGTCTTTCATAACCTCATTGTCTTTCATGGGGGGTTTGGCCGGCATATTAACACAAACGATAGGAGCTTTATAAACACCAATTAAGGCAATGTTTGTCCACTGTCCAGTTGATGTATTGTAATTTGGATTAATAATACAGTACAGGTATAACCTAATCAGAATATGGATTTTTTTGCATCTCAAAATATATTATCTTTCAATGGCTGAAAAATATAAATCAAACACTCTTAATTTAGTTGAAAGCATCAGAGTCCTAGATGAAATGCAATAATGTATTGGTGTTTATTTAGCTCCATCATTGCAACACAGTCGAAGATAATATTCCTAATGTTCCCCAAGCTGACTCGTGTCAGCTGACATGCCATAAGTTTTTCTTCAAGTGTACCAAGAATGGCAACCCCTTCAAATCTGCTCATGTGATATCCGCAAGTATAATAGCCAACTTGCTGGAAGGTTTTAAGGTATGAATAATGTTGGCAGTTATGCAGCTTGATCCTTCTATGACTTCCTCCAATGGTCTGGAGTGGTAGTGTTATGCAAGTAACAAATAGTCTGCTATCTTTTGTATAGCATTCTGTATGGAGTAGATATCGTATATGTTGTCATTTGAACTTTGACCTGTAATGTTGATTATTATAATCAAATGAGTATATGCATTACACAACTTGGCAGAAATGTCTTTGTGTCACTGCTCTTAGCACCACCATGAGAACTTGTTCAACACCTCATACATTGTGCAAATGCGGGATATCATGACTTTGTATATTCTTAACTAAGCTAAATAAATGCCTCTGTGTTATTTGTAAGTGGTGTTTGTGTATCCAAAGCATTCCATAGGTTTATTTAAATGTGACTATAAGATAAAGATTTTTCATAATTTGAAGTTTTTCACTCCTTGAACATTTGAAAACAAATGAAGAAATACCAAATACATTATAGGGATTTGTGATTAAAAATTCTGGCAAAATCAGTTTTTATCAGCTAAGTGTAAGAAAGATAACCTAACAGTTTTCTTGAATTATTCAGTAAGTGTGGCTCCTCAAGGGTGGGCTGGGTGTAAAGGCCTTGAAGAATTTAGGGTGGCATCTACTCTTCCCCTTTCCTGTCTGCTGTGACAGTACACATGCATACGTCCTGTGCAGTTGTCATGCATGGGCACCTGTATATTCTCTATCCTTCTGGTGATAAGGACAAATACAGTTGTTTAGTGGTTACCTGGGAGGAATTCAATTATTAAACAAATTTAAAAATTAAAACCCATTGTCACTAGACCAGCCATACCAATGCCAGGCTGTAAAATGTAATAATTAGCTTAATGAGACTTTGACTTTCATGCTTATTAATTGTTAGATTTAAAACTCGAAACTGTCATGCCAATCCTGACCTTAAATGCTTCATAGAAGGTTGTAACAGAATCCATGGGCACCATACCAGAAACAAATACCCATTTGATATTCAAAGAGTGCGACTTAACCAAACTAAAAATGCTCTGCAAATCAGGGGACCCATCATGTGGAATGACCCCAATCATGTCAAAGATTGTACCACTCTCAACTAGTTTAAGAGAAAAAAAAAACTAAGTACTACCTAAAACTCTCTAACTTTCCTTATCTCTTTAAATGTCAACCTATGTCTTGCTGTTTTCTAACTATTGATTATCAGCCAACTTGTTTAACTACTGATATCTGCCATGTATAAACTTGAAGAAAATTGTAGTCTTCTTTTTATTTAGTTAAAATTACTTCAGTTTCAATTTCTGTTGTTCCATCCATCATATAATTATTATCATTGTTTTTTCCCCTTTTTCAATTCAATTCATGCTGTGATATTAATGTTTTAAGTTTGTCTCGAGTGCTTTTACCACATCTTGCCCAAAATGCTGTGCTTATTGGTGGCTTTAAGCATAGTATATACTTTAAGGAAATATTAATGATGATAACTTAAAAGTAATGGGCAATTAAATTGTAATACAGTATATATATTAGTGGTAGCTAACTACTTAAAATAGATATTCTAGATTATAGTACATTGCATATATTAGTAGCAGCTAACTGCTGTATACAGATTTTATAGTACTGTATAATAGTTATTAGGAGTGTGTTGGTGTAATGGCGTTCACAGAAATGAGTCGGAGAATAGTCAGGGCGTTTTGATCTCTCACGGAAAAACTCAAGGGTGTTTAACTTTGTCCTTTGCTATCTACAGTACAGTATGTCATCACAAAAGTAAAAAAAAAAAGAGGGGGAACACCTCTGTCCTCAGTCACACCACCTAATAAACATCCTTTCGCCCCTTCCCCATGTGATTCAACGAACGTGGACTTTACTCTCTCCACTTCGAAGTAACTTTATAAACTTATCAGGTTATGAAATGTTAATGATTTCCATCTTAATGGATCTTTTAGTTACACCTAGTGTAACTAAGAAATTACATAGCAGGTACCTCACATTTGAAAGGTTCAGATCAGACAATGCTTTTATAAATTTGACAAAAAGGATGTCTGCAAACACAGCTATATTGTTGAGGTTTTTACTACAAGAATAAATCGTCCATCATCCTTAGGTGTGGCAGTGACCTGACCTGAGGCAAGGTTCAGTAAATAAAATGCGGTCAGAACTCTCTAAAGCTAAAAATAACATTAAGCAGCAATAATAATAATAAACAGGAACAGAACTGAGGTAAAGGTTCACTGGAGTTGATATGAAAAATTAAAACAAAAAATGAAAAAATACATTCGTAAGAAGCAAAATAAAAAAATTACGGCATAGTGAGGACTTAAGTGACATGCGAGAAAAAAAAATATGATGGGTCCATGGAGAAAATTATGATATATGAGCTAAAAAGAGGAAGCGAGGCATCAAATAAGGTGAAGACAGAAGGAATGTAGATGGTGATAGAAACAATGACTGAGGCAATTATGGAATTAAACAGGATAGGAAATATAGTATAACATGCCAGAGAATTTGAAAACGAAATTGAGTAGGAGTATCAACCTTTAAACAAACATTATGACTAAATAGAGGCACTTAAGAGAATGAACCAGTGCAGGAAAGTGATTAATGTAATAGAGAAAACGAAAACTGCCCAGGATGCAAAAAGAGACATCAAAATGATTAAAAAAAAAGTGGAGAATGTGGCAAGGACTTTTGCAGTAGTAGCCAAAATAGTCAGAGGCAAGGCAGATAATTAAAGGTACCAGTGATACATACCAACTAGAACAAGACAGATAGTGAACTGCCCCAAGCAAGAAATGGACGTTGATCAATCGGTGATGATGACAAAAACTGACAGGACCAGAGAAGGCCACCTGGCAGGAGACAGAGCAGAGTTAGAGACTCGAATCAGTTGAACGGAATCTTTTTTTTTTTTTCACAAAGTGAGGCAACCCAATCAATGGGAAACTTGTCAAGGGCAGAGAGGGTTCAATACAGATGACAGAGACCATTGAAGGATAGGGTTCAAACAAACCATCCAGTGAAGTTTTATTCCAAACAAACCATCCAGTGAAGTATATTCCAAACAAACCATCCAGTGAAGTATATTCCAAACAAACCATCCATTGAAGTATATTCCAAACAAACCATCCAGTGAAGTATATTCCAAACAAACCATCCAATGAAGTATATTCCAAACAAACCATCCATTGAAGTATATTCCAAACAAACCATCCAGTGAAGTATATTCCAAACAAAACATAAATTGAAGTATATTCCAAACAAACTGTCCAGTGAAGTATATTCCAAACAAACCATCCATTGAAGTATATTCCAAACAAAACATAAATTCAAGTATATTTCAAACAAACTGTCCAGTGAAGTATATTCCAAACAAACTATAGTGAAGTATATTCCAAACAAACCATAGTGAAGTATATTCCAAAAAAAAAACATCGAGTGAAGTATATTCCAAAGAAACCATCGAGTGAAGTATATTCCAAACAAACCATCGAGTGAAGTATATTCCAAACAAAACATCGAGTGAAGTATATTCCAAAGAAACCATTGAGTGAAGTATATTCCAAACAAACCACATAGTGTTTGTACTGGATACCCCCAAAGGTTTATATAAATGTACAAACCCAGTCGAAATATGAAGTATTACAATTACAAAGATATTTGCAAATGAGATAGAGCTGTAGGACTGGATGACACACCCCAATCCTCATATCGCAGTCACTACAAAAACAAAGTAAGAGCGGTTGCAATGTCAAAAGGATACCATGTACTGAGATAGGAAAGATTAAACAGATGGGGATGAGGACAAGGAGTAACTCAACTGTAATTACATCAATGTTGCTTTAATTAAGGAAAGAAGAGATTCCGGAGGAAACCAAAAATATATGAGACCAATGGTTAAATGTATAAATATTATCGGGGTCCATTAGCATAATCTAGTAATGCAAGAGCTGCAACATAAGCTTGAAACTACTACATTACTCTATCATCAAAACCTTCAGTCCGGGCAGTTCCTGTAGGATCATCACCTACAGGCACACCTCTTGGTGCAGAACTTTCTGCAGACGCGTCGTGTTGCACGGCACCTTGTGTAAGCGTATCTGGTTGCACGGCACCTTGTGCAGGCGTGTCTGGTTGCACGGCACCTTGTGCAGGCGTGTCTGGATGCACGGCAGCTTGTGCAGGCTCCTCTGGTTGCATGGCAGCTTGTGCAGGCTCCTCTGGTTGCATGGTACTTTGTGCAGGAGTATCTGGTTGAACGGCACAAGGAGTCGCGGCACGTTGTGCAGACGTATCTAGTTGCACTTCACCGTGTGAAGGCATATCTGGTTGTACGGCGCCTTGTGCAGGCGTATCTGGTTGTACGGCGCCTTGTGCAGGCGTATCTGGTTGTACGGCGCCTTGTGCAGGCATATCTAGTTGCACGGCACCTTGTGCAGGCGTATCTGGTTGCACGGCACCTTGTGAAGGCGTATCTGGTTGCACGGCACCTTGTGAAGGCGTATCTGGTTGCACGGTACTTTGTGCAGGCGTATCTGGTTGCACGGCACCTTGTGCAGACGTATCTGGTTGCACGGCACCTTGTGCAGACGAATCTGGTTGCACGGCACCTTGTGCAGGCGTATCTGGTTGTATGGCGCCTTGTGCAGGCGTATCTGGTTGTACGGCGCCTTGTGCAGGCATATCTAGTTGCACGGTACTTTGTGCAGACGAATCTGGCTGCACGGTACTTTGTGTAGGCGTATCAGGTTGCACGGCACTTTGTGCAGGCGTATCTGGTTGCACGGCACTTTGTGCAGGCGTATCTGGTTGCACGGCACTTTGTGCAGGCGTATCTGGTTGCACGGCACTTTGTGCAGGCGTATCTGGTTGCACGGTACTTTGTGCAGGCGTATCTGGTTGCACGGTACTTTGTGCAGGCGTATCTGGTTGCACGGCACCTTGTGTAGGCGTATCAGGTTGCACGGCACTTTGTGCAGGCGTATCTGGTTGCACGGCACTTTGTGCAGGCGTATCTGGTTGCACGGCACCTTGTGTAGGCGTATCAGGTTGCACGGCACTTTGTGTAGGCGTATCAGGTTGCACGGCACTTTGTGCAGGCGTATCTGGTTGCACGGTACTTTGTGCAGGCGTATCTGGTTGCACGGCACCTTGTGCAGGTGTATCTGGTTGTACGGCACTGGTTGTACTTGTGCAGGCGTATCTGGTTGTACGGCACCTTGTGTAGGCGTATCTGGTTGCACGGCACCTTGTGCAGGCGTATCTGGTTGCACGGCACCTTGTGCAGGTGTATCTGGTTGTACGGCACCTTGTGCAGGCGTATCTGGTTGTACGGCACCTTGTGTAGGCGTATCTGGTTGCACGGCACCTTGTGCAGGCGTATCTGGTTGTACGGCACCTTGTGCAGGTGTATCTGGTTGTACGGCACCTTGTGTAGGCGTATCTGGTTGCATGGCACCTTGTGTAGGCGTATCTGGTTGCACGGCACTTTGTGTAGGCATATCTGGTTGCACGGTACTTTGTGTAGGCATATCTGGTTGTACGGCACCTTGTGCAGGCGTATCTGGTTGCACGGTACTTTGTGCAGGCGTATCTGGTTGCACGGCACTTTGTGCAGGCGTATCTGGTTGCACGGTACTTTGTGCAGGCGTATCTGGTTGCACGTTACTTTGTGCAGGCGTATCTGGTTGCACGGCACTTTGTGTAGGCGTATCTGGTTGCACGGCACTTTGTGCAGGCGTATCTGGTTGCACGGCACCTTGTGTAGGCATATCTGGTTGCACGGCACCTTGTGCAGGCGTATCTGGTTGCACGGCACTTTGTGCAGGCGTATCTGGTTGCACGGTACTTTGTGCAGGCGTATCTGGTTGCACGTTACTTTGTGCAGGCGTATCTGGTTGCACGGCACTTTGTGCAGGCGTATCTGGTTGCACGGCACTTTGTGTAGGCGTATCTGGTTGCACGGCACTTTGTGTAGGCGTATCTGGTTGCACGGCACTTTGTGCAGGCGTATCTGGTTGTACGGCACCTTGTGCAGGTGTATCTGGTTGTACGGCACCTTGTGCAGGCGTATCTGGTTGCACGGCACCTTGTGTAGGCATATCTGGTTGTACGGCACCTTGTGCAGGCGTATCTGGTTGTACGGCACCTTGTGTAGGCATATCTGGTTGTACGGCACCTTGTGCAGGCGTATCTGGTTGTACGGCACCTTGTGTAGGCGTATCTGGTTGTACGGCACTTTGTGCAGGTGTATCTGGTTGCACGGCACCTTGTGCAGGTGTATCTGGTTGCACGGCACTTTGTGCAGGCGTATCTGGTTGTACGACACCTTGTGCAGGCGTATCTGGTTGTACGGCACTTTGTGCAGGCGTATCTGGTTGCACGGCACTTTGTGCAGGCGTATCTGGTTGTACGACACCTTGTGTAGGCGTATCTGGTTGTACGGCACTTTGTGCAGGCGTATCTGGTTGTACGGCACTTTGTGCAGGCGTATCTGGTTGTACGACACCTTGTGCAGGCGTATCTGGTTGTACGGCACTTTGTGCAGGCGTATCTGGTTGTACGACACCTTGTGCAGGCGTATCTGGTTGTACGGCACTTTGTGCAGGCGTATCTGGTTGCACGGCACCTTGTGCAGGTGTATCTGGTTGCACGGCACCTTGTGCAGGTGTATCTGGTTGTACGGCACCTTGTGCAGGCGTATCTGGTTGTACGGCACTTTGTGCAGGCGTATCTGGTTGCACGGCACCTTGTGCAGGCGTATCTGGTTGTACGGCACTTTGTGCAGGCGTATCTGGTTGTACGACACCTTGTGCAGGCGTATCTGGTTGTACGGCACTTTGTGCAGGCGTATCTGGTTGCACGGCACCTTGTGCAGGTGTATCTGGTTGCACGGCACCTTGTGCAGGCGTATCTGGTTGTACGGCACTTTGTGCAGGCGTATCTGGTTGCACGGCACCTTGTGCAGGCGTATCTGGTTGTACGGCACTTTGTGCAGGCGTATCTGGTTGCACGGCACCTTGTGCAGGTGTATCTGGTTGCACGGCACCTTGTGCAGGTGTATCTGGTTGCACGGCACCTTGTGCAGGCGTATCTGGTTGCACGGCACTTTGTGCAGGCGTATCTGGTTGTACGGCACTTTGTGCAGGCGTATCTGGTTGTACGGCACCTTGTGCAGGTGTATCTGGTTGCACGGCACCTTGTGCAGGTGTATCTGGTTGCACGGCACCTTGTGCAGGTGTATCTGGTTGCACGGCACTTTCAGCAGGCTTCATTTTCCTTGTGGCATCATCGGCACAAACTCCTTCACCGTTCAATGTCTGAAAAGAAACTAATTGTTATTGCTAAATAAACAGCAAGGCTGTGGGCATACATCCACCCATCGATATGTAGTGCAACCATCCTAGTATCATAGACATGAGCAAATTCCCTGCAAATCATAGATTATGAAATATATAAAAGGGCATTAAATTCAAACTAAGGAAATCCGAATCAGCCAAAAGAAACTACGAAAGAAAACTTGCTCAAAACATAAAGAAATATCCAAAGTCTTTTTATGCCTATATAAGAAGAAAACCCATGACTAAGGACTCGTTAAGATCCTTAAAAGATGAGACTAAAAAATTATAAGAGATGATAAAATGGCAGCAAACACTTTGAATGAATACTTTGCATCAGTGTTCACACCAGAAAGATTAGAGTTAGAAGACATCCCATTGCTTACACAAATATTTGAAGGAGGTGAGGAGATCGAATTAATAATATAGCCATAACGTGCGACACAATCAGAAAGAGCACTGACACACTAAAAGACTCCAAAGCCCCAGGTGTAGATGAAATTCAAGCCAAAGTCGTACAGGAACTGGCAGAAGCACTGTGCTTACCACTGAAACTTCCCTTCAGAAAATCTCTGGACCAAGGGACAGTTCCCCCTAGATTGGAAATATGCAAATGTTACCCCCATTTTCAAAAACGGCAGAAAACTGCCGTCCAATCATTTTAACATCACACAACTGCAGGCTCATGGAGAGAATCTCAGGGGAGAAAATCATTCACCATCTCACAGAGAACAATCTTGTAAAATCAACGTAACATGGGTTTGTTAAAAAATCGATCCTGCCTTACAAACCTGTTCACATTTTTGGAAGCGGTAGCCAGCTATTCAGATAAAGGGCTATTATGTGCCTCTGTAATCCTTTACCCCACCGTTCACGGGATGGGTATGGGGTGCATAATAAAGAAGGAAATTGATTGATTTAGACTTGCGGTAGATGTAGTTTGCGTGAACTTTGCTATTTTGATAAGGTACCTCATGAAAGACTAGCAAAGAAAGTACAGGCACATGGAATAAATGGCAGAATACTGGAAAGGATAAAATAATGGTTAACACAAAGAAAACAAAGGGTCGTGATAAATGGGAAGGAACCTGACTGGAGAAATGGGGTGAGGAGATTTCGGCAAGAGATTTCGGGAGCCGGTCGGCCAAGCGGACAGAACACTAGACTTGTGATCCTGTGGTCCCGGGTTCGATCCCAGGCGCCGGCGAGAAACAATGGGCAGAGTTTCTTTCACCCTATGCTCCTGTTACCTAGCAGTAAAATAGGTACCTGGGTGTTAGTCAGCTGTCGCGGGCTGCTTCCTGGGGGTGGAGGCCTGGTCGAGGACCGGGCCGCGGGGACACTAAAGCCCCGAAATCATCTCAAGATAACCTCAAGAAGGGGTCTATTTTGTGGCCAACCCCTTCTTTTCATATACTGTACATCAGTGACGTAGATGAGAATATTACAAACTACATCATCAAATTTGCAGATGACACTAGGATTTATAGTAAGTGGGAAGTGAAAATAATATTACAAAGAGATCTACATAAACTCCACAAACGGTCAGAAGACTGGCAAATGCTTTTTAATATCGATAAATAAAAGATTTTGCATGTGGGGCATAACAACTCACGTCACAACTACCAGATTAACAACATTACCGTGCAACAGATTGAAGAAGAAAACCTTGGAGTTAGAATGTAAATTCCAAAAAAATGTCAATTAAATTTTAAAGTCGAACTGGAAAAGATCATCAAGGAAAATGGGGGAGACCTTCGACAAGCCGCCGGTTTCCTGTCCTCGTCGAGGCTACTAGTGGAAGTGGCCCCTCAGGTAAATTCAGAATGCATCATTCACTGAATGTTGCACAAGTGGGAGCAGCAGTCAAAAAAGCTAACCAAACTCTAGGAATAATCAAGCGTACCTTTGACTTTAAGGGAAAAAAAATGGTAGTCAATCAATTGTGTAAATCTCTGGCGTTCCTTGCATCCAGGCATGGAGACCTCGTCTTCAGGAAGACAGCTTCACCGGAGAAAGTTCAACACCGAGCAACAAAAATAATTCAAGAACTAAGTCAAATCTCATACCAGGACAGGTTGAGGGCCACAGGACTAACAACACTGCAAAGCAGGCATGACAGAACTAATCTCATTGTGAAACTTTCAAAATACTAAACAATTTGGAAGATATTGATCCGGACAACTTCTTCAAAGGGTCAGATGTAACGCAGACAAGGAATAACGGTTTCAAGCTCAACAAACCAGTGCAGGACTGAGAACAGATGTTTTTTTCACCTATAGGGTTATAAACCCGTGGAACAGCCTACCCGCCGAAGCCGTAAATGCCCAAATTTTGCTGAACTTTAAAATCCAGCTTGAAAAAATCCTCAGGACAAATGGGGAGACCTTTGACTAGCCGCCAGCTTCCTGTCCTCATCAAGGCCACTAGAGTGTTTGTGGCCCTCAGGTAAATATGACAAAGATTAATTATAGGGACAACTATATACCATGTGTAACTCTCATCCTGTAAGTAATTACATTTAATTAATTAATTATGGCGCATCCGAACCCATGATCGTCGTCGCCCCTAAACCAACAACATTAAATTAATTAATTAATTATTAAGTAATTATTAATTACACACTCACGTACACAGACTACTGCTAATACTATTCCCTAGCCATTACCTGAGTGATGACTTGCGGTGATGGCTGAATCTTGGCAAGGTTGGCGACCTTTTCTTGGTTTGTCTGTGGGACTCCTTCACTCTGGCCCTTCTCTAACTCAACCTCTTGCCATTTGACACTTAACTTTTCTTTGTCTTGCATACATTCTTTATTTTCTTGAGACACCTTTAAATTTTCATCACGAAGAATTTGTTTCGTTTTTCTTAAATCCTCATTATCACTAGCTAATCTTTTTTCACACTCCAAATTTTCTTGTTCCGTTTTTTCTTTCTCAAGCCGATCAATGTGTTGTTGCAACAAGGTAATTTTGATATCTTTATCCTTCATTTTATTATCCTTATCGTCCATTATCGTCATCATCGTGCGTTGCTGTGAAATATACTGCACTTGAGTCATCATCTTCAGTTTCTCAATTTCAGACTTCAAGTGTGAAACGGATTCCTTTTCAGAGGCCAGAGAATTCTGGAGCAGTGTGTTTTCCTCATTAAACCTCTTCAGGTCGTTTATTTCCTGGTTAGTCTTCAATAAGATTTCATTTTTCTCTAACTTCACACTATCTAACTCTTCTTTTAAGGAAAGAACAATCTTATCCCTCCTGCTTGTTTCCTCTGAAAGCGTATTTTGAAGCTGATCATTTTGTTGCCGGAGGCTATCATTTTCCTCATTAGCTTTTTCCAGATCCTTCATTACCTGTGTAATCCTTAATAAGCTATCCTTTTTCTCCAGCTTGACAGTATCTAACTCTGACTGTAATGCATGAGCATTCTCATCCCTCTGGTGTATTTCCCTTTCAAGCTCTGATACTTTTTCTCTCATCTGGTAAACCTCAGTACAGGTCTCTAAATTTTCCTGTTCAGATTTTTCTTTCTCAAGTCGATCAATTTGTTGTTGCAAAAAGTTAATTTGGATATCTTTATCCTTCACTTCATTATCCTTATTCATCTTCAGTTTCTCAATTTCAGAGGCCAGAGAATTCTGGAGCAGTGTGTTTTCCTCATTAAACCTCTTCAGGTCGTTTATTTCCTGGTTAGTCTTTAATAAGATATCATTTTTCTCTAACTTCACACTATCTAACTCTTCTTTTAATGAAAGAACAATCTTATCCCTCCTGATTGTTTCCTCTGAACGCTCATTGTTAAGCTGATCAATTTGTTGCAGGAACAAATTAATTTTCATATGTTGTACCTGTATTTCATTATCCTTATCTTTGATTATCGTGCTTTGCTCAGAAATATGCTCCAGTTGACTCGTCTTCACATTCGTAAGTTCAGACTGTAACTGTAAAACCGATTTCTTTTCAGAGGCCAGAGAGTTCTGGAGTAGTTTGTTTTCTTCATCAACTCTTTTCATGTCCTCCATTAAGCGGGTAATTCTTAATAAGTTATAATTGTTTTCTATCTTGACGTAATCTAAATCTTTCTGTAATGAAACAATTTTCTGATCCCTCTTCATTATTTCTTCTGTGAACTCTGAGACCTTTTCTCTCATCTGGGAAACGGCATTAACTAAATTTTCTTGTTCATTTTTTTCTGTCTGAAGCCGATCAATTTGTTGTTGCAACGAGGTAATTTGGTTATCTTTATCCTTCACTTCATTATCCTTAGCCTTTATAATTGTGCGCATCTTGATTTGCTCTGAAATATGCAGCAGTTCACTCTTCTTCAGATTCTCAATTTCAGACTTCAAGCGTAAAACAGATTCCTTTTCAGAGGCCAGAGAATTCTGGAGGAGTGTGTTTTCCTCATTAAACCTCTTCAGGTCGTCTATTTCCTGGTTAGTCCTTAATAAAATTTCATTTTTTTCTAACTTTACACTATCTAACTCTTCTTTTAAGGAAAGAGCAATCTTATCCCTCCTGCTTATTTCATCTGAAAGCTTATTTCTAAGCTGATCAATTTGTTGCAGGAACAAAGTAATTTTCATATTTTGAACATGTATTTCATTATCCTTATCGTTGATTATCGTGCTCATCTTGCTTTGCTCTGAAGTATGCTGTACTTGATTTATCTTCAGTTTCTCAATTTCAGACTGTAAGCGTACAATCAATTCCTTTTCCATAGCAAGAGACCTCTGGAGCAGAATGTGTTCCTCATTAGCTCTTTTCAGGTTCTTCATTTCCTGGTTAATCTTTAATAACATGTTATTTTTCTCTAACCTTTCACCATTCAACTCTTCTTGTAACTTACGGAGCTGTCTATAGAGATTTGCATCCTCCGTTTCTGATGCAGTTCTCTTATCTTCGATGACTTTGTTTAACTCCCTCAGATTCGCCTCTGATCTCGATTGATTAAGTTCCGTCTCTGTATTCTCTGTAGTAGTAGTGACCAGTATACTGGACTGGTGTTTTTTTTTGGGCTTTCTTTGCAAATTATTTAACTTTTCATCAACTTTTGGAACCTTGTCTGCCGGCATTTCCTCTCTCTTCTCACGATGCTGGCTTCCCTTTAACATTTCATCTGCAACATAATACAATTAAATAATCCTGATATAAATCAAATAAGTGGTTTCTCGCTCAGTTGAATTCCTGCATGAGCCAAAGTGTGCATTCAGTATAAATTATTCAGACAATCGGGACACAGACGTGTTTGCAGCTGATCTACTCTAAGTGTAAACTGCCGTAGAGTGAATAAAACCTTTTAAATAAACATATATAGTCATTGTCACGTCCTTAACTTTCTGGTGGCTCGGGTCTCCGAGCCACCAGAAAGGCTTCGAGAGCCTCAGGGGTCTCCAGTAGGGTTTTAAGGACTCGCAAGGGCCTACTGGGCTTCGAACTGGGTGGAGCGCTCCCGGTGGTAAGGAGCAGGGACCCATCAGAAAGAGGCGTTTCATAACACTGAACAGTGTTTTGTTTTGTTCATTATTGTTTAATAATATAATTTGTAAAATCAGATGTCGTATTTAAGTTTGTTTAAAGGATTTGATACATTGTAAAACAGTTTACAATTACTGTTGAAGATCAGCATTGTTCCAAATGGATAACAAAAACTGGAACCCAACTCAGAATGTATCAGGTTCATGATTTGTACCAAGAGAAACAACAGCGGCACTTTCCTGCACCGTGGGAGGTTACACCCTTTCCAGTTTTAATCCCTCCCTTTCCACCCAAGAAGCAAATTAGAGATCAGCCCAAGCTTCGTCTTGAGGCAAAGCTCAACGCCTTAAGCCATATTGATGCTCTGTCCACAGAGCATTCTCTCTCTCAAATTATATACACTGATGGTTCCCTACACCGCACCACGGGTGCAGCTGGAAGTGCAGTTGTCCTGACAATGGGCGATGGCCTATACTTTGAGTGGGGAGTCCGTATAAACAACTGGGCCTCTACCCTTCAGACTGAACTATTTGCCTTGATCCTTGCACTGAAATGTGTACAAGTCTCAAAACTTGATACATTAATTGTAAGTGACTCCTTATCATCCTTAAATGCTCTCAACTCTTTAAGACATAACTGTAACATGCTCGTGTCCGAAGCTAGACACAAATACAACAAAATTACTAAGGATGGTAACAGAGTCCATTTCATGTGGTCTCCATCTCATGTTGGCCTCCGAATGCATGATAGAGCTGATAAGTTAGCCAAAGAATCTGCCTTTAAAGGAGCCGTTGAGTGTAACCTTGGATTGTCAATGAGCAATCTGAGAGCAGCTGTACACCGAGAACTTCAACAAGATCTTGTAGATCTGAGGCAAAGTGAAATTGACACCAGTAATTCCATCTATCATCATACTATCATGCAAGAGGAGCCACACATCTATGGATCATCCAATAAAATCAGCAGACTTCTAGATGTTACTACTGCTCGGCTTAGACTCGGTTACAAGTATCTCTGGGAATTCTCATTATCTGCTGATGTAGACCTGACCAAATGTAAACTGTGTCAACAAAATTATTCGCACACCCTCCGTCACTATGTGATGGAGTGCGAAAAGATACGTGAATTTAGAGACAATTCTATAACCAATGTTCCAGCGATGTGTCAATATTTCATTCAAAATGATCTGCTACCAGAAATTTTAGCCAAATATCCCCAGTTTGCTAACTGTAGGTAGTAACTAAGTGATTGTAACCTATCCACCGCTGCCCACTGGATGGGGGGCGGTGTGCAGGACAAACATATAAATTTTGACACTAGCTCTCCACATATGTCAGTTGCTTAATTTAGAACCTGTACTTGAGGTCGATCTCGAACCCATTGTTGATGTGATGACTTATATTGAATTTTGTAACTAGCTCATCAAGATTGTAACTTGCTTAGCTAAATGAATTGTGGGGTTCAGTCCCTGAGCCCATTATGTGCCTCTGTAACCCTTTCCACTACCGCCCACAAGATGGGTATGGGGTGCATAATAAATGAACTAAACTAAAACTGTAGATTAGATCAGATGCTAACATGGTCGCATCTGAGTTCAGCGGTCATTTACTCCTAAAGATAGGCTGATTTTTTTTTTCATCTACTGAAGAATTTGCACCGAACATAAACTACTCGGAGCATGAAGGAATTCAACAGAACGAGAACCTACTGTAATTCATTCATGCGAGTTCACAGAAAATATTTATCTTCAAGAAAATAATAACTGATGTGAGAATGTGCTACTTAATTACACAAAAATATCCAAAAATTAACCCACTGTACTTTCCAATAAATATATAAATTTATAAAGATAAAATTTATCTGCAGTTCTGAAACGGCAATTATTAGAGATAAATACTGAAGATGAGTTGCTCTAATATAGCATCTTACCATGATGGGGATCCAACTCCTTCTGGCTTTTACCACTTAGTTCAGCCCCTGTCTGTAGAGGTGTATGGGCTTCACTCCTCGACGAAGTCAACCCCTTGTCTAGCTCCCTCTCTCGTTTATCCTGTAGGTATTGTATATTGTCAATTCGTGTACAAAATAAAGATGCGGCGCATGATTTAATTGGGAGGGGTGAGGGGGGAGGGGGGATCATATAGGTACTAACCATTTTAATGCGGCACTTAATTTTTGGTTCAATTGTCACTTAAGGTAGGGGTGGGGTGAGGGGGGAGGGCGAGTCAAATTTAATACAAAAAAATATTTTGACAGAGTTTCCTGTATGAAAAATTACATGTATTTCTGATCTCATCCATGCATCACCATACATACATACATATACATTCTATGGGGTCGCCAGCTGTGCTCGGAGTTCTCTCACCCCCTTCCCCCCTTTATCTCCTTCCCTCTTCACCCTCTCTCCACATTTCTCCTTCTCTCTCCTCCCCTAACCCTCAACACTTGTAATTTTTCTTTCCGTCCCATCCCAAATCCTTATCCTGGTCCCTTCCAAGTGATCAGGATAAGGCAATGGCCGACATTACGACTCTTTCCAGAAACTGTACTGTAGTCGTAATGTCTTGGCGCTTTCTCCTGATAGTTCCCTTCCCTCTCTCAGTCAGAGAGACGTTACGACGACAAATGTCACAGGTCACAGGGTGGATGGGACATGCCACAGGTCACAGGGTGGATGGGACATGCCACAGGTCACAGGGTGGATGGGACATGCCACAGGTCACAGGGTGGATGGGACATGTCACAGGTCACAGGGTGCATGGGACATGTCACGGGTCACAGGGTGGATGGGACATGTCACAGGTCACAGGGTGGATGGGACATGTCACAGGTCACAGGGTGGATGGGACATGTCACAGGTCACAGGGTGGATGGGACATGTCACAGGTCACAGGGTGGATGGGACATGTCACAAGTCACAGGGTGGATGGGACATGCCACAGGTCACAGGGTGGATGGGACATGTCACAGGGTGGATGGGACATGTCACAGGTCACAGGGTGGATGGGACATGCCACAGGTCACAGGGTGGATGGGACATGTCACAGGTCACAGGGTGGATGGGACAGGTCACAGGGTGGATGGGACATGTCACAGGTCACAGGGTGGATGGGACATGTCACAGGTCACAGGTTGGATGGGACATGCCACAGGTCACAGGGTGGATGGGACATGTCACAGGTCACAGGGTGGATGGGACATGTCACAGGTCACAGGGTGGATGGGACATGTCACAGGTCACAGGGTGGATGGGACATGCCACAGGTCACAGGGTGGATGGGACATGTCACAGGTCACAGGGTGGATGGGACATGTCACAGGTCACAGGGTGGATGGGACATGCCACAGGTCACAGGGTGGATGGGACATGCCACAGGTCACAGGGTGGATGGGACATGCCACAGGTCACAGGGTGGATGGGACATGTCACAGGTCACAGGGTGGATGGGACATGTCACAGGTCACAGGGTGGATGGGACATGTCACAAGTCACAGGGTGGATGGGACATGCCACAGGTCACAGGGTGGATGGGACATGTCACAGGGTGGATGGGACATGTCACAGGTCACAGGGTGGATGGGACATGCCACAGGTCACAGGGTGGATGGGACATGTCACAGGTCACAGGGTGGATGGGACAGGTCACAGGGTGGATGGGACATGTCACAGGTCACAGGGTGGATGGGACATGTCACAGGTCACAGGTTGGATGGGACATGCCACAGGTCACAGGGTGGATGGGACATGTCACAGGTCACAGGGTGGATGGGACATGTCACAGGTCACAGGGTGGATGGGACATGTCACAGGTCACAGGGTGGATGGGACATGCCACAGGTCACAGGGTGGATGGGACATGTCACAGGTCACAGGGTGGATGGGACATGTCACAGGTCACAGGGTGGATGGGACATGCCACAGGTCACAGGGTGGATGGGACATGCCACAGGTCACAGGGTGGATGGGACATGCCACAGGTCACAGGGTGGATGGGACATGTCACAGGTCACAGGGTGGATGGGACATGTCACAGGTCACAGGGTGGATGGGACATGTCACAGGGTGGATGGGACATGCCACAGGTCACAGGGTGGATGGGACATGTCACAGGTCACAGGGTGGATGGGACATGTCACAGGTCACAGGGTGGATGGGACATGCCACAGGTCACAGGGTGGATGGGACATGCCACAGGTCACAGGGTGGATGGGACATGTCACAGGTCACAGGGTGGATGGGACATGCCACAGGTCACAGGGTGGATGGGACATGTCACAGGTCACAGGGTGGATGGGACATGTCACAGGGTGGATGGGACATGTCACAGGTCACAGGGTGGATGGGACATGTCACAGGTCACAGGGTGGATGGGACATGCCACAGGTCACAGGGTGGATGGGACATGCCACAGGTCACAGGGTGGATGGGACATGCCACAGGTCACAGGGTGGATGGGACATGCCACAGGTCACAGGGTGGATGGGACATGTCACAGGTCACAGGTCACAGGGTGGATGGGACAGGTCACAGGGTGGATGGGACATGCCACAGGTCACAGGGTGGATGGGACATGTCACAGGTCACAGGGTGGATGGGACATGCCACAGGTCACAGGGTGGATGGGACATGCCACAGGTCACAGGGTGGATGGGACATGCCACAGGTCACAGGGTGGATCCATCCACACAAGCAGTGAAGTAGAGGCAGTAATGGACGGCCATCAGAATATGAAACACCAATGGCCATCCCACAAACTCGCACTCTGTTAGGGCAGAATCAGAAGGCTGGTTTATAATGGGGTCCCCCGAAATTTGCATAGGGTTTGTAAGAGTCCAAAAAGATAGACCAGACAGGATCACTGCGCACAGAGTGGGATTGATTGGGGCGCTCACTGAACACTAACACCGAAAACGGATTACGGGCATAGACCCGTGTTCAATTAAATCAAATCAAGGGTGCGTGTGTTGCGCTATAGAACGAGCAGGCAACCCAGCTCTGTGCTACCCTTAAACGGAAACCCTCACACCTTAAGGCCTCGCATAGGCGTCAAAGATCTGCCCGAAACGCTAGTGGCTTTGCAAGAATGTAAAATATCAATCTTATGTAAACTCACATAAACATTGTACCTTCTTGTAAATAATAATAATTATTATTTTTTTTATCAGTATACTACCAAGGGCAAGACACAGTTCAACACAAAGCAGACCTCTATAAAAAGGACCAGGTTTTAACCTATAATCCCAGGTAGGCTTAAAATTACTTGCAAGAGCTTGGCGTGGATTGAATTGGGTGGAGCTACCCCATATAGCACAAAGGAGCCACCAATAGGAATCCTCAAAGAAATCCAAATTCAGCACGAATTCAAAAAACTAAAAATATCAAAACTAATCAATACAATTCAAAGACTTTCAGTGGTAACCTGTATGTTCTTCAATTTCCAACCCACAGTACTCACATTTTCCCGGCTTTCTTCTAGCTCTGTCTCAAGTTTGAGAAAAGGTTTTCGAAGTTCTGCATTCTCCCTCTCCAACGGCTTCTGGAACTGTGGAAATTCATTTTGCTGACACTGATTCTGAGAGTTCAATTTATTCACTCTTAAAATATTAAATGGTTTTTAAGAAATAATTCAAATTCATATAAAAAAAATCATATAATCATTGCAATGCCATATTCTGCGAGAATATGGTATAGAAATTATATCATTTCTACCCTATATTCTCGCAGAAAAAAATAAAAATAACATATTCACTGTTAAATTTTAAAATAGCCATTTGAGCTTTAAGAACTCAAAGAAACGACGACGTTTCGGTCCGCCCTGGACCATTATCAAGCCATGTGTGAGTGATAGTCCAGGACAGGACCGAAACGTCGTCGTTTCGGCATCGTGTGATGTGTGGTGTGGCCATCATCTCTTCAGCAACGTTATTGCGACTTCATCGTCTGCTTTAAGAAGTCAATAGTCTGACGAAGACACTGCAGTCTTACCTCCGTTCCAGAGTCACTATCCCCGCTCACAGTAGAAGCCGCTGCACTGCTCACTTCTGACGACCCATCGTCACTCTGAGCAGAGACGTCAAGACATTTCAATTACAAAAATTACAATTACAGAAAATTACAAATTACAATTACAAAATCACCATTATAGATATAAATGAACAGTAACCAAAGGATAACATGTGGGTAGGAGAATATCTGCACATTTGCCTGAAGGCCACTAACACTAGTGACCTCGACGAGGACAGGATGCCGGTGGCTTGTCGAAGGTAAACACCCCCCCCACTTCCCATCACCATTTGCTTTGATAATCTTTTCAAGTTTGATTTTGATATTCAAGTCTTGGTATTTACCGGCTTCATTACATAATACAGTGTTGTTGTGATATGCGGAGGGCAGCGATGGGTTTGAAGCATTTAATGAACTTCACAAATAATTATGCACAGAAAGCTGAAACTGTAAGAGGTTTCAGGTACAGAAGGATAAAACAGAGGTTTCAGGTACAGAAGGATGAAACAGAGGTTTCAGGTACAGAAGGATAAAACAGAGGTTTCAGGTACAGAAGGATGAAACAGAGGTTTCAGGTACAGAAGGATGAAACGGAGGTTTCAGGTCCAGAAGGATGAAACGGAGGTTTCAGGTACAGAAGGATGAAACTGTTAGAGGTATCAAGGTCGGAAGGATGACATTGTGCAACCCATCCTCATCTTTATAGTGTACTTTATGTAACTGTGTGCACCATTGTACAAACATTGACGTACTAAGCAATAAGACAGTAGAACTTTGTTCTATTCGCTTTATATTCTTCGGAAAAAATTAAGCTAAAAACAAACTTAAATATTCCTAGGCCTAGCATAGCACACATATGTACTATATTAAACTATATTAGGCCTCATTTAGCATGTACTAGGCCTAGGAAGGTTAGGTTAGCTTAGTTTGTCTTGCAACATAAGTAGAAAATCGTTATACGGCTTGTCCAAATCCAAAAGAACCGATTTCTACTTTCTAAATGCGTTGTACGTCGGTATTGTATTGGTATTGTACGTCGGTTGTACGTACGTTTTGTATAAGTACTATGGTCCTCATCCTTCCTATAAGTACTACCAAAAAAGGATGATAGGCTGTGGTATTGGTCTCTGGTAGGCGTTACCGAATCCTTAGGCCTGATGTGGAACTGAAGGTCTGACAGATATACCATGTTGTTGTTTTAGACTCAGCTTTTCCGAACAAAAAGTTCCAAGTAACACATATCTACATATGGTGAGCCCGAAGTGGACTTACCTGGCACAGGAGCAGGGCTGTAACTCTGCAGATATACCAGTATACCACTGCCCACTGGATGGGGGCGGTGTGCAGGACAAATATATCAATTGTGACACTAGCTCTCCGCATATGTCAGTTGCTTAATTTAGAAACTGTACTTGTGGTCGATCTCGAACCCATTGTTGATGTGACGACTTATACTGAATTTTGTAACTAGCTCATCATGACTGTAACTTGCTTAGCTAAATGAATTGTGGGGTTCAGTCCCTGAGCCCATTATGTGCCTCTGTAGCCCTTTCCACTACCGCCCACAAGATGGGTATGGGGTGCATAATAAATGAACTAAACTAACTACCAGTATGCAGCTCGGGGAAGATACCGAAGGAGCCCTTCCGGACACACACACACAAAACTTGAATTTGAATAATTGATCATCAAATGAAATGAAGCAAATTTGCAATTATGGACAGAAGGTTTCACTATACTCACCGTGCTATCAGACAGATATCCTCCTGCCTCCCTGTAACATAACATAAAGCAATAAGTACAAATGAATAAAACATATTCGCCATAAGGGAAGAATTGGACAGTAAGAACATAATGTAATCAATGAGAGACTAAAGATGCAGTTGAACCTAATAATGAAAACATGTGTTCTTTATGGGTTAATACTTATAAGTATATGTTGACCGTAATACACACTAGTTTATGTAATAAATGTACAGAACATCACGCCTTGCATATTCACTGACCTCTTTGAGTGGATATCATTACCATGTGAATTTGCAGAAGCATTTAATAACTAGTAAATAATGCTCAAAGTAAATAGAGGAAACTACTTGATAAATGATATAACAAAGTAATTGAGCTATACGTTCCCGTATATATGGATTGCACTATATTAATACTGTAATATAGTGCGACATTAATGGTGACTGTGCCTTCAACATGTCCTCATAGTTCTTATTAGTTTGGCGTGGGAGCCATTTATTGTAGCAGCTTGTTGCTTAACTTCAAAAAGCTCAACACTCAAAAAAGAAATGTGCTGGATGGCTTTCAAAAACATAAACAACAGATGACACACCAGCTCCAGAATTAGCAGCAATGTCATTAAAAAAAAAAAAAAAAAAAAAAAAAAAAAAAAAAACGTATATTTAAATGAAGTTCTGCAATCTGTAGAGTGTATCTAATGTGACTTGATGTGGCGTGCACCTTGTGCCACTTCATGTAGTGCACCTAATGTCACGTTATGTGGAGTGTACCTAATGTGACTTGATGTGAGTATCCATTTTAATGTTTAGTTTCTAACAAAATAAAAGATTTTTTTTTTTACCTTTCTTGACGTGGTATCTGTTTAACATCAACTTGATCTTTTGAGGCAGTGTTTACATCACGGACTGGACACTGCAATTGTAAACTGAAGGATACCTGCATCAAATAAAAATAACAATTAGAGTAGGTTATGACTACACTTCATAACTAAGTAATCAAATATAGTGATTTTATATAAACATTTGCTTGGTGGTGTAAAATTAAATTTCATTAAATCGTGAGGAATCACAGAAAGCAGGAGACCAGTAGAGGAAAAATGAGGCTTAAGAATACCCAATACTGGCAACTGTTCATGATACAACAATCAGCACCGCCAGGGAGGGAGGGAGCCGGTCGGCCGAGCGGACAGCACACTGGGCTTGTGATCCTGTGGTCCCGGGTTCGATCCCGGGCGCCGGTGAGGAACAATGGGCAGAGTTTCTTTCACCCTATGCCCCTGTTACCTAGCAGTAAAATAGGTACCTGGGTGTTAGTCAGCTGTCACGGGCTGCTTCCTGGGGGTGGACGCCTGGTCGAGGACCGGGCCGCGGGGACACTAAAGCCCCGAAATCATCTCAAGATAACCTCAAGATAACCGCCACACTAGTAGCCTAAGCTACTCTATCCCTTTGAGATGTATTTTTTTCTTGTCTCAATAAGCTTACTTGAACTTGAATCACCAAGTCATCCACAGAAGCTCCCCAATACTGTATAAGGCACAATGTAGTGTTCCTCATGAGGGTAATTATCAGGGGGAAAGCGCCAAGCCATTACGACTATATAGCACTGGGAAGGGTGTGATAGATGGTATGATAGACAGTATACTTAGGAGCTACACGAATTTTGCCCCAAGAGTGTAACAATTATATGCTGTGCTTACTATATTAACTTGTAATGTTAAATGGGAGTCTTGTAATGTTATTTGTCTATTTGTACTCACTGAATTTGTGCGCCCCTTGAGGGACTTGAAGTAGAGGGGGGGGGTAGAAATAGCCTAAGCTACTGTATCCCTTTGAGATGTATTTCTTTCTTATCTCAATAAACATACTTGAACTTGAACTTGGGAAGGGTGTCAGGATAATGATTTGGGATGGGACGAGAGGAGAGAGGAATGGAGCCCAATCACTTGTGGACGGTCGGGGATTGAACGCCGACCTGCATGAAGCGAGACCGTGGCTCTACCATCCACCCCCAAGTGGTTGGGCGCTCCTCATGAATTATAAATAATTCATAATACAGTAATTCATTATGTCGGGAGGGGGGGGGGGGGGAGGGGACAGGAAGCTAGTGTATTCATACACGTTTTAGCTTTTATCGAGGACCCCTCCCCCTGAAGGTCGAATTACTGACCCCGCCCAGAATACAACCCCCACAACAACCTGACTAACTCCTGAACACTCAGGAATATACTGTATAAACAAAACACGCATATCTGCTTCACAGACTGCTGCCACTTAGCCTTCTTAAATATCATATCAGGTGTTGTTCTCTCACTCATCCCGCACACATAATGTCTGTCCATCTTTGTCTTAATTAATATTTTTCTCCTACTCCTACCCCTCAAAACTCGCTTCACTGCTCCACCGTCATTCATATACATCGTAAGATGCCCAAGCCATCTTGATAAACTCTCCTTGACTTTATTGTTCCTTGACTTACACCAGAAATCTTGCCATTATATTTTAATTTCTTACTCTATTCCTTTAAAAATTACAATATTATCAGACTATACCTTGATTTGACTCAAGACTACTTCCTCAGTGAGGTGACCCAACTCGAGACATATAAACTGTTGAGCCTCTTGTTGAATCACTTGCGATATGAAAAAAAGATTACTGATATGTATATGTATTTACATATATGGACGTATATATATGTACATGTGTGTGTGTAACATTAACAGTTGTGTAACTAGCTTTACAAGATTGTCAAGGTAAACGAACTATGGGGGTCAGTTCGTGAACCCATTAGGTGCCTCTGTAACCCCTCTCCGCCACCGCCCAAGGCTTGTGTATAGGAGTACATAATAATGAAATTAAAAAAAAAAGCAGGCCGGACGCAAAGCAAGCGTCACGGTAACATTGTAATTATAAGGTGTGAAGGATAGATGAAATTGTTACTGCAATAATCTCCGTTGAGGTCCGATAAAGACCCTTTGTGTCCTCTGTAATCCTTTTTTGCGCTACCGCTCACAGGATGAGTATGGGGCGCACAATAAATTCACCAATCAAAATGGTCACGACAAAACAAACATTGGACTTGGAACACTCGCGGTGAGGGAGAGCATGAGCACCCACGGGTCACATAACATCACTTATACGACCCAAGCCCACCCACAGCTAAAGTAAAAACCAGTCCCACTGTATGTTGTGTCAGGTCTGAGAAACCAAAACATTTGACAACATTTTTAGTTTTAAAGTAACATGGTGATCAATTGTGATGATGATGATGACAGGAAATTATATAAGGTACCTAATAAATAAATTAAGAATTAGACAAACAGAATCTGGCTGGAAGGTAGAGTGTGACAGTCTCGCTTCATTCAGGTCCGCGTTCAATCCCTCGACCGTCCAAGTAGTTTGGCACCATTCCTCCCCCCCCTCCCTCGTCTCATCCCATCCCAAATCCTTATCCTGATCCTGATCCGTTCCAAGTGCAATATACTCGTAATAGCTTGGCACTTTCCCCGCTGATAGTTCTCTCCCTCCGTCCCCTGTAGTTACAGCAGCGAAGGTGTTCCAACACGCTTGAGAATAAAGCTGTACTGGAAGAGGTGTAAGGTGTATAGTCAATGAACAAATCCACAAGGGCCGTGACGAGGATTCGAACCTGCGTCAGAGAGCATCCCAGACGCTGCCTTAATCGACTGAGCTACGACAGGTTCGAATCCTCGTCAGAGAGCATCCCAAACGCTGCTTTAATCGACTGAGCTACGACAGGTTCGAATCCTCGTCACGGCCCTTCTGGATTTGTTCATTTGATGCATCACGCAATTGTGATTTCTGTGTGTATAGTCAACCACTGATAATACACATGAATTACCTTCCATTTGTCATCTGTGCACGAGATGAAGGTCACACGCACTTTGTTTCCAAGCATTTGCTTTAAGTGGTTACAAGTAACAGCATCATCCATCTCGTAGCTATCATCTAAGGTGCAATTTAAGGCCTGGGGAGGAATCTCGCTTATAATACCAGGGATACTTCTGATCTGAAATATGTAGAATCAAACATGTGCATGAAATATGTAGAATCAAACATGCGCATGAAATATGTAGACTCAAACTTCTGATCAAAAATATCTATTATCAAACATATGCATGAAATATGTATAATCAAACAAACATTTTACAAATATTTGGTTACGGTAAGAATTTATTTACATTCAAATGAACACGCATACCTTGCAGTAATTTAGGGATTAAAATGAATATCATGACAATTATAAACGTATTTCAAGCTCATCACCACCATTAGGTTTAAAGTCAACAGCTAGTTAAAACACTAGTTTACCCTTCAAATTAATGGCTATTCATGCCACAGTGTATTACTTATAAAACTCATTTGATCTCAATCCCTACTATGTATGCAGTACTGATACTAAATTATTGTTCATGCACTCATATAGTATAGCATATGCACTCTTACAGTATATTATTTATAGTAGACTATAAGAGTATACTATTATGTAAGAGCACAATTATATACATAATATACTAAAAGACCAAGAAGACTGCTCTAACAGTATTTTATTAATATTATACTATAAAAGTATAATATTATGTAAGAGTATAAGTGTATACATAAATAATATACTATAAGAGCAAGAAAACGAAGCATTATGAATGCGTCTTTGGGGTCGACCGCTGGATGGAATGAACTTGGTCTGAGGCCGGGTTGTGTAATTCTTAAGGATTGAAGACGCCTGCTCTCCCGGAAAGCATTAACAGACTCGCCTATACAATACTTTTTTTTAAATTCCTTGAGCTCTAGAGTGATTCAATATCTAAGTAGTCTACTGCTATATAGTGATATTTGGCTAAGCAATTTTCCTGATATGAAATTAATCAATCTACTTAATGGAACACAGCTTCAGATGATTGATTGATGAAGATTAAGCCACCCAAAAGGTGGCACGGGCATGAATAGCCCGTAAGTGGTGGCCCTTTGGAGCCATTACCAGTATCAAGAGCGGATACTGGAGATCTGTGGAGGTGCAACTGCACCCTGCGTGACGGGAGATGTCTCCCGTGACAGCTTCAGAATGTATGAAACATGTATATGCTAAACATCTTAAATTTATGCATGTGCAAGCAACAAGTCCTCCTTACCTTATGAATATTCCCAGTTGTTTTCACACCGGAGTCAATCAGAAATAACTTGAGTGTATAATTCTGGCGGTGAGCTACAACTGCCCGGTGCCACTGATCCTTCTCACGATAAGCCACCAGCATTCCGGTGTGTATTTTAATATCTTGGTATGAGCTACGACCACTAATGTCTTTCATCATCTTCTTAATATACTGAAAATGTAGTTTGGTATTACAACATTTTGTTTCGAAGGATTCTTCATTTTGCGAACACCACTAAGATAATAATTGCACTAATAAACAATTTTGTGGCAAAAATACTCCGTGAGAAGCAAACATTACAGGATTCAAATGGACCAGAGCAATTAGAAAAGGTATTCTCGTTCAGGTATATTTCTCAATACAATGCAGGTTGGTGTGGCGAGTGAAGGGTGGTGTAAGCAATGCAGGCTGGTGTGGCGAGTGAAGGGTGGTGGTATGAGCAATGCAGGCTGGTGTGGCTAGTGTAGGGTGGTGGTGTGAGCAATGCAGGCTGGTGTGGCGAGTGCACGGTGGTGGTGTAAGCAATGCAGGCTGGTGTGGCGAGTGCAGGGTGGTGGTGTAAGCAATGCAGGTTGGTGTGGCGAGTACAGGGTGGTGTAAGCAATGCAGGTTGGTGTGGCGATTTCAGGATGGTGTTATGATTAAGTTTTAGTGTAACGATGGGCGGGTGGCATAGCGAGTGATGGGTGATGTAACGAGTAATGTATGTGGTGTTTCGAGTGTTGGATGGTATAACAAAACTATAAAGCATATATGGCAGGGAAGGCAAAAAACCTAATGCGGTTCTTTCAGACAGATCAAATAAAGACTAAGGAAGACACACGTTCCTTTAAATATTTGTTAGTTCACGAATCTGATAATGATGCAGAAATGGGTGACATTCTAAATAAGTATTTTATCTCTGTAGTTACCAGAGGGACAAAATAATATTTTACCTAAACGTGAACAAGACTATGTAGGTAGTGAAGACAAGCTGAATTGTTTAATAGTTAAAAGGTTGGAAGTTATTAACAGAATAGAAAACCAAAGCCCTGGAAGTCCCCAGTCTGATGAAGAGTTTGCCAGGATCCTTAATCACGTAAAGGGTGAAGTGCCCATTTATACTATATTATACATAATGTATTATATAATATTATACATAATATTGAGCATATATATTTAATATGAAATGATCATGTACAGGAGTGAGCAAAAGTTAGTATATGGCAAATCAATTATCAAAACGTTTTAAGGGACAACTAGACAAACTAAAGTACAATTTAAGTTTATATCACCCAAATACGCTTTAATAACACACTTTTTATACATTTCAGTATTATGACGATTACCGTAATGACATAATTTTATCTAAAAATTACTTGGGAATTTTTACCTGAATTGTTTTCTCATTTTCAGTAGGTACGAGATAAAAGTGAGCGAGAGATTTTACTGATGTTAGTAGGCAGAATTTTACTCTTTGGTTGGAGCTGGTAGTCTCTTCTCTCTGAACATTACAACTTGTTTTTTCCTTGACTGATGGTTCAATTTGAGGGAAGAACTTGTTGAGTGGCACTGAAGCCAAAGAATACAGCTCTACCACATAAACCTTGAGCATCATTTCTTCACGCTCCACTGTTCTCTCACCCACAACCACTACATTCACTTTATCTTCCTTAATAACCTGAAATATAAGAAAAACACATGCATTTAGATTTACTAAATAAGAAATTGTATTACACCTTGGCAAAATTTAAACCAGATACAGTATGTGAAGTTGGGTACAATAGCTTAATGTAACTCCGCAACCATGTCCTGGAGAAGCAGATGAAACAACTTGAGCAAACCCTCGATGGCCCGCAAAGCCGATGACAAGGCCATGGTGGAACTTCAGGATGCCGCAGGCAGATCGGACCGAAGCTGAGCGGAAAACAACTCGAGCGCTGACAGAAAATGCAAGACCTCTCTCCATAAGACACGCCGTGCAGGCGATGAGTCACAATAACGTGGCTGAAGTATGTTGACCAGACCACACACTAAATCGACAAGTCAAGTCACAATTGACTTGAGAATGGTCCAAGACGGACTGAAACGTCGTCGTCCCTTCCCCTTGTAGTGTGTGGTCTGGTCAACAAGATATGCCGTGTGATCAACAGAGATCAAAACCCATGACAAACGGGGAACCTGAGCGTGGAGCTGCCAAGTACCCATATCCTGTAACAGGTTGGTGGGACTACCTGTTAGCATACTACCACTGGTGACAAAAGATGTACTGTACTGCATTTACTTCCTCATTTTACTACCCCATCAAAGTGCTACCTACCATCGGTGACCAAAGTCAGCTGGTCCACAACCAACATCACATGTAAACCGCCAACAAAACTGACATCTATACCTCACCTTACTCAAATCATCCATCTTCAATGGTTTCTTTGTAACATTGTTCAGAATACACGGAATGGCCAGAGCTGGGAGACGTCTGACGTACTTCAGGTCCAACTGTCTCATATTATTTATATCCATTGGTTCTTCGTTACCAAAATCCACAAACAATACCTGTAGAGAAAATATGGCTTACATTATAAATATAGTATCTTTTACAGTGAGATATATCTTATTCTGCGGCGTTATGTTTTGAAGTTGAAAAATATTGCTAACAATCAGTATTTTTAACATACAAAGGCAAAGAAGGAAATCAGTACAGTACACACAAGTTTAGGCTTTACCTAGACTACATATAACATGAATTTATAGAAATGTCTCTGCTGTTATCTAAATATTTGTCAGTCTTTCATGTAGCGTTACATCCTCGCCTAGCACTGGGAGCTGTTCAGGCTCAGTCGTGAACATACCACGGACACTTGCATTTTGGCTCCTCACATATTTCCTTTTCATTTCCTGAATATTCCCCAAGTGACTAGCATCTAGTCACTTGGTCAATCATTGTCATTCTCCTTCGTATATGACTATGCAGAAGCTTCGAGTGTTTCTTGACTTTGGATGCAATCTCAATTTAATTTGTTCTTGCCTAATACTCTTTCTTTTTTTATGTGTGCAACTTTAGTGTGAATATGTCTGTGAACTTGCTCATTTGTACCTACAGGATTGAGCCTTAGTTCTTGGACCACCCAATTTTCAGCCACCAGTTGACTAATGCAATGACTCCTAATCTATTTTTTTCTATCACGTCTACTTATGAAATCTTGAACAGTAATTGCTTCAACAACCTGGTCATTTAGTTTATCTATGTTCCTATTACTCTTCTGCTAAAATATAATTTTCTAACATCCGTGTGTTACAATTTCCTCCGTGTCCTCTTTGTATTCATTGTGACTAACTGTTCATTTATCACTATCAATCTCATGAAATATTTTACTCATCTCCGACATGTCTTCTCTCTCTCTCTCTTCTCTTTTTTAGTGGCCGTCAGCGTCCCTTGAAGTTGTTCACTAGCTGGACGGGCTGCTATATGAGTCTACTTTCTTGTTTATTTCTTCAAAGTCACCACTCTTCACTTTCCATACCTCATTTTCTTTCACTAGTTCCTGGAGCTCCTTTCATTTGTTCCTCCTGAAACTTTACCTTGTCCGTTAATGCAATAATTTTCTTACCTTGCTGAAGAATACTTCCTTTTAAAGTACGAAACTCGCCCCTGAGAGCTCCATTTTCTTCTAATTCAAGTACTTCTTCTTCATACTTCTTTAGCATATCCTCAATTATCTCTAACCTGCCAAGAAAACCTTCTTTCATTATATCTTGTGATGAGAATCTTTTGAAACAATCATCTATTGGTGTGTTTAGTCCCCGTGGTGGCAGCCATCTTTGTTATTGTCAATAGTTTGTTGTAGAAAACCAAGAAACCAATGAACAAATTTACAAGGGCCGTGATGAGGTTTCGAACCTACGCCCGGGATGATCTCAGACGTTGTTCTCAAAAGATTTCCCCATTTTACAACCGCAAGCAACCTCGCCAGAGCTGTTTCCCACCGCCGGTTACGGTGGAAGGAGGACGGCCACGAGGAAACACAACATTTAAGAGTACGTAGCTTGTTACCAGTAACAGACAACCAAGAAGCCTGCCAACGGGTAAGGACTGAGGAATGGATAACCGGGTAAAAGTCGGAATACGGAATGCCTTTGCGAGAGATGGGACAAGAGCGGACAGCTTCCTTGGCAGCAGCATCCGCACGCTCATTTAAAGACACACCAATATGGCTGGGAACCCAACAAAACTCAACCGACTTAAATTTACTGTGAACGAGAAACAGCCAATGCTGGATCTCGACAACTACTGGATGAACCGGATTAAAGGACCCGAGAGCCATGAGGGCACTACGAGAGTCAACAACAACCACAAAGGAAGACTGACAACGAGAAAGCAGGAGACGAAGAGCATAGAGAATAGCATAAAGTTCCGCTGTAAAGATGCTAGTCTCCGGAGGCAAGCGACACATATAAGTGCGATCAGGAAAAACAACAGAGTAGCCAACACCGTCCGCTGACTTAGACCCATCGGTGAAGACAGAAACGGAGCGGGAGTGAGAAGAAAAGTGCTCGAGGAAAAGGCGTTTGAGAACCGTAGGAGGGGTAAAAGCTTTAGTGATACGGGTCAAGGATGTACAAAACCGCGGAAGAGGGACCCTCCACGGGGGCAAAGAAGGAACAACACGAGGAGAAACATCAGAAATACGAACGGAAAGAGAATCCTGTAGGCGAGATAACCGGACAGAAAGAGGGAGGTGGTGAAGAGGAACAGGAACCGCAGGAGGGGTAAAAGTTAAAGCACGACAGAGGCGAGAGGAAGGATGTTGTAAGGACCGCGCAAGATAGCGAAGACAGTAGCGATCACGGCGGTCCTGGAGAGACAGGAAGCCAGTGTCAACATACAAGCTAAGGATGGGAGTCGAACGAAAGGCACCAGAACTGAGACGCAACCCAGTATGGTGCAAAGCATCAAGACGGCGAAGAGTAGAAGGAGAAGCAGACGAGTAAGCAGGGCAACCATAATCGAGCTTAGACAGGACGAGAGAGGAATGTAAAGCAAGGAGAGTGCGCCTATCTGCCCCCCAAGAAGTATGGGACAAGACCCGAAGGAGGGTAAGGGCCTTAGAGCACTCAACACGGAGGTAAGAGATATGGGGAGACCAAGACAAACGAGTGTCAAGAAATAACCCCAAAAGCTTCGCGGAATCTTTGTATTCAAGGGGATGACCATAAAGTGACAAAGAGGGACGAAGAACAACCCGTTTCCGCGTAAAAGTCATGGCACAAGTCTTAGAAGTAGAGAACTTGAAGCCATGACCTGTGGCCCAAGACGACACGGCATCAATGGCAAGTTGAAGCCGGCGTTGAAGGAGAGGCGAATCATCACCCTGACAACAAAGGGTAAGATCATCGACATAGAGAGCGGAGAAGACACCAGAAGGAAGAGAGGAAAGAAGACCATTGAGGGCAACCAGAAAAAGAGTAGTGCTCAGAACACTACCCTGGGGCACACCTTCGTATTGCTGAAAGGAGGGAGAGAGAGCGGTACCAAGGCGCACCCGAAAGGAACGACGAGAGAGGAAGCTGCGGAGAAAGAGAGGGAGATGACCACGAAGGCCAAAAGAATGAAGTTGAGATAGGATATGATAACGCCAAGTGGTGTCATAAGCCTTTTCTAGGTCAAAAAGGACGGCAACAACGGAGGTCTTCGCAGCAAAAGCAGTACGAATATAGACCTCCAAGTTCACCAGGACATCTGTCGTGCTGCGGCACTTGCGGAAACCAAATTGAGAAGGGGAGAGGAGGTGATGGTGTTCCAGGAACCACATCAGACGAACGTTAACCATACGTTCAAAGAGTTTGCAGACACAACTTGTGAGAGCAATAGGGCGAAAGTCCTTAGGGGAAGTACCCAGAGACCCCGGTTTGCGAACAGGGAGGACAACGGCATCGAGCCAGTCCTCAGGGACTGACGACGACTCCCAGATCCGATTATACAGACTCAGTAAATACTGAGACGTGCTCGGAGGGAGATGGCGAAGCATCTCATAATGAATACCATCGGAGCCCGCCGCCGTAGAACCGCAGAGGGCCAGGGCAGAACGAAGTTCAGAGAGAGAGAAGGGATCATTATAGGGAAGCTGAAGATGAGTGCAGAAATCTAAAGGACGAGACTCAAGGACAGGTTTACGAAGAAGAAAAGATTGGGGAAGATGAAGACCAGAGCTAACAGAAGAAAAGTGGGAACCCAGTTCGGAAGCGACCTGCAACGGGTCCGCCACAAGAGTATCATGGAGGTGAAGGACCGGAGAAACATCGGGAACGAACTTACCCGCTATCTTGCGGATACGCTTCCAGATCTGGGCCAGAGGGGTTTCGGACGTAATTGTTGAGACATAAGATGCCCAACATTCACGTTTAGCCGTACGGATGGCCCTACGGGCCACCGCACTCGCTTTCCGAAAGAAAAGAAAAGAATCGGTCGTCTGCCTACGGCGGTGCCTCTTCCAGGCTGCACGCTTACAGCGGACAGCCCGAGCACAGTCCGCATTCCACCAGGGAACGCACTTCCGTGGACCCCGAGAGGAAGAGCGAGGAATAGAGCGGAGGGCAGCGTTGAAGACAGTGTCATGAAAAAGGAGGAGAGCGCGAGAGAGGGGCAGAAGGGAGAGGTCAGAGAGAGTAGCACTGAGGGAAAATAGGGTCCAGTCCGCCTTAGCAAACTGCCACCTAGGGAAAGAGAGGGAAGGGCGAAAAGAGAAAAAGGAAACAAGGATGGGGAAATGATCACTTCCATGGAGGTCATCAAGAACCTGCCACGTGAAATCTAAGTAAAGAGAAGAAGAGCAGAGAGAAAGATCAAGACAAGAAAGGGTGCGAGTTCGAGAGTCCAAATGAGTGGGCTCACCAGAATTCAGAAGAGACAGGGAAGAAGAGAGGAGAAACGGCTCAAGGAGGCGACCCCGGGTATTCGTCAGAACGTCACCCCAAAGAGAATGACGACAATTGAAGTCACCCAGCAGGAGCACAGGCTCCGGCAAGGAGTCTAGGAGGTGTTTCAAATCAGGAAGAGAGAGCGGGACACTCGGGGGGAGATAAATGGAACAAACTGTGTACCATTTCCCCACAAAGATACGAGCAGCAGAACAATGGAGAGGCGAAGGAAAAAGTAAAGGAACAAAGGGAACATCAGCCCGAATCAAGAGAGCAGAAGAATTAGAAGCCCCAGCAATGGCTGGGGGGGGGGGAGAGAGAAAGGAATAGCCACGAAAACGACCAGGACGAGCACCAAGCATTGGCTCCTGGAGACAGACACAAAGGGGCGAAAACCGCGAAATCAGAAGTTGGAGTTCGAGGAAATTGGCGTAATAACCTCGAACGTTCCATTGAAGAATGGACAACGACGAGAAGAGAAAGGACAAAAACAGAGAACAAGGAAGAAACAAAGGCGAAAGAGCAACAGAGCACGTTAAAGAATATCAGGGTCGGGATCAGGGTCAGCAAAGTCAGGGTTAGGGGGCATGGGTAAACTGAGCAAAGACGGAGGGAAGGAAACGGGAGAACAGATCAGAGGTGGGCGGGCAGGGTCCGGAGGAGGAGGAGGAGGAGGAGGAGGAGGAGACAACGGAGAGGAGCAGTCAAGGACAGCAGCAGGAAGAGGGGGAGTAGAAAGAGGGGAGCGCACCCCAGCAAGAGCAGCAACCGAAAGGGAAGCAGGGGCCAAAGAAACCTCCATAGCAGGAACAGGAGGCGCAAGCACTGAAACGGGAGGGGAAGGAGCAACAGAGCCAGAAGGAGGAGCTGAGGAAGAAAGCGAAGCCTTCTTACCCGCCGGGGAAGAGGAAGGAGAGGAGCCAGGCTTACGCTTCTGACTTAAAGAGACCGGTGTCCCAGCAACTACGTACCGGGCAACGGATTCCAGTGTCTCAACAGGAGAAGCCGAACGAGAGCACACACGACGGCCGTTAGGAGAGCGATGGACATCCGCCCGCACCGACAGGCGGTGGGGAGAGCCGATAGATGGAGGAAGAGGATGGGAAGGAGGATCGGAGGGGGACAAGGAAGAAGACACAGAAGACACGACAGACCGGGTAGAAGGAAGGGGAACCCCAGACAGAGGACCAGGAGGAGGATCCTTCGGGAGAGAACCCAAAGGGACAGAGGAGGGGGCAGTGGGCGCATCAGGGTCCAAGGCCCGGAAACGGTTGTGAGTCTGAGGAAGGCGGGAAGGACGAGGAGAGGAAGAGCGCAACACGCGAGCATAAGAGATATTAGCATAAGGCGGGAGCCGGCGAACCTGGCGCCTCGCCTCAGGAAAAGATAAACGCTCCCGGTGCTTCAAGTTGAGGACAGCTGCCTCAAGCTTGTAATGGACACACGCACGGGAGAAGGTAGGATGGGCCTCACCGCAGTTGAGGCAACGAGCCTGGGGAGAAGCGCACTCCGACTTAGAGTGACCTTCGCCACCACACAAAGGACAGAGAGAGACAGTCCCGGAGCAGCGGAGGGCACCATGCCCAAACCTCCAGCACTTGTTGCAGAGCCGAGGAGAAGGAATGTACTCCTGGACAGAGCACCTGGCACCAGCAAGAATGACAGAGGGTGGAAGGGTCCTACCATCAAAGGTAATCTTCACAACCCGGAGGGGTTGACGGCGACTACCACGAGGGGGACGAGTAAACGTGTCCACCTGGAGAATAGAATGGCCCTGGGCAGCGAGGATATGGCGAATATCGTCGTGGCAGTCGCGCAGGTCCCGAACACCGGTCGCAACATGGGGCGGGAGCAAAATAGTGCCAACACTGGCATTCAACTGAGCGTTCTTCGAGACCCGAACGGGGGTCTCGCCAAGGCAGGATAAGGCAGCCAAGCGGGAAGCAGCATCCTGAGAAGGAGCAGCAACGACACGTGCACCGAGACGAGTGGGGTTGAAAGTAATGGAGGCATCCACGGAATCAATGAGATGTCGATGGAGGGAGAAATCGTCAGGAGGCGCAGAATCAAGAGGGAGGAGATCAAAATATTTGGCCCACGAAGCGGGACCAAACAAGGCTTGATAGGTAGCAGAACTGGAAGGAATCGAGCGAGGGCGGCCGTGACGAGGACGGCGGTGAGAACCCCCAGAGAGAGAGGGGTTAAAAGGTGCAGTAGTTACAACCAGAGAAGGAGCCGCGCCAGGGGACGAGGTAGTCACCACTGGGGGCTTGGGGCTCGACCCAACCACAGAGGAGGGAGGGGAGCCAGAGGAAGGAGTCAGAGAGGCCAAAGGGGGAGCAAGGTCGGGGCCCAATGCAGCGGAGGCTACAGAGCCCGGTCTTCCAATACGGACCGACTCGGGGGCTTGGTCGCCCACCCCACGAGCCTGAGAAGGTAAACCAGAAGAAGCCGAAGCAGGGGTAATCATCTTGACGAAAGAAGAATTCACTCACGAATGTGCCCCCACACCCACCATGGAGCCACAATTAGAGGCAGGACACCCAACAAGAAGCTATCGCCGATCTTGTCGGGGCCTCCTAGGGGTGCGTCGTGAGTATACGCCCCACAAACGCCACCTTAAGAAACCGACAGTCCGTCGAGATCGGGTTCAGTGACGAAGTGGGGATTGACAATAAAAGGTTCCCCTCGCTCTCGACGTCGGGTACTGCAGTTCTACGGGTGCAAGAGTATGCCTCCTCAAGCACCCGGGCGTCAAAATAGAAGAAGTCCAAGGGAAGAACCAGAACGAGCAAAAGGTCGGCAGGAAACGGCAAGCAGATAGGAGAAGAGGGGGGAGAAAAACGAAACAGAAGGAAAAGGAAAAGATGCCCAGCAGAATTGGAGAGGACGGCAGCAGGAGCACAAGGCTAGAAAAGGACAGAGGACTGTCCCAGGGAGCATCACACTCCGGCAGCCGCCCACTAAGCCCCCACACGGCGACAACGAGCTGAGCGGGGAGGGGGTCCACTTATGGGCTATTCATGCCCAAGCCACCTTTTGGGTGGCTTAATCTTCTCTCTCTCTTCAGCAAACCAGTACCATCTCCAGTGAAGCACCATCTGGTCACCATTTGGTCCGGGAGACATCTCCCGTCACGCTGGGTGCAGTCGCACCTCCACAGATCTCCAGTTCCAGATCTCCAGAGGTGAAAGAGACTGTTATGTTTATCCATATATGACCCCCAAAAAATGCAGAGGTGAAAGAGACTGTTATGTTTATCCATATATGACCCCCAAAAAAATCAATCTGGTGTGCATCTACATTAATATCAAACCAGTCACTTATTACAACAATAGGCTAACATATGAAATAATTCCTGCCTTCAAATTTCCAGTAATCAACAGAAGTCTGCCAACTCCAACTTACTTGACTATTTGAAATTAACTGCATAATTACTTACTGTCATGCGATCTCCTGCATCCTTAATCATTCCTCTATACCATTGATTATCACCAGAGAAAAGGGCAAGGCAAGGTTGACCTTTCTTAATGTGATCTAATGCCTTAGAATGTTGAGTCTGAAGTTCTTCATGCAAAATAGCCAACTGTTCTTTGGCTTTGCATTCTTGCATATATATAATACCTGTTTCTTCATCGACATGGACAATCACTGCTTGAAAGTTTTCAGGTACTTTCAAACTGTCAGTAGCTTGTTCATAATTAGTTAACAAGTCTAATACAGACTTATTATTAGTGAACAATGATACCAATGTAATATCACGATTGTCACTAATAACATGACCAAAAAAATCACCTCTAGGGCTACTGATTAGCCGTTTAAAGACCTCGGATGTCTCATTATCTGAAGTGTCAGGAAGTCCATACAAGCAACATGTGCAAATTAAAACCGGTATTTCCAATGCATCTTGTGGGCATTTCCAAATATCACTTAAATGCTTTGTAAGTGTAAATCCTCTATCAACACAGTATATGTCTACATTGAGATCTTTGGTTCCCAGTACAAATCCCCGGTAAAATCTGTGAATGGATCTGCAAACTACAGGATCTCCGACCTTTGGTCTTTTAAATAATGTTGTCGTTGTTTGTTTAAACTCTGAAAACACCTTAAGCTTGGTATTCAATGTATCAACCAATGCCCTTTGCTTTTCAAACTGGAGATAAAATCTCCATGGGCCATTCTCAACATGTTGAATTTTACATAGCTCAATAGTACTGCAATCAAATTTCATTGAAGTATAGGATTTTGCTTGTAAAATCTGTATATTGGCGTGTTCTTCAAAAGATAGTGCCATGCTTGAATGATCATGGCTAGTCATTTGGGAACTTTTATCTGCCATTTTGCCAATTAAAACAACCTTCACAGTTCAGATCTGAAAAAAGAAGAAATACATTTAATTTTGTGTTTATATATTATATATATATATATATATATATATATATATATATATATATATATATATATATATATATATATATATATATGTGTGTCGTACCTAGTAGCCAGAACGCACTTCTCAGCCTACTATTCAAGGCGCGATTTGCCTAATAAGCCAAGTTTTACTAAATTAATATATTTTCTCTAATTTTTTTCTTATGGAATGATAAAGCTACCCATTTCATTATGTATGAGGTAAATTTTTTTTAATTGGAGTTAAAATTAACGTAGATATATGACCGAACCTAACCAACCCTACCTAACCTAACCTAACCTATCTTTATAGGTTAGGTTAGGTTAGGTTAGGTAGCCGAAAAAGTTAGGTTTGGTAGGTTAGGTAGTCGAAAGAACATTATTTCATGAAAACTTGGCTTATTAGGCAAATCGGGCCTTGCATAGTAGGCTGAGAAGTGCGTTCTGGCTACTAGGTACGACATTATATATATATATATATATATATATATATATATATATATATATATATATATATTGGGCAAGTCCCTTGAATGCGACCAGCCAAATCGTTTAACAGACACATGTGTAACCACAAAGAACCTAATTAAAGAACCTTTAGATATAAATGCAGTACAGTCAGCCCTTGCTCTTAACGAACCTCACTTTATTGAATTCCTGATACAGTTTGTGTTCGTTGTAAACTGTACAGTGAGGATTGATCGCCAAGGCGGGAAAAAGGCAGTCACCTAATCTAAACGTAAACTACTGTATAGTGCATAAAAACCTTGTAATCTTAAATATCACATTATTTTGCAAAGTATATTTTCAACAATATTTAAAAGTAATATATATATATATAAAAATGTTTCATTATTTCATGTGTAACTTACATTCGCAACGGAATTTTAGTGCCAAATCCAAATATTGATAAAATATCTAGAAACCAACAAATAATTTCAATACGAACAGGAGACACTTTTTCACCCATATGGTTACAAATATATGAAACCGCCTAACCGCTAAAGCTCTAAATGCCAAGACATTAAAATCCAGATGGAAAAAAAGTCCTCAGGGACAGTGGATTTGACAAGCTGCCGGCTTCCTGTCCCGGTCAAGGACACTAGAGAGATAGTGGCCTTCGAGTAAATAACAATGGGCATGATTAGGACATACAAAATACTCAAGACGAATAGACAGGACAGACAAGGATATCCTATTTACACCAAGTACACACACACACACACACGGACAAGGCGAACAAAGGACAAATTGAATGATTTAAAAGTGAAGAGGTGTCTGTAATTTGTTGTAGAATTTTAGACAGAATTCTGCTTACCAATAAGAGGCTCGTTAGAATTAAGAGGTGTATGCGATCATTTTAACCCAAATAGCTAACATGACAAGTACTGCTATAGAGAACATAGCCTAGTACTACTATAGAGAACACAGCCTAGTACTGCTATAGAGTACATAGCCTAGTATTGCTAGAGAGGGCACACCCTAGTACTGCTCTAGAGTACATAGCCTAGTACTGTTATATAGTACATAGCCTAGTAATGCTATAAGCAGTTTGGCACCAATACAGCTTATCCCAAAGATGCAGACACAATCAGCACTAATACAGCTTATCCCAAAGATGCAGACACAATCAGCACTAATACAGCTTATCCCAAAGATGTAGACACAATCAGCACTAATACAGTTTATGTCAAATATATAGACACAATCAGCACTAATACAGCGTATCCCAAAGATACAGACACAATCAGCAGTAATACAGCTTCTCCCAAAGACGCAAACACAATCAACAATAATACAGCTTATCCCAAAGATGCAGACACAATCAGCACTAACACAGTTTGTCCCAATGATACAATCAACACTAATACAGTTTGTCCCAAAGATGCAGACACAATCAGCACTAATACAGCTTCTCCCAAAGACGCAAACACAATCAGCAATAATACAGCTTATCCCATAGATGCAGACACAATCAGCACTAACAAAGTTTGTCCCAATGATACAATCAACACTAATACAGTTTGTCCCAAAGATGCAGACACAATCAGCACTAATACAGCTTCTCCCAAAGACGCAAACACAATCAGCAATAATACAGCTTATCCCATAGATGCAGACACAATCAGCACTAATACAGCTTATCCCAAAGATGCAGACAGTCAGCACTAATTCACACACACAGCCTAGTACTGCTGCAATAACGCACCAACCTTTCAAATAGCCCAGGTTTAAGTACTGTTGTAAATGTACTTTGTGTGGTACTGCAACAAACACATTTAATACCGTTTACCCTTTTCAATTCTTCATTGGTGACAATCAACCAGGCTATTGCTGTTTGCCGACCTACAACGCGCGTAGTCCTGGACACTACGGCACCTGGTACTGCTACACATATAATTTCCTTAGTAGCCTATAGCTACAAATGCTCTTTGCATTGTAGACTACTGCTACGCATATAATTTTCTTAGTAGCCTATAGCTACAAATGCTCTTTGCATTGTAGACTACTGCTACACATATAATTTCCTTAGTAGCCTATAGCTACAAATGCTCTTTGCATGGTAAGACTACTTTTCCACACTTAGCCTAGCCTCAGTAGTCTACCTTTTGAGTAATTTGCCTAAGTTTAGGAGCCTACTATATATATTAACACTTATAGCCTAGTAGATTTCCTGTTTAATATTTAGCCTACTATGGGCTACTTCTTTAATACTTTGCCTAGAAGTCTACTGATTTAACACTCAGCCAAGTTGGATACTGCTTTAACATTTGGCCTAGAGAGCCAAATGCTTCAACACTGCATAATAACCTGATTCTTAAACCAGGTTATCAGTCCTCAACCCGTCCTCGACTCAAGTCCATTACATCCAGCGGTCGACCCCACAGACGCATTCATAAATTTTAATATGCTGTTCATTCAAAACGGGAATTTTCTCAAGTATAAATTAATATTATAATATATTAGCATATTGTGCATATATAGGCATAGGTTAGGTGTTTAGGTTCTGTTGGCGATTATTTGTATTTGTAGTACGTGGGTGAAGCATTTATAGCGTTGTGATTCGAACAAAATTCGTCAGTAAAGCACTTGTTCCGGATATGTTCGAACGTCAGCAGTTGTGAGTCGTGTGTAAACCGCTTTTCATTCATAAACAGGGGGTTTGGCGGGTGCATGGAATCACTTTTGGATCTTTGTTTGGAGGACGGGCTGCAGTCCTGGTAATACAGTCGGGTTCGTTCTCGATTCACAATCGAGAATTCCAGGTTCGAATCCCGGGCGGGGTAGAAATGGTTGAGCGCGTCTCCTATCACCTCATGCCACTGTCCACCTAGCAGCAAATAGGGGCCCAGGAGTTAGTCAGCTTGTTGCGGAGTTGTATCATGGGGAAGGTCAGTAATTCGACCCTTCGATATAAGTCTAATATGTATTTTATGTGTAGACCTGACCAAATGTAAACTGTCGACAAAATTATTCGCACAACAAAATTATTCAAATGATAGAGTGCGAAAAGATACGTGAATTCAGAGACAATCATATAACAAATGTTCAAGAGATGTGTAAATATTTAATTCAAAATAATCTGCTACCAGAAATCTTAGCCAAATATCCCCAGTTTGCTAACTGTAGGTAGTAACTGGGTGAATGTTACCTATCCACCGCTGCCCTTTAGGTAGGGGGGCGGTGTGCAGGATAAACTTACTTTATTTATTTATTTATTTATATATACAAGAGTTGTTACATTCTTGAACAGCACGCATAGTGTTTCGGGCAAGTCCTTAATCCTAATATTCCTCGGAATACGACCCGCCAAATCGTTTAACCACCAGGTACCCATTTTACTGTTGGAGTAAACAGAGGCTCCAGTTAAGGATTGGCGCCCAGTCAATCCTCCCCGGCCCTTCCAAGTGCTATATATAGGCGTAATGGCTTGGAACCTTTCCCTTGATAATTCCCTCCCACCCCGGCAACGCCAGGCGAGTGTCAAACCACTACGCCACGGGGACTGCACAATAAACATGTCAATTGGGACACTAGATCTCCACAGTTGCTTAGTTTAGAAACTACTTGTGGTCGATCTCGAGTCCATTGTTGACGTGACGATGTGTATTGAATGTTGTAACTAGCTCATCGTGACTAAGCTACTCTATCCCCTTTGAGATGTATTTTTTCATGTCTCAATAAACATACTTGAACTGTAACTTGCTTCTTGAGGTTATCTTGAGATGATTTCGGGGGTTTAGTGTCCCCGCGGTCCGGTCCTCGGCCAGGCCTCCACCCCAAGGAAGCAGCCCGTGACAGCTGACTTGCTCCCAGGTACCCATTTACTACTAGGTAACAGGGGCATCAGGGTGAAAGAAACTCTGCCCATTGTTTCTCGCCGGCGCCCGGGATCGAACCCAGGACCACAGGATCACGCGTCCAGTGTTCTGTCCGCTCAGCCACCGGCTCCAAGTTCTAGGAGGTAAATGAATCTAGGCTTAGCTAAATGAATTGTGGGGTTCAGTCCCTGAGCCCATTATGTGCCTCTGTAACCCTTTCCACTACCGCCCACAACATGGGTATGGGGTGCATAATAAATGAACTACTAAATTAACTTCCTGAATTACACAAAGCTTGTTAATAACTAAAACTGTATTAGTTATAACTTACATGGCTGCTACAGCAGCGATATGTCGTAACACCTTCTTCAGGCGTCGTGACACCTCCTTCAGGCGTCGTGACACCTCCTTCAGGCGTCTTGACACCTCCTTCAGGCGTCTTGACACCTCCTTCAGGCGTCTTGACACCTCCTTCAGGCGTCTTGACACCTCCCTCAAGCGTCGTGACACCTCCTTCAGGCGTCTTGACACCTCCTTCAGACGTTGTGACACCTGTTGCCCCCTGATAGTTGCCTAGTTCCTTCAGAAATTGCGACACCACCTTCAGACGCCGCGACCTGCAGGCGTCGCCACCTTCTGCGCGTCGTCACCCGGGTCGTCTGCGCACACCTCCTGCGCACCTCCCACTTTCAAAATTTTCTAAAATACATAAAAATCACAATTTCCTCCCAATTACATTGCCTTGATATTCGCAAATGTCTTTAATATAGATAACTAGCGTTTGTATCTGGCGCTTTGAATATTAAAAAGGGTTTAATTCATAACAATTATGCCATTTATGTGCTTCCTCTTGAAGCGTACGTTTATTATTGAACTGGTTTAAAATTTTGAATTTAGAGGTCTTGTATAGACATATACAGTGGAGTTAAATTATGTAAACCCAATTTATCTCGTGCGGAAATACTGATGAAGTACAAATTATTTCAAACATGGTTGGTAATTGAATTCAATAGGGTCACAGACTTATTCCAGGGCATGCCAAAAACGTTTGGGCAAGTTTCCTTATAACTGATGGCTCTGCTGGTCATCTAGCTGTAAATAAGTTCCCCCGGGGATTTAGGCAACTGTTGTGAGTTGCATCCTGGGTAAGATCAGTGAATTTATATATATAGGGACCTTGATAACCGTACTAGGCTACCAAAAACATAAAAGGTTACATCAACGAGGCTGAAGACAAAATTACCCAACTCACGCATATAACATGAAAGTGGTTTCCTGTGCCCGACTATAAGGGAAACCATATTAAGTTGAATCATAAATGAAAAAAATGCAGGGGCGTTGGTGTTCTTACGTAGCCTAATGCATATTCCGCATGCATATTAATGCATATTAATGCAATGGCTCGAGTAGTTATTAATTATGAAGCTTTCCCGTCCCCCCTCCTGGCATAGTATTTAAAACCCGTTTTAGAATTAAATCATACGAAATTTATAAGAAAATAATGCTATGAGGGAGAATTATCTTAGCCGGATTAACCATTTATTCAATCGAACCCATCCAAAAAAAAAGAGCCGAATGCCCATTATGGAACAATTTAACAAATTAACGCTTGTTATTCATTAAAAAAAAGTTCTCCAGAAAAAGGGGTCCTAGACCTAGTATATTAAAATGAATTTATAGCTTTTGTTCTTATTTAGTTGATACTAGGCTACTAGAACCTTCGATCCCCTTCTACCTACCACAGAAAACTAGAGTATTAATATATTAAACCTCTATACAGTATTAACTAGTGGCTCGCTCCTAACGCTTTTTCATCCATAGGGTTGTAAATTAAATTATTATTATTATAAACCCTTGGAACCGCCTACCCGCCAAAGCCGTTAGTGCCGAAGCAATACTGAATTTCAAAATCCAGCTCGATAAATTCATCAGGACGAATAGGAGGGTCTTTGACAAGCAGCCGGCTTCCTGTCCTCGTCGAGGCCACGAGAGAAATTTAGTGGCCCTCGGGTAAATTCTTTGCACTCTTTGTCATATAACGCTTTGAAATTACTGACGGTTTTGGCCTCCACCACCTTCTTACCTAACTTGTTCCAACCGTATACCACTCTGTTTACGAAAGTGAATTTTCTTATATTTCTCCGGCAGCTGTGTTTCGTTAGTTTAAATCTATGACCTCTTGTTCTTGTAGTTCCGGGTCTCAGGAATTCTTCCCTATCAATTTTATCGATTCCACTTACTAATATGTTACTAATGTACTTATCTAATTGTGCTTGCGGGGGGGTTGAGCTCTGGCTCTTTGGTCCCGCCTCTCAACTGTCAATCAACTAATGTACAGGTTCCTGAGCCTATTGGGCTCTATCATATCTACACTTGTAGCTGTGTATGGAGTCAGCCTCCACCACATCACTTCCTAATGTATTCCATTTGTCTACTACTCTGACACCGAAAAAATCTTTCTAACGTCTCTATGGCTCATTTGTGCACTCAGTTTCCATCTGTGTCCCCTGGTGCGTGTGCTCCTTGTGGTAAATAGCCTGTCTTTATCTACTCTATCAATTCCTCTGAGAATCTTGTATGTGGTGATCATGTCCCCCCTAACTCTTCCATCTCCCAGTGACGTGAGGTTTAATTCCCGTAGTCTCTCCTCGTAGCTCATAACCCTCAGTTCGGGTACTAGTCTGGTGGCAAACCTTTGAACCTTTTCCAGTTTAGTCTTATGCTTGACTAGATATGGACTCCATGCTGGAGCCGCATACTCCAGGATCGGTCTGACATATGTGGTATACAAAGTTCTGAACCTTACACAAGTTTCTAAAGGCCGTTCTTATGTTAGCCAACCTAGCATATGCCGCTGATGTTATCCTCTTGATATGAGCTTCAGAGGGCAGGTTTGGCGTGATATCAACATCCAGGTCTTTCTCTCTCTCAGACTCTTTAAGTATTTCATCTTCCAAATGATACCTTGTATCTGGTCTCCTGCTCCCAACACCTATCTTCGTTACATTGCATTTGCTTGGGTTAAACTTTAACAACCATTTGTTCGACCATTCCTACTGCTTGTCCAGGTCTTCTTGAAGCCTCAAGTTGTCCTCTGTCTTAATCCTGCTCATAATTTTGGCGTCGTCAGCAGATATTGAGAGGAGTGTGTGGGGCTATGCCAGTTATTCAGTCTCACACTTGTAGTCTGCACATATGTTGTCTTTGTATATTCCACAGGCTGCTGCAGTGCGCCCTGTTGACATTTCAACAGACCCATCAGCGTAAGCATAGTTCTCGTGAGGCCTTAAGTTATTTATAAAGAAATCAATGGTTTCAAGTGTTGTTGCTTTCGGAAGTGCTGGGTTTCCCATATTTTTTAGCTGATGGGAGTGTAAGACACTTGTATTTCAAAGTAAAGATATAATGGAATATCATTGGCTAGTACGTTGTATACAATAGGAATATTCAGTTTAATAAGATTGGCAACACTTCTACTCAACGAGCTTGCTTATAGGTTGCCCACTGGTGCGTTGGTAACACTTTTCCACCTACAAACAGCACTAGTCAGTTTTTCTCTCGTCCCATATCAAATCCTTATCCTGACCCAGTGCTATATAGTAGTAATGGCTTGGCGCTTTCCCCTGACAATTCTATTCCATTTCATTCTTAAAAAGTAAGAATGATGTACTGACACTGAAAATATTCTTTCTAACGTCTCTGTTTCATTTGGGTTTATTGCAGGGATCTACTACCGAGACCTTGCAAGCTATGAAATGGCGAAATTAGTTGAACTAACTTGTTGCTAGCACTTGGCCTATATACTCTGTAATCTCTTGTTAATAATACAATATAGAACTGGTGTAATTTCAGGGCGATGAAAGCTCGCACTCGCGCTCAAGCGCTTCCCACTTTAAGACAACTCCGAATGCTACTCTCCTTACGGAGATAATTATATATATAAAATGCTTTATAATGCATCAAATAACAATGAGATCATATATTACTCATATAAAATTTAAAGTATTGATACTAATATATACATATAACGAAGAATACGACGCAGTTATAGACATGGTTTAGTGATAATGTGCGAGAATCAGATTTCTCCTGAAATTATCGTCTGTTTATTTGTTTTAGTTTCTGGGGGAAGGTCGGCGGGCGGCGCTCCGTTTCCCTCAATCAATACAAGCTGTTGATTGACTAGCTTGTGGTGTCCCGCCCCTGGCATGGCCTCCCCGGTAGGTGAGGAGAACCTGGAAGATGTACCCATTGATGACTTCAGGGGCGCCACACTCCGCCTCGACCCTGGGTCTGGTCAGGTCTCCAGGAGCGTCAGCCCCAATTGTGACCCCACCTCTTCTTCCTCCAGGTGAAGATCCTCCTTCTCCTCCTTCTTCAGGTGAACCTTCTCCTCCAGACCCTTCTTCCTCCAGGTAAAGATCTTCCTCCTTCAGGTCAACCTCCTCCTCCAGGGGAGGATGTTCCTTCTTCAGTTGAACCTCCTGATCCTCCTCCTCCTCCTTCAGGTGAGGATATTCCTCCTTCAGGGGAGGATCTTCCTCCTTCAGTTGAATCTCCTGATCCTCCTCCTCCTCCAAGTGAGGATATTCCTCCTTCAGGTGAACCTCCTCCTCCTCCAGGGGAGGATCTTCCTTCTTCAGTTGAATCTCCTGATCCTCCTCCTCCTCCAGGTGAGGATATTCCTACTTCAGGGGAACCTCCTCCTCCAGAGGAGGATCTTCCTTCTTCAGTTGAATCTCCTGATCCTCCTCCTCCTCCAGGTGAGGATATTCCTACTTCAGGGGAACCTCCTCCTCCAGAGGAGGAACTTCCTTCTTCAGTTGAATCTCCTGATCCTCCTCCTCCTCCTCCAAGTGAGGATATTCCTCCTTCAGGGGAACCTTCTCCAGGGGAGGATCTTCCTTCTTCAGTTGAACCTCCTGATCCTCCTCCTCCTCCTGGTGAAGATATTCCTCCTTCAGGAGAACATTCTCCTCCCCAAGAATGTACCTAGATACTTTTCCTCCTCCTGGGTTGTACAGTGTAATACTGGCATAGACATTTTGTACTTGTAAGGATTTATAAGCAAACACAATTTCCTGTCATTTCTGTCGTAAAAAACGGCATGATTTAGGCTGCACTTACCCCAGGTGAACTATAACATGACAAATGTAACGAGAGGTCACGACCTCTCCGTAGCGTGCCATCGCATCTCCACAGATCTCCAGTATCAGCTAATGATACTGGTAATGGCTTCAAAGGGCCACCACTTACTGGCTTTTCATGCCTGTGCGACCTTTTGGGTGGCTTAATCTTAATCAATCATTAAATGTAAGGTTATGAGGCTATGTAATGATGATAGAGTTACAGGATGTCAGCTGGATGGTGATGAGAATGCAAAGTCTGATCGCAAAAGGGATCTGAGGTCATGATTAGGAAGAATTTAAAGCCAAAAAAATCAATGCATAAATGTTCAAAATAAGGCAAATAGGATACTAGGATTTATTTCTCAAAGCGTTAATAATAAAACGCCTGTTGTTTTATTCTTCAGCTATATCTTGCTTTTGTTAGGCTCTATTTAGGTTATGCAGTACAGTTTTGGTCGCCACATTATAGAATGGACATAAATTTACTAGAATGCATCCCGCATAGGATGACAAAAGTTAATCCCGCAAATTAGAAACCTTCCACGTGAAAAGGAGATTTAAAAAGCCTAATTTACATTCTTTAGAAAGGGAAAGATTTGGGGATGATTTCATTGAGGTGTTCAAGTAGATGAATGGGTATAACAAGGGGGGAGATTAATACGGTATTAAATATATCAACATACAATAGAACAAGAAACAATGTATATAAATTGGAAAAGTTTAGATTTAGGAAAGTAAATACTGGTTCGGTAACAGGGTTGTGGATTTGCGGAACAAATTACCAAGCAAAATAGTAGATATAAATCTTATGATTGTTGCAATCATAGGTTAGACATATACAGTATATGAAAGAGTTTGGGTGGATATCAATAGGAGCTGCCACATATGGATAAATAGAACTAGCATAGTTTCATTGATTCTTATTTTCTTATGTTCTTATAATATATGACGTAAATTGTTATCTAAGGTAAAAGTGTTTCACCGTAATGAATAAGCGTCTATACATTAACAGTGTCTAAAGAACTTCCTGGACATATCATATTGTTTGGATTAGACCAAAACAAGGTCAACAAGAAGAAAATCGGTAGTCAGAAGGAAGAGGATTCAATCGTACACACTGGGTGCTCCCACGTATGCATGTTAATGTGATTTTTTTGTGCAAGATCAACAAAACCTTGGGCAGTCCATCATGGACACACATAAGGGGGGGGGAACTGGTGGCTGAGTGAACAGCATGCTGTACACCTAATCCCGTGGTCCGGGGTTTGATTCCCGGCGCTGGCGAGAAACCAATAACTCCCAGATCCCCTTTGCTGGCGAAGGGGATCTGGGAGTTATGATTAGTAAGTATTTGAAACCAAAAATTCAATGCATAAATGTTCGTAATAAGGCAAATAGGATACTGAGATTTATTAATCGAAGCGTTAGTAATAAGACTCCTGGTGTTGTTGTTCAGCTATATATTGCTCTTGTTAGGCCCCATTTAGATTATGCAGTTCAGTTTCATTGCCATTCTATAGAACGGATATAAATTCACTAGAACGCATCCAGCATCTAGAAAGGCCAAGAATTAGGGGTGACATGATAGAGGTTTAAAAGTGGATGAATGAACATATCAAAGGGGGATATTAATAGGATATTAAAAGTATCAACACAAGACAGAACACAAAACAATGGGTATAAATTAAATATGCTTTGATTAGGAAAAACCTGGATAAATACTGTACTGTATTGGTTCAGTAATAATTCTGTTGATTTTTGGAACCAATTACTGCGTAACATAATAGAAGATTCTGCCCGAAACGCTTTGTGTAATAGTGGCTTTAGGCATTGTATATACTAGCTCTATCTATAAATTCATGAATATTTGTATCACACCCTGTATTTATGTACTTTACCTGAATAAACAATTGAAAATTTAAAAAAACAAAGTAGGATCCCTTGATTGTTTCAAGCATAGGTTAGACATATACTGTATATGAATGAGATTCGGTGGATAAAAATAGCCGGTGCCTTGTATGAGCCAATAGGTCTTCTGCAGTTACCTTCATTCTCATGTTCTTATGTTCAAATGCCTCTGTTCACATAGCAGTAAATAGATACCTAGGAGTTGATGTGGGGGGTTGCATCCCAGGAGGGTCAGTAGTTTAACCTTTGGGTGACTGCCATACAACTCTTAAGTATACATATATGCAAACTTCCAAAACAATGGGGATAAATTGGATAAGTTTAGATTTAGGAAAGACTTGGGTAAATACTGTTTCGGTAACAGGGTTGTTGATTTGTGGAACCAATTACCGCATAACGTGGTGGAGGTGGGGTCCCTCGATTGTTTCAAGCGTGGGTTGGACATGTATATGAGTGGGATTGGGTGGTTATAAATAGGAGCTGCCTCGTATAGACCAATAGGCCTTCTGCAGTTACCTTTGTTCTTATGTTCTTAACTTCATGTATTTCCTCACACAAACTCATGAAGTGCTACATTGTAAGTTTGAGCCGATTGCATAGTAGAACAAATTTCAAAAAGAAAAGATAAAATAAGTGATTTATATAACTACAGTAGTACCTTCCTTAGCTATCACTGGACCTTGTCAAGAAGAATGTATGGAGAATAAGATCAAAGAACCCAGTTGTGGTGTTTATCATGCCGTCTGTTGGTGGTGGTTGGTAGGTGTAGCTTAGTGGGTTAACTGGAAGTTGATGAAGTGAAAAATAAGGAATTTTTCATTGTGCCTTCTGGCAGTCATTTGAGATTAAATTGAGTGTTCTGTAGTGCTTTCCTAATACCATCAAGACCCTGTTGGGATGTTTGATGGATTTCTGTGGTGCTAGTATGGAATGTTGACTTTGTTCAATTCTCATGATGCAGTCCAATAGTACCCATAAGGGGAAGCCAAGTGAGTCGCTCAGTTGGTTTTTGTATACATTTGTAGCCTATAAAATACAAAAAAGTGGTCAGTACTATAGCTCTTGCCTTCATTGAGTTTATTATAATGAGTAAATAGTGTGAGCATTGAACATTTTTGTATCCTTTCAGGTACATAGATGATAAAAATCGTCCTGTCCTGCGCACAGCAATCAGTGACCCTACTACGGATGTAGTTACTCCGCCCACTCCTGACCAGGCCAATAACTTTTATTGTAGCCAAGGTATGTGAACATGAAACTGAAGGTATTATAATACTAATAATTTAATAATAATAATTCATCCCATCCTTCAAAAGTTATTGGGGCCTATAGGTGGAATATGTAAAATATTGACTGATGTACCCAAAGAGTTTACTTTCATACAAACAGAATTCAAAAGTGCATAGAAAGTAAGTGTACAGTCATCATAAAGAGTACAATAACCATAAACATAACTTAACCTGTTCTAGGCCTGAATAAGCAGCCCTAGGCCTAGCATACACTTATATGCTTAAGTTAGTGTGTGTGTGTGTATGTATGAATGTATGTATGTATGTATAATATATACAGTATGTATATATACACTCACACACTATATATACTGTATGTACAGTATACAGTACTTGAAAGCTGCTGGCTTCCTGTCCTTGTTGAGACCACTAGTGTTAGTGGCCCTTGGGTGAATTTAGGTAAATACTAGGTCTAGGAAAAGTTAGGTTCAGTCATGGCCTTCATTCTCTTGCCCTCTTCAAAATTTATAGTACAAAATGTGGTGTTCTGTGGGGAGCCCCATTGGCTCCCTGAAGCTATCCCACTGATATAGTACTATCCTATTTCAGGCCATGAGCCAGAACCTGGCCCCCTCACAGAGGTACAGGTAGCAGTGGTCTATGAACACTACTTTTAAAGTTTTATCATCTTGCCATCAACCAGGAAACCACCAGAAAGGTAGGCAAATCAAAACAGACTACTGCCTGGTTGAAAAAAGGAACCTATGACCTCAAATTATCAAAAGAACTCCCCCACAATGAAAACAAGCAGCCAAAACGTTGTCCGACAAACTACCCCACTTGTTAGCTCCACCTACCCCCCATTGGGGGGGGGGTGGAGCCAGCCCAGTGCCACCAGTCAGTTCTTGACTGATGCTCTGATGCTTGTGCCCGGCGGTCATTGGTTTACTCTGGCAATAGGTTTCTGGGACGTTTGGGGCGTTTTGCCTTGAGAGGCTCTTCCAACACGAATGTGTGCCTTGGTCAGGAATTTGGAGCTGGAGGGGTCCTTTGGATGCTTGGTTGGTTTGGCCTGGGGTGCATCATGTGTTATGTCTGGTGGTGGCCTTGCACCGCTACTTGCGGGCCACTGGTTCTGTTTCAGTGGTTGATCCGGTTTCCCTGGTTCTCTGTTCCAGGGCTTGTGTGTTTCAGGTTGTCTGCAGTGTCATCAAGTCTAGCCAGCCTGCGGTCTAACCTCATGCCAATGATGTTTGAAAATATGCCCATCATGCATACTTGGGATTTTTGGGAACATGTCCCAAAATCCTCATGCTCGAATATTGTCCCAATATTTGAGCACCAGGGTTTTGGAGGTCTTAACAGGGTCCTGGCCACTCGCTACATTATCAATGTTTCTGGGCCTAGTAGTGCCTGTGTCTCATACGATCGGTGGTTGCAGTCAGTTGTCTTGACTTCGCGTTGAGGAGCGAGGACCGACTGCCTCCCGGGTAAGTCCCCTCTTGTTTTGTCTTTGGATAAGTAGTTCCAGGGAGCTGAAGGGGCTTTCCCCAGAAAACCAGCGTTGAATGTAATGAAACACCATTTTCTGGGTGAGACCCACAGGCTCCCCAGCATCCCTCCCTCCCTTTGGTTGGCATTTTTTCACAGTTCTTGATATCCAGCCTCAGAACTGCAGGGTGGATAGCCGGCATGGGGGTCTGGGGCTCCCCCTTCCCGGGAAGGGAAGGGGGTAGTTGCGCAGACAGCGGCATGGTGACGTGGTGACATCATACTCGTTTGCTCATTTACATTTGGAGTGTTCTGTCCACTAGTTTGGCTTTCAATAGCAATATTTTAACCGGAATAGGGGTTTGTTTAGGGGCGCTTACCTTTCTGGGTCCCTGACCCAGTCAATGGCAAACATAGAATGCTTCCAACTACAATCTTGAGGTCATCTTGAGATGATTTCGGGGCTTTTAGTATCCCCGCGGCCCGGTCTTCGACCAGGCCTCCACCCCCAGGAAGCAGCCCGTGACAGCTGACTAACACCCAGGTACCTATTTTACTGCTAGGTAACAGGGGCATAGGGTGAAAGAAACTCTGCCCATTGTTTCTCGCCGGCGCCTGGGATCGAACCCAGGACCACAGGATCACAAGTCCAGCGTGCTGTCCTCTCGGCCGACTGGCTCCTTACAAAGGAGTTTCTGTAGACCATTGCTCCTCGTGCCTCTCTGAGGGTGCCAGGTTCTAGCTCGTGATCCCGGTAGGGCTAGAACTCCATGTGCATTGACTGATGTCCGGGTCTAATACATTCATATCAGTCCGGTTAGCTCCAGGGAGACGCTGGGTCTCACCCAGAAAATGGCGTTTCATTACATTCAATGCTGTTTTTTTATCTCCAGTCTCATGCCTCCCCCATCCCCATTTTTATCTATGAAGAGTCATGAGCAGTGTTTCACGTCGAGTCTCTGAATGAAGTGGGTGAGATATTGTTGAGTGATTTAATGGAGTGTGGTGTGCTGGTTCTCCATGAATCAAGTGTTGCTTGGACTCAATTAAATTTTTTTATTTTTTTGCTTTTATATTACCATTCCATCTTTCAATACATGTCTCCCCACATCATGATAAATGGGTTAATGCCGATGAAGGTGCCTCTGTTGGTTTCAGGATGTGGTTACCTTGAGGTTACCTTGAGGTGCTTCCGGGGCTTAGCGTCCCCACCCTGTCGTCGACCAGGCCTCCTGGTTGCCGGACTGATCAACCAGGCTGTTGGATGCGGCTGCTCGCAGCCTGACGTATGAGTCACAGCCTGGTTGATCAGGTATCCTTTGGAGGTGCTTATCCAGTTCACTCTTGAACACTGTGAGGGGTCGGCCAGTTATGCCCCTTATGTGTAGTGGAAGCGTGTTGAGCAGTCTCGGGCCTCTGATGTTGATAGAGTTCTCTCTTAGAGTACCTGTTGCCAGGTATCCATGTTGTACCTGTTGCCAGGTAACTCTGCATGGTTACCATGCAGAGTATCATGTGTGTGAAAGTTCTGAGGTTTTCCAATCATTTGGTCACTTAGTCGCAACCTGTTAAGAGAAACTATTGAGGACTGCAGTTTATATTGACGTTGTCACATTATTATCAGTATGCTGTCAGTCTTGTTGTAGATCTGTTAATGACTTTTGTAATCTAGCTACAAATGAAATACTGTACTTGACACATTTAATGTTTTGTCTATGGATGTTTGTTTTCTCAGGTTTGAGTCGATCCTTTTATCAGCAACCCCCAATTGGCCGGCCACGACGGGCGTCATGGCATGCAGATACAGGAAGCGAGCCTGCCATAGATGAATTTTTTTCTGTCAGAGTTGGAGCACTCGAACAGGCAGTGGAGGAATGCCAACATCTTACAGACCCATTGATTGATGGGGCAATCAAGGGAGCATGGCTGTTAACTGAGTAAGTATATTTGGATATTCTTGACATTTAAACAAAGGATCTGGAAGCAAGTTGTGTATTACCTATGAAGGATTTTGATAGTTCTTGGTCTGTTTGAAGAGTATCTCAAATAGCTGATCTTTTCTATTCAAATTCTCTTTGGTTCAATTCGTGTCTACCTGGTGCCCTCTCCTGTGGTAGTCATTACACTTGATATCTTGCTGGCAATTTTTAGCAGTATGCTTTGTCTGATTACAGTTGACAAGGGCCTAGTTATTGTGTAGGGAGGATGCATAGGCTGATCACCACCTGTACTTCCTTCAATTTAGCAATTGAGCCCATTGTTGAGTATACTGATGATGATGAGAACATTGGTAAGGTTGGTAATGCATCATATGACTGATTATACTGCTGAGTGTGTGGAGGTAAAAAATTTGGTTAGGGTGGCCTCCCTGCATTCAGCCCTTCTAATAGGTGCATTCTAGCTAGTAAAGTTTTTACTTGGTTGGCTCATGTACAGGTGGAGTGGACACATCTTGGTTTTCAATTATAGGTGTGAGAGGCTGTGACGTTCAGTTGGCAAGAAAAGGGGATGCAGTGGGCGTTGTATTTGGGGTATCATCTCCATGTATTACCTTAGGTTGTGTGACAGCAGGTATTGTCTAAGACACGGTGGTGGCTGAAGATTCTGCCAAGGTATTTCCAGTGCTGGAGTTGTCCTGGTTTCCCCGTAGAGCTTTAAGATGGCCAGATATCAACAACTCTTTAGCTATTGAGTTGATAGCAATGGAAAAGTTCCAACTTCTGTCAATTTCATCAGCTTCTCCTAAGCAGCTAGTCTTTTGTCAAGGTGGGATCTGATTTTGTCTTGACTTGAATAAGTCAGTGGGTCTTGTATATTGCACATCTAAAAATATGTACAGTATATCTAATTCTATACTGTTACTGCATATCTTATTTGATCTTATAATGAATCTATTACCACTTTCATTCCTATAGATTTTCTCATTTAATTGTAGTGGAAATAAAATGTTCATACGTTAAGCTAAACTGCCTCAGGCACTTTCATAAACAAAATTGATGGTATTTTACCCTTATACATTCCCCATACCTGCTTGATGGGTTTCTGGGAGTGCTTCTACTCCCCAAGCCTGGCCTGAGGCCAGGCTTGACTTGTGAGAGTTTGGTCCGGCCCACAGGCCCATATAGCCACCACAGCTCCGGTTGTGATAAAAATGTGTATTGTAGCAGAGCTCTGGGGTAATGGAGTTAGATGCTTTATTCACCACGAGATATGCAAGGATAGTTTGTTTTTGTGAGCTAATGCTTTGATACTATGCTTTACAGGATTAACCACTGGGACATTGAAAAAGAACGGGTTGTGATTCTTTGTGATTTGTCACTGCTAGTGGTCAAATATGATTTCATCGCTCTTCGCCATATTGAATTTACTCGGATATGTCTTACATCACTGGAAAACCTTCAGATTGGGGAGCTGACGTACCCAAGCCACTCCCTTGTACCGTGAGTTTCTGCAGCTTGACTTCTAATGTGTTATGTGAGCTTTGTTACTTAGCATATTCTAAAGAACTTGGCTAAAATGATTACTGGAAAATATTTTGCAATTAAATCAGTATTGTTGTTTTTTAGTTTTTAAATTCAAGTATTTTCATGTGCAGTAATTATTATTGTACACAATATAAAAACAAATAGACATTACGGATGCAATGGCCACTGCCAGCACTTTCTTTTGGCAATAGCTTTAGTCTGAATATATTGGTACGAATTCTTGTTGCATACATGTATGGTATTCTACACATTCTATGATACAAATATTATTGACAGCCCAATACAACATTGCACTTGAAAAACCCAGGGTAAAAATATTTCAAATACAAGGAAAATATTATATGTTCAATGTATGCTGTTAGAACTTAGTGCCAAAAATTGTGGGACTAGGCTGAACTCTAATAATGGGTTATAAGTTTATTAAACTTGCCAGAAATGCTTTGTGGATCATAATGGTACATGAAAATGTAGATAGTTTTATATATATATATATAAATAGTGTATATTACAGCAAAAACACTAGTTCTGAAAATATCATAATCTCACTAATATGTGCACCATATTTTTAAGTATAGTGATGTTCCACACATTTTATTCTAAAAAATTATTAAATTAATTCACTATTAAACAATATTATTGCAAAAAAAAAATAAAAAACGGAAAAAAAACAAACAATCAAAGACATTGAAATAAATAAGTAAAAAAATCTTTGCGGTGACTCCTGTCCTCTGTCGGTGCTGGAGCAGACCGCTGCAGGTGACTGGACTGTCGACGCCCGTAAATGACCAGACTTCCTCGCAACCGTGCGGTTAAACCTCAATGTCACATGCAATTTTTTTTCCTGTGATATTTGAAGAAATAGTTTATTTTGCATTTTTCCCTCAAACATCATGGGGTTGTTAAAGAATAATAGGTGTGCAGCCCAGGGGTTAAGAGGAAAAGGCTTTTTACAGTGCCCAGTATGAAGAGCATCTTGGTTATTAATAATAAGATTTTGGTAATGCAACTTGTGCTCCAGGTGGTAGTGGCAAATATCCTCTGAAGAGTAGGTGTAGAACAGCACTTGTGTTGTGACTATGCTTAGTTGTACAATTATGGTGAACAAAACATGTAGATACTTATATATAATGTGTACAGTATATAGTGTAATAACAGCAAAAACACTTGTTTGATTGATCGTAGAATATATTATAAATTGTCACATATATGAGTCTTATTATGAGCATAGCGATGTTCTACACACATTGAACTACAGTATATAAATTCCACAAATTACACACTTTTGAATAATGTTACAGCAAAAATCCAGAGAAGAAATGAATTAGAAACAAAAAATAATTGTGAAAAATTATATTCGTGGCAACTGCCGCCCCACAGGGTGGCGGGGTCGAGTGACCCCAAGCGCTCCATCACTCAGCGCCCATAATTGGCTCAACTTCTCGGCTCCATCACGGTTAAAATATGTCGCATACAATATTTTGTTTTGGTTTCCCGTGATCTGAGACTGCATTTTAACAATATAAGAAGAGAAAATAATTTTTTGCAGATAATTTATTTTCGGCGCACAGCGGGATTGTCATATTTTCAGGCCATGCATCACGGTGGTTAACACTTTCGCCCGGGCATGATGCAGCATTGCGTCATCCGTTTACTGTCGGTAATGCCGGGGATGATGCAGCATTGCGTCATCCACTTTAAATATTCGCCAAAAATCAGGTTTTTATCCGATGTTTTTGGGACTTGTTTTAAAATGCGTGCCGATGTCTTCCCTTTTTCTTTGTTGCGCCTCGTGGCCCGCAGGCGGCTCGGCACACGCCGTCGGCCCATTGTTTTCGCTCCACTGTTGTGACCAATGTCGCCTCCCCTCGCATCTGAAACGTGTGAACATTTTGGCTATTTTCCATGGCTATATTTCTTACTGCGGCTTTAGAAACTATCTACGCTTACTCCACGATGGATAGTGATCATGAACAAGGCCCTTCCAGGAAGAAAATTGCGAAAGAAAGGCTTGAAAAGGGCGGGAATTGGGAGTGTAGCTGGAAGGTGTCTGAGCGCTCACTCGCGGCTAACGCGTGGCCCGTCTTCAACTCGGCGGCGGTTGGAGCGTGACCAGGTTTTTTATTTTATATGCTAATGTTCCTCTAGAGAATTCTATTGCGAACCCATTGAGACCAAAATGAAAGACCTAGGACAAAAATTGAGGTGACCAGAGTGAAAATAGTGAAAACATTTTATCGCGTTTGCGCGCTCCTGGGTAACTCATTCGCACTTTCTCTGTTTGCTGTGGGTAATTAGCCGGGCTTTTGGAGTTTATATGCATTTAGTGCTGTAGAGAATTCTATTGCGAACACAATGATACCAAATTTAATCTCGTAGGACGAGAATTAAGGTGACAAAGTTGAAGAGAGTATACACTTTTCAGAATTTTCGCGCGCTCCCGTGACACCCTGGGACCCAAATCGCACAGTTGAGGGGTGGCGCGCGGGGTACGCCAAAGTGTTAAGGCTCATTTTATGTTATGAAGTAAAGGAGTATTCTTTTGTAGTACAGTATTTTAAAACTACATAAATGCCCTAACAAATGCCTGTAATAATTTATAATGTTCTGCAAAAGGTTGTATTATATTTGTTTAAAGTCAAGTTTTCTTCACAGCCGGATAAATGGAATTGCTGGAGGTGTGGTGACAGTCATCCGCAGTTGTCTTTTGAGTCGTCTACAGAATACTATAGCTACACTTGGTTCACGAGCAACTGGAGCTCCTAGTTCAACACAGAAAGAATCTGTGCCAGAGAACCAGTTTTCCCTGTCAACTGTCAGCTTTGAACCAAGGCAGGAACTATTTTGTTCTGTAAAATAATTGGGTTATGATAAAAATATTTGTTTTTCTATGCATTAGTCTAATATATTTGCATGCCTCAATGTTGACTTCTTAAAAGCCTTCTAGAGAACATACATGTACATTTAAGGTCTTGATATCACAGTTAGGTTCATTCATAACAGAGTGGGTGTGAATCCCAAGTGGGACAGAAATGCCTCTGTTCACCTAGCAGTAAATAAGGTACCTGGGAGTTTTGGGGTTGCATCTTGAGGAGGGTCAGTACTGTAGTTCGACTTTGGAGAGTCCGCGATGCAAGACTAAAGTATGTAAATAGCCCACAGTGTGGGCTATGGTTGGTTGCAAATGACCTTATTAATATTATCTCTGTCATTATGTTCAAGACAATGTGTAGTCCTTTTTTCAGTGGTCACCACTGTTGGTTGTGTGATTACCTAATTGTTGACCTGATTACTTTGTTACATTTACATGCTGGAGGAGTGACAGGAAGACTTCTGACATGAATGACAAATTTTCTAACTAACAGACAGATGAGGGTGGTAATCAGAGACAATGTATCTGACTGGAGGAGTGTTATTAATGGAGTACTGCAGGGTTCAATTATTGCACTAGTAATGTTCATCGTCTACATAAACGATCTACCTGAAGGAATACAGAATTATATGAACATGTTTGTAGATGATGCTAAGATAACTGGAAATGATAAACTGATGGAAAATTGTATGCATGTAGAGGACATGCTGGATACATTTAATAGCCACTGAGATGTATATACAAGTATTTAAATGTAGTAGAGTCCTGTTGTAAAATAAGGGTGAAGCCTTTCATATAATAAAAAGAAAGGGAAAGGAAAATTAAAATATATTATAATTCACGGAAGGAATTGAAACTATGACACAATATAATTTAAGGGAGAAAATTAGATCACTAATGATTCAATAGGTAGGAAAATTGATGTCTCACTTACACAATTGATCTGAAACAATTAAGGTTCAGTTATGCAATCATTTTGAATTGAAGGATTGAAACAAGTCACTGAGATGCGTGCATTGCATGTATATACATATGTACTGTATGCCCTTGCTTATTCAAATTCTACGGAATCAGATATTTGGGTTATCCAGCCAAAACTGCATCCAGATATTTTCTGGCAAAACTTCGCCATATCTGGATAGCAATCCGGATAACTGGAGGTTTGGTCAGATAGTGCAGATTGGCATTGATTCTAAATCAAGCCCAGGTAACTTTCTGCCAACTTTGTATCCTGACAGAAATCCGGAAAACCTGGGATTATTCCAGATGCCACAAGTAAGCATACTGTATTAATCCCATTCAGCACGAGAGTATTGGAGCTTTATGGGGGTGGGTGGTAGCAGGATAGGGGGTGTTGGGGTTGGTGGTAGGAGGGTAAGGGGTGTTGGGGTGGGTGGTAGCAGGGTAGAGGGTGTTGGGGGTGGGTGCAGTGTAGCCTCGCAACCAAGCCAAAGACCTTCAACCAGTGCAGCCTCACAAGCAAGACAAGGACCTTCAACCAGTGCAGCCTCACAAGCAAGACAAGGACCCTCAACCAGTGCAGCCTCACAAGCAAGACAAGGACCTTCATCCAGTACAGCCTCACACGCAAGACAAGGACCTTCAACCAGTGCAGCCTCACAAGCAAGACAAGGACCTTCAACCAGTGCAGCCTCACAAGCAAGACAAGGACCCTCAACCAGTGCAGCCTCACAAGCAAGACAAGGACCTTCAACCAGTACAGCCTCACACGCAAGACAAGGACCTTCAACCAGTACAGCCTCACAAGCAAGACAAGGACCTTCAACCAGTGCAGCCTCACACGCAAGACAAGGACCTTCAACCAGTGCAGCCTCACAAGCAAGACAAGGATCCTCAACCAGTGCAGCCTCACAAGCAAGACAAGGACCTTCAACCAGTGCAGCCTCACAAGCAAGACAAGGACCTTCAACCAGTGCAGCCTCACAAGCAAGACAAAGACCTTCAACCAGTGCAGCCTCACAAGTAAGACAAGGACCTTCAACCAGTGTGGCCCACACAAGCAAGACAAGGACCTTCAACCAGTCCAGCCTCACAAGCAAGACAAGGACCTTCAACCAGTCCAGCCTCACAAGCAAGACAAGGACCTTCAACCAGTTCAGCCTCACAAGCAAGACAAGGATCCTCAACCAGTGCAGCCTCACAAGCAAGACAAGGATCCTCAACCAGTGCAGCCTCACAAGCAAGACAAGGACCTTCAACCAGTGCAGCCTCACAAGCAAGACAAGGACCTTCAACCAGTGCAGCCTCACAAGCAAGACAAGGACCTTCAACCAGTGCAGCCTCACAAGCAAGACAAGGATCCTCAACCAGTGCAGCCTCACAAGCAAGACAAGGACCTTCAACCAGTGCAGCCTCACAAGCAAGACAAGGACCTTCAACCAGTGCAGCCTCACAAGCAAGACAAGGACCTTCAACCAGTACAGCCTCACAAGTAAGACAAGGACCTTCAACCAGTGTGGCCCACACAAGCAAGACAAGGACCTTCAACAAGTGCAGCCACACAAGCAAGACAAGGACCTTCAACTAGTGATGCTTCAGCAGCTGGCAATCAAAACTGACCTTGACAAGCTCCTGTACAGTAAATTTAGTGTTGTGTTAGGCTAGGTTACCTAAATTTTCATGAATTACTGATTTCAACAGCATCAGTCAAGAAGATGAACTATAACAAGATAAACTGAAAGTTTGTGTTTTAAATTACAGTCCTGTTATATTTTCTTATGTATAGTGTGTGTGGAAATTCATATCATGTTGGTTGTAGTACCCAAAATTGTGCGAATGTGAATTTTTGGACTTTCCTGGTAAAAAGTACTGCTTTTCTGGATATTCTGGCTTATCTGGTGGGGATCCTTGCCATACAGTATACAGTAGTCCGGATAAGCGAGCTCGTACAATGTCTCCAACACACATGAGAGGGAATGATACAAATGTGGAAAGATTTATCTTATCACTTGAGGGGCCTCATAGCCTGGTGGATAGCGCGCAGGACTCGTAATTCTGTGGCGCGGGTTCGATTCCCGCACGAGGCAGAAACAAATGGGCAAAGTTTCTTTCACCCTGAATGCCCCTGTTACCTAGCAGTAAATAGGTACCTGGGAGTTAGTCAGCTGTCACGGGCTGCTTCCTGGGGTGGAGGCCTGGTCGAGGACCGGGCCGCGGGGACACTAAAAAGCCCCGAAATCATCTCAAGATAACCTCAAGATAAGAAGCCTAAAATGATGTAAGTGATCTGTGTGGCAAGGAGAGGCAAGGTGAAGAGCTCTTCTCAAGACCCAGGCCTGCTCTTGAGTAGTGAAGGGTGGAGGTGACACAAGCAGGAGGCTACAGTGCCATACCATATGACAACTTTTGTAAGCACATTAGCTAGATACTATGGCACTACTCACTCTCCAGAAAACAACTAGAAATACTTAGAAACACAACAGTAATTAATGAAATGAAATGAAAGTATAATAGAAATTCGTTCATATAAAAATGTCAGTCTTTATACTTTATACTGTTCAGTGCACTTTAGTGTGCATTTCAGAGAACTGGAATGTACAATATCTTGTGTTATCTAAATGTTACTCACTCACAAGAAGATTCCTTATGCAGTATCATTTCCTACTCTTGATTTCCCTTCCAGCTGTTGATCCGTGCCATTTATGATGTAGGTGGTGGTACCAGATACTAAGTAACACTAGGAATTTTCATTTAACCATAACAAGACTTTTGCTTCATTTTTTCCAGGGCACGCAACATGCAAGGCTTCCGTGTAACATGGAATAATGGCCACCAAATATCTTTTGCACAGAAGTGGAATCCTTGGAGCAGGGATATTCCTTATACAACATTTACCTCGCATCCTCTTTATTGGTATACAGGTAATGAGCTTTATTTTCTGTAACTAACTTTCTGTGCATGCAGATCTGAATGTCACAGTCTTTTTCTAGCCGTTTTTCATCAAGGTTCAATCTGATTTTCAATCTGACAGTGGTAGTGTTGGCTGCTCATAGCCTATTAGATGTTCCCCATTGCTGATCCTATGATGCACTTGGATGCTTTCCAGTCACCAAATTTGTCCTTTCCTGAGCCGTGGCTTTCTGGCCTTCTCACCCTCATGGATCAATCATTCAATGTAATTAAAGGGGTCATTTCTGGATTATACCTAGATGGAGCTAAGGGCCAGGTTTGATTTGGGAGAGCTTGGTCTAACAGGCTCTTGCTCTTGGAGCAGCCCACAGGCCCACATATACACTACAGCCCAGTTGATTTGGCATTTCTTGCAAAAAACTGTCCAGTTTTTTCTTGGACTTCAACTTTATATATCATATACTTGTTGGGAGGATATTTAAAAACCGTTGACTTCTGATGTTCTTATAGTGTTCTTGAATTGGGCCTGTGGCACCTCTACTCTTCACTAGCTCTATACTGCATCTTCTTCCATATCATTCCCCTCCAGTATGTTGTTATTTTACTTTGCAAATTTGGGACCTGGCCATCCAGTATTTTCCATGTACAGGTACTGTATATATAATGTGATACCTCTCTTCTTTTTAGAGAGAGTTTTGAGAGCTTTTAGCTGATCTCAATACTCCCATCTTTCTAGAGAGAGAGTTTTGAGAGCTTTTAACTGATCTCAATACATACTGTAGTTTAGGTATTTATTTTTTACATTTACTATTTGTGCCTGCAGAATCAAACTATTAGCTCTTAGACCCTGCCTTTCTAACCAATCTATGTTTCCTCTATTGTATCTACTACATATATTTCTCTCTAACACACACACATCCCCAGGAAGCAGCCCATAGCAGCTGTCTAACTCCCAGGTACCTATTTACTGTTAGGTGAACAGGAGCATGAGGGCGAAAAATTTTGCCCATTTGTTTCCGCCTCTGCTGGGAATCGAACTCGGGCCATTAGGACTACGACCCCTAAGCGCTATCCACTCAGCTGTGAGGTCCCCTTTATCCACCCCTAGGTGCTGTCTGTGCGTGTTGTATATGTTCTTTGTATTTTCTCTATTTCAGCAGTCTCTCCTGCTCTGAAGGGGGTAAGTGAATACTGAGCAGTAGTCAAGTTGGGACAGCACAAATGCTTTAAATAATATGAACATTGTGGTGGGATTCTGGGATTTGAAGGTTCCCGTAATCCATCCCATCAGTTTTCAAGCTGACACTACATTTGCTTGCTTATGGTCTCTAAACATTAGGTCATAAGACAATTATTCCCAGACCCTTTACACGTTGCTTTCCTACTTTGGGCAGATTTGATTGTATTTTGTACCCTGTATATTGTTTAAGGTCTTCATTTTTAACATACCTAAGTACAGTGGCACCTCGGTTGACGAATGCCCTAGAGTACGAATTTTTTAGTATATGACGTCAAATTCATCGTAAAATTTGAATTGGTGTACGAGGGTTTACTTGGAAGACGACGTCTGTTCATACGCGTATGGGTCGAATGAGCGAGTGGTGTTGGGGGCGAGGCACTCTCAGTTTGTTTACAAGTCTATCCAGTGTAGTGACAACCGCGGCCGCTCTTGAATACTTTGTGAAGAATTTCATTGTTTGCCTGCTTTTTTGCTTTTTTAACATAAGTTCTTATTATATATCATGCCATGGATCCCAAGAAAGTCACTGGTAAAGTTCAACCTAAACTTTTGTTGAAAAGGCTTACCCAAATGAAGCTGTAGCAGGCTGTTGTGTTAACCTTTTTAATGACAATGTGATGTCTCACTTCAGACAAGTGTTACAACGTAGGAAAAATCAAGTGTTGCTAGACAGGTTTTTAGTGAAAATAAAAAGCAGTAAGCCACAAGCAGGTCCTAGTGGTATGCAGGCAAAAACGTAGGATAGAGAGTACCCCAGAAAAGTCATCACTGCCAAATGTTATAATGGAAGGGGACTTTCCTTCCAAACAGTAACACCTCTCCTCCTTCCCTCCTCCTCGCCATCTTTCATATGCCAACAAGAGCCCTAATTCAAGGTAAGATATTCATACTGTATTGAAGCTAGTACAAAATGAGTGTTATTCGGTATAAAATGTATTTTGAAGTTAATATTTTTGGGGGTGTGGAACGGATTAATTCAATTTACATTATTTCTTATGGGAAAATTCGTTATGGTTGACAAATTTTTAGTTGACACATCTCTGGGAAGGAATTACGATTGTAAATGAAGGTACCACTGTACATGGAATTTATCACTGTTAAACCTCCTGTTATTTTCTGCTGCCCAATCAAGAACTTTATTAATATCAGCTTGTAGATTTACAATGTTTTCTACAGAAGTAATTTTCTTGCTGATTTTTGTCATCTGCAAAAGACGACATGAAGCTGTGACTTGTATTTTTGTCTATATCTGATATGAAAATGAGAAAAAGCAGTGCTGCAAGGACTGTGCTGAAAGGTACACTGTTTTTTCACTGTGCTTGGACTCTTATTTTATTTGATTGACTGTTATTCTTTGCATTCTGTTTAACAAAAAAAAAATTTAATATCCATCGCCCTACTTTGCAAAGTCTGTGTATGCAACATCTCCATGCTGTTTTTCTTCTAATGCATCAGTGATTTTTGTCATAATGGTCAAATAGCTATGAGAGGCAGGATCTTCTTGCTTTAAATCCATGTTGACCGGATTGTGATCATTGATCTCCATGAAACTAGAGATCTGATCACCCTGGGGAGCCGGTCTGAGGAGCCGGTCGGCCGAGCGGACAGCACGCTGGACTTGTGATCCTGTGGTCCTGGGTTCGATCCTAGGCACCGGCGAGAAACAATGGGCAGAGTTTCTTTCACCCTATGCTCCTGTTACCTAGCAGTAAAATAGGTACCTGGGTGTTAGTCAGCTGTCACGGGCTGCTTCCTGGGGGTGGAGGCCTGGTCGAGGACCAGGCCGCGGGGACACTAAAAACCCGGAAATCATCTCAAGATAACCTCAAGATAACCCTCTCAAAAACTGTTATTATGTGGGATTATGTGGGATGTTAGTGCAACTGGTCTATTTCTTAGCCAGTACTTTGCTCCTTCCCTTGTGTAGGGAAGGTGTATCTGCTGATTATAGCACCTCTGAGATCTTCCTAGTGTCCAAACTTCTTCTCCAAACTACATTGAGTACTTTTGCCACTGGTACTTGGCATTTCTTTATAAATATTGATTTGCAGGAGTCTGAACCCTGGGCTGAGTGCATGGGCATGTTGTCAATTTCCTTCAAAATCTGCAGAGTTCGTGTTGATGTCAGTTATATTTTCAAGGGTTCGGATATCATGCATAAAGAAGCTGTCTCCAGATCTTCCACTTTCATACGGTTTATTGGAGTGCTAAACATGACCAACCTGCATTTTCTAGGAATGCATTAATTTCTTTGTTGTCCTCTGTGTATGAACTTTCACTTGTACGTATAGGTCCAATACTGACAGAGTTTTTGATTTTGCATATATGAAGAAATGCATTTCTTCAATCCGATATGATTTCTTCAGTCTGTTGTTTCTTCAGTCTCCCGTTCTTTGTAGGAATAGTCGTGTCTGCTTAACCATTTCCCTTATTTTTTCCTTTTTCTGTAGTGCATTCTGTGTTCTCTTTCTAAGCTGGTTCTCTTACTGTTTTCAGCAAAGGAACATACAATATTTCAGACAAACTTTATGTGCTTCAGCAGTCAGTTTTCTATTCTTTGCGTGGGATTTTTATTACTTAGAATAATTTCCCGTTGAATATTTGTAAGTTCCTTGTTTATTATTTCCCAGTTTACCCTTTTTTGTTAAAATTTAGTTTATTGAATGTTTCAAATTTTACTGAAAGAAAGCATATAACTACTCATCAGACTTAAGTTTCATCAAAGTGACATCATTTTTTTTTTTTAACCTTAACTTATTATAGTGTAATCTTCATATTTGACAATTAGTTTAAGAAATTTCATTTTAGTTTTGAAAAAACATTTTTTGTTTATTTGATCAATAATCTTGCATTAATTTACAAGTTAAAAAATTTATAACTCGGTAAATTTTGTTCTGAATTAGAAACAAACTGTGAGCAATAGAGACCAATAAACATAGAATATAAAATGTCAAATTCATGAGAACCACTTCCAAACTAGCATATTATAAAATTTGAAATGTGTTCACTACTCTGGTAAAGCTTCAACCAAATGCTTTTAAAACAATGAAGGAAAGTTTGTGAAAGAATAGGACTTGAATATTCCTCCCAAAAATCAATATTTGCATTTGTCATTTCTTTGGTTAATGCATTTATTTATTTTCTTTTGGCAAATTGACATATTGAATGATACATGTTTATGTAAATGAGTGCAAAAGGCATGTTCTCCATGATGGTAATTTAGTAAATATAAAATAAGCCTTCTTCTTCCTTACTTTTCCTTTGTTATTTAAAATTAGGAATACAGGGGAAATATAGTGCACTTCAAATATGAGAGGGAAAAATAAGCTTTTCTTACCGAAGGATTGTCATAGTGTTACGGGAATTTGAGTATATAACTCGGGGGTTACGTGCACTTTTGTGTGCAGCCTCGGTAGCTCCCAGTACCCCGCCATTCTTGCCCATGAGAATTGGGGGTGTGTTTTGAGGGTGACTCTATGAGGGAGACAAGCAGACAGGTTGAACCCTTGGTGGAGCTGAGTTGCCATCTGATGGTGTGCTTGCTTAAAGTTCTTCTCATAATGCTGAATGGAAGTGAATTATTTCTTCATTAATTGTGGGAATCATTTTTTAGGTCAAATATAAAAAACTTATTTAACCATTTAAAAATGTACTAATCTCAGTATGATGTAGCTAAAGAGATTTTTTTTTTAATTTAGGTTGTGAAAATGCCACCTATGATGCCAAGAGTCTTGCTAAAGAACTTAAGCTAGCCATTGAGAACTTTCAAGAGCGGCCGGATACAGCAGCAACCTGCAGTGTTAGCCAGAGTCCCATCATTATTGAAAATTATGTCGGAATTGCATCCTTGCTTCATAATGCTACAGAGCTTGGCTTCTTCAAGCTACGGGGGAAAGTGAGCTTTTGAAAAGGTTGAACATTTGTAGACATGTAGTTAATTTGTAACCAAAATATTGCCATTATGTTGCTATTTTTCCTTTTGAAATGAAAAAAAAAAAATTGAGATATACCGATTGTGCTCATAGGCCTTGTAGAGTAGCCTTAAAAAAAAAAGCCTTACACCTAAAAAGTGTAAGCCTTTTAGTATTTATATTAATTACTTTTCCTCTATATGGTATTAGAAAAACACAGTTTTCATGGCTTGTTGATCTCCCTGGTATTTCGTCTAACTAATTTTTCCTTCCCACTAAAGGTATGGCGGGTAGCAGCGTGAAGCATTGCGTGGGGGAAAAAAACAATACTGCAAGTAGGTTGAAGATTGAAGAAAATTTGAAGCTTAGTTATATTGACTCGAGAGCTTGATGGTTACTCTCGGAAGATGTACTCAGGAGTCTCATTTTAATTTACTTTGTAGGTTTGTTTTTATCATATATTTGCTAATATATTTTTGTTTGTTTCTAGTCCTTCCTCTCTCCTTTCCTCCTCTTAAATTTTTGTGTCAAACTCTTTCTTCTCACTTTTTCCATTTCCTCTTTCCTTCCCTCTTTTACCTTTTCAATCCTCTCCTCCCCTTTTTCATCTTACCTTATGCTTTGTACCCCACTTTTTTTTTTCTTTTCCTTCTCTCATCTCTCTTGTATCTCTCTTATCCTCCACACTCTTTCCTCCTTTCATCATTCCTTTTCTCTGTCGTTTCTTATTCCCTATTTGTTTAACTGTTATTGACTACAATTGTTAATAATACTGTACTTACTTTCCCTTTGACTCTAGTTTTCTAATTTTATGATAACCAAAGAGAAAGCTTTAGTATCTTATATTTTAAGACCGTGCTAAATAGCAGTATTGCTGGCTTTGAACAATCAGTCTCGTAGGTTAAGAAATACAAATGCAACATTAAGAAATTCAGTTGGATGGTGTGTTTGTATATCAACTAGGAAGCCAGAAGTATATTTATGCACCAGCCATGGGCATTAGGGTACTTAATTTAGTTTTTAAATGTTAAGAAAGCAAAAGGTAAAAATGTTCAAGTTTTTGTTTTGTTCCGTTGACAGGAGAATGTATGAAGTTGTATGTTGAATACAGTTCTTAAGAGTTGTACTCAAGTAACAACATTCAGGAAGCTCGTGTCAGTAGTCTCCTTGAGATAGTGTTTTAAAAACATGGAACGAACACATTTTCTTACTTGTATATCTTCAATGTAGAGTACCAAAATAACTAATAATTTTAGACCGTTTGTATAAAATATGATTATGCCACCAATGCTTAATTTTGGCTTTGTAAATATAAAATGTATTTGTGAATTTTGATCATGCATTAGTCAATATATATTTCAAAGCTTTTAGAAGGCTGCAATTTTAATTAAAATCTTGCTTATACAAGAACACGTAGCGCTTCAACCCTTTATACAGGGTAATTTAATCCAATTTGTGAGTGTGTTTAAACAGATAATATTTTGTATATAAGTGTAAATGACTTAGAAATAATATAAATTTGCATGTCTTGTAAAGAAAAAAAAATCATGAGGCCCATTTCATTGACTTAACCCCCTAATAATGATAACTTTATTATGAGTAAGGGAATGAAATGGACCTTTTTGGAGTTTGTTGCTTCATAATAATCATCATATAGCTTATTTTCCTCATCTCATTCAAATTCTGGATCACTTTCTTACAGTAAATGTGCAAGTTTATGATACTGTATATGATATTACAGAGATGCCCTCTCCATCGTATTTTATTGGCTATTGGGTATCCTCTTGGATATTGGATATTAGGTATCCTAATATTAGATATTGGATATTAGGTATATTGGCTATTAGGTATCCTTTTGGATATTGGCTATTGGGTATCCACTTGGATATTAGCTATTAGGTATCTTCTTGGATATTGGCTATTGGGTATCCTCTTGGATATTGACAATTGGGTATCCTTTTGGATATTGACTATTGGGTATCCTCTTGGATATTGACTATTGGGTATCCTCTTGGATACTGACTATTGGGTATCCTCTTGGATACTGACTATTTGGTATCCTCATGGATATTGACTATTAGGTATCCTCTGGATATTTTTTCCAGATCTCTCGAAGCTTGTCACATAACCAATGATTCTGAAGGTACCTAATTGGTCAGTTTCACTTTTAAAATGTGGGGAGGAAATTGCTACTATAAAATGTACTGTATGTGTGTGTATGTATGGTATTTATGAAAATTGGTGTGCTGTATGATATAACTGTACTGTGAAAAGATTAGCAACAACAGTTGTGCTTTCTGACTGTCTACCTTGAGGCTACCTTGAGGTGCTTCCGGGGCTTAGTGTCCCCACGGCCCGGTCGTTTCCTGTCACTCATAATGGTAGAATAACTGATGGATGGTTGAACTAGTGTGCTTTCTTGAGATTGTGTCTTTATTGGCTGGGAATATCTTGTGGCTCCTTCATTATATTGTCCAAGCTTTAAAGTTGGTACAGGTTTTTGTATTTTCGGTATGATGAACTTAATATTGGCTGTATTTTTGCCAATGCAGTGCTTGAATTCCTTAAATGGAATTAGATTTTGTTTTTAATGCTACAAATTGTCAAGTTTGAACATTATTTTCACCATTCATCAGCCTCTGGCATTATCAGGGTTAGCACTGTAAGCGCATGAGTAGTTTAAGGCAAATGTTATATATTTTCTACTGTGTTAGCTTGTCATAATACTATAGCTCATCCATGTACATTTAACATCCATAATCTAAGGACACTGCATAAAACATATATTTCAAAACAGATTGTAAAAATGCTCAGGAATGCTGGAAAGTTGCAAGATTACTGTAGAGGAAAGTTGTGGTTATTACAAAGAGACCTCTTCAAGTAAGGTTGTGAGTAATTAACCCGCACACACTTCTTACACCATTAGTGTGTTTCTGTGCACCATTCTAATCACTGGAGATCATTTCCCGCCAAACACATGACGAAATTATGACGTTGCTATAATGGTTGAACCAGTTTTAACACCTAACAAGTTGTAATAATGTTTTAATACGTCATAAAAACGATATAACAAGATGTAACAAGTTTATTACAAGTTGTAACAAGCTGAAAGTAGGGACAGTTTGTGTGTTTGCAGGGTTCACACAGCCATCTTTTTTTTTTTTTCTCTGTCAGGGTGAGCATATTGCTATATTCAGTGTGTTCCATTCCTAGATTGCTCTGGTGATCATTAACCATCAGAACAAAATTCCAGAGTTCCCTAATTTACTTTTAGGGGAGTAGTAAACTGATGCACACAATGTCTGATGCACCATGGCAAAGATTATCAGGAAGAGAGACACCATGAGCATAGCTCTCATTCTGTAATTACACTTGGGTAATTACAACCTTTTAGCTCGGCGAATAAGCAGTGCCATTGCACAAGTGATACTGTCTTTTGCTGTGTTAGTAAATGAAACTTATTTGGTGCTATAAGATCTGATTTTGATGCAAATGTGTCATTCTGATATATATAGTGATCTTGGTAACCAAACCACACATCACAATATGACAACGTTTTGGTCTGTCCTGAACCATTATCAAGTCATATGAGGAGAAGGTAAGAGTAAGGCAAAAGGTAAGAATAGGATGAAAGGTATGAATGGGATGGGTGTAATAATGGGATGAAGGAAGAATGGGATAGGTAAGAAAAAGAAAAAGGGGATAGGCTTAATTCAGGTCATGTTTGTTCGGTAGGTTAGAACACTTGAGTATGTACTGTGAAAGGGAAGAGTCAATAGTAACAAAGCCAGGACTAAGGTTCACACTAAGGTTCATGCTCTTCCCTTTCACAGTACATACTCAAACGCTCTAACCTACCTAACAAATGTGACCTGACTTAAGCTTACCCCCATTTTCTTTTTCTTACCCTCTTATTCTTACCTATCCCATTCTTTCATCATCCCATTATTACACCTATCCCATTCATACCTTTAATCTTATTCTTACCTAATGCCTTACCCACCTTACACCTTTTCTTCCTTTATGGGTTATTCATGCCCGTGCCACCTCTTGGGTGGCTTAATCTTCATCAATCTTTCTCCCGTCACACACGACTTGATAATGGTCCAGGACGGACCGAAACGTCTTTGTACCTTCGTCTTCTGGTATGTGGTTTGGTCGTCGTATTTTCAACCTCGTTATTGTGACTCATTGTCTACATAGTGATCTTGGTGCTAGTGGGAGGGGGGGTGGGGGGAATCTTTGGGTAGTAGCACGTATATTGGTGTTTTTGGTGCATCAGTGGTTATTATTAAGAGAACTGTGGACCAAATTTGGTGCCACAAACTACTGAATCTGATAAAAATAGTGTCATTGTGATTTTTACTGATCATGATGATGGAATGAATGCACGTGGTTATGCATTTAAGTCATGAAAATATACCAAATTGTCTCATTTTGAAGAAAACAGAGTTGGTGTAATGAAGGACTGTGGTGTTAGTGGTATAAAGGTTCAATGCAAGTATACTGAGTGAAGTAAACAGAAAACTAATTAGAATACAGTAGACGACAGGTGTAGGGAATGTGGTGCGACTCTGTGCATCGAATGCTCTATTTATGTATAGTTTTTATCATGTACATATTTAGAAAAATAATACTAGAGTATATAAAATAGCCCAGAAACACAACAAAACACACACACACACACACACACACACACACACACACACACACACACACACATTCAAAAGGTGACACCCCTAGGGTCAACACTTGCAGCAGAGGAGCTCCAGCATATTTCAACAATCCTAAGTATTGTAGTACAGGTTGATGGTAGTGAGTGGTGTCCCAGAGAACATAAAGGTATAGTGCTCTTGAAAAATAGGTGAGATAACAGGAAAGTGCTAAGGGAAGTGAAAAATCGGATGAGAAAAAGTTGCCCTAGTGTTTACAGTGCAGAGAAGAACATTCAAGATGGCCACTGGCAAGGGGAAAAACAAAACAGAGCTTGATTTTGAGGGATTCAATGAAGAAAGCATTGATATTAGTAGTCTACATAACAAGTTGGTAAATTTAGATACTATAGTGAACTCTCATGTAGAAATAATTAGTAAATTGAAAGAAAGTAATGACCATTTGAATAGCAAAGTTTTATGTCTTGAGGGTTTAGTGAAAGACTTGCGCAAGGATAAGAATCAATTGGAAACAAATTGCAAAGCCATGGAAGAAGAAAATAAACTCTTAAAAATAGCTTTGGAAGAAGTTAAAGTAAATTTAAACATAAATGACTACAATAGGTTAGGCAAGGAAATTCAACAGGAGAAACAGCTTTTGTCAGCACAGATGGAGGAAGTTACACAGGGAATAGAACAGTGCAAGAAAGATATGCAACTCACTTATGCACAAGTGGCCAAGGAGAAGGAAAAAATAGAAGAAGCAGTAAAGGAAGTCAAACACTGCAGCAACCAAGATAAAACAAACATTAGGCTAGAAGTGAGGAAAGAATTGGCATCTAACCCGAAGTTGGTGCAAAACACAGTTGATCGGAGTAAGTCCCTGATCATTTTTGGCTGCAAAGAAAAGGCGATAACATCTAGGTCAGAAAGAGCTGTAGAAGAAGCTAAAGTAGTAGATAAAATTGTTGGCCTCGTGGAAGGTCTTACAAACAGAGAGAATGTGTGCGACTACAGGAGAATAGGCAGGTACGTAAAAGGGAAAGATCGACCTTTGAGGATCACCCTAAACGGTGCCAAACAGATGGAAGAAGTACTAAGGAATGCTAGAAAATTGCAAAGGGATGAGGATGGGAAAGGGTGGTCGTTAAGACGAGATCTTTCAAAAGAAGATAGAGAGAAGCTGAAACTGAACCTCGCCGAGGCAAAACATTTAAATGAGAGCAGGAATGAAGAAGAAATAAATTCTTTTTTCTACAAAGTGATAGGGGTAGGCAAACCAGTAAAGTGGTACATAAAGGCAAACCAACAAAATCAATAGAGAGAGGGGGAGTGAAGAATAAGGAGAGGGGGAACAAGTTCCTGAAGATTGCATACACCAACATAGATGGAGTGAGATCGAAGATACTGGAGTTAAGTGATGTAATACAGCTGCAGACACCAGACATTGTTGCACTCACGGAGACAAAACTTGAAGATGTAATTTTAAATGAGGTCATATTCCCAAGGGGCTACTCAATTTGGAGACGGGACAGAAAAATTAGGAAAGGCGGTGGCGTTGCTGTGCTGGTAAAAGAACACCTAAAGGTGAAGGAAATAATGACTGCCAATCCACAAGAAGTTGACATAATAGCACTAGAGATCTGCTATGAGGATGATAAACTAATGATGATAAATGCATATAGTCCACCGCCAAGCAGCACATGGTCAAAGGAGGAGCTAGATAGTAAACGTGAAGGTCTTATAACAATAATGAGAGAGATTATAGCGAGAGCGGATAACGATAGATCACGACTGTTGATAGTCGGTGACTTCAACTTGAAATCCATAGACTGGGAAGCATATGAAGCTAAAACAGAAGATTTTTGGACCTGTAAATTTGTAGACCTCATCCTGGAAACATTCTTGTATCAACATGTTAAACAAGCTACGAGGATGAGGGAAGGGGACGTTCCCTCCATGCTAGATTTGATATTTACCAGGAAGGAGGAAGAGATATTTGACATTCAGTACCTTCCTCCCTTGGGTAAAAGTGACCATGTCTTTTTGGGAATAAAGTATGCAATGCGTTATAAGCTGGAAGAAAATAAGGAGGTTGAAG